TGATTCATTCGTGTATGGCATGAAGCGTACACGACTAATTTCATTCTGACTGTGTACTTGCCCATAGCGTCTTGGCTTGAGCGTCAGGCGTCGTCAGTTAAATGCATTCAAATGTCCCTCCCAGTCTTCCCGCAAACTCTACTTTTTGTGTAATTTATGGTTTAAAGGTTGAACTGTAATGTGGAAATAATAATATAAGATCATTTTGAATCAAAAGGGTGTTCATTATTCTTATCAAATAAACAGTGCACCACAAAAGGAACACATGACCTCCGGATTGCCGTTCCAGTGCTCTACCAACTGGGCTATCCAGCCCTATGTTGGGGGTTCCCCATTTTGGCAGCACACCCTTATATGCCATGTAGTGAGGTACATTAGTAACAAAAATGCTAAGGATCGTTACACAGTGGACAACAGCACCATTTTTTCACCAAAGCATCTCCATGGTATACCTTTTCGAAAAAAAGACGGACGCAAAAAATTGGATGATGGGAAGGGCATGTATGACGTCATTATGACGTCATCAGCTAATTATTACATGAAAACATATAAATTAATAATAATCTTCAGAACTGCAAGTATCTCAACAATAAATTTGGTATCAAATTAAAGGGGACAACAAGATCTTTCATTTGAGTGGTATGACATTGGGATGGAATATAGTTGAGGGTGATTTTGTGGGTCAAAAACAACTTTTTGGTCAAAAGACCTGTTTTTTCGGCTAAAATCATGGATTTTTGGAAGTCACTTTGACACCTTGTTTTAACATGCAAACAGTATGTGGTATTGTGAGATGTTGTTTTTAAGTCAGAGAGAAAGGCTCAAATTCTATGCCAAAAGATTTTTTGTAATTGATTATTAGTATCTTAAATGTTTGAACTTGTTCCAAAGATAAGCGGAAAAGTGAGGTACCTTAGTGATAAAATCGTGACACGGGTGGACAAAAGCACCATTTTCACACCAAAGTATCTCCATTGTTTACCTTTTCGAAAACAAGGTAGGATACAAAAATTGGATGATGGGAAGGGCCATTTATTACATCATTATGACGTCATCGGCTAATTATTACACACTTATACATTAAAATTGAGATATTAGTTAGGAATAAGCCATGGATCGTTTTTTTACATTTAATATATGTTTCTGAGATCAAGGAAATCAGTGCAGTTGCCAATTTTGTTCTTAGTTCTTTAAAAGCTTTAAATACAAATAGTTTGATAAAATGAGGGATGTTTTCTAATTTAATGTATTAAATTAAACATGTATACATGTACATGTACATTTGACCCTCGCTCCTATCCCCTGTTGTGATCAATGATTCGTTAAAATGCAATGTCTTACGTCATGATTATCTCATAAATGTTACCTCAGGACTGATGCCACGAGGCATTATTTTCCACAAAAGTTTCTACTGTCCCTTCGGCTCCGTATTCTACATCAACTGGCAATGCATTTATTGCCCTAAACCCTTCAACATTAGCCAGGAATTGAGCATATACTTCTCTGGCGTTACAATTTAAACCTTTTTGTGGACAACGTAGTTTTTCTGGTGTAGTTTGCATGCAGATAATGCAAGCAGTCCAATCCATGATGACTGTCCTGAAATACGATAGTAACAGTTCACATAAGCAATAAAAAGGTAGAATGTTCAAACCAATTATACGTTCCAATGTTGCAAAATAATACGTTTTGTGGAAGTTTGTAAACTTGCAAAGGTATATTTTACGCAAGATGAATTATATCTACAATTTTTACAAAGACTTCTGTTCATTTTTACCAAAATCTCTTATAATTAATAAACAAGATTACAGATGAAGCTTTTTTAAAGATTATATATTTGCACGATCTCAGTCGCAATCCAGCTTTGTGGAAACAAGAAAGGATAAACTACTCACACAGTGGACCTTCAGAAATGCTCTGCTCGTGTCACACAGAAGATGATGTCTGATGGATACTTCAATAGGATAGACGGTCCATCAACGACAAGGATGGTGCATTTAATCGAGAAACACACTTGTGCTTGTGCATCATGGATAATTGTTTGTCTTGTTCACGTCCCAAACTAAAAACCTTTACAAACTGCAGGACATGACTTGCTGCACTAGTATTGTGTTTGTAATGGTTACAGCCCGATAGTACGAAGGTTCTCTAGTCCGAAGGGTCATTAGTCCAAAGGTTCGTTAGTCCGAAGGTTCAATAGTCCGAAGGTTCGATAATCCGAAGGTTCGATAGTCAGAAGGTCCCATTAGTCCAAAAATAGAATACAGTTAATTAATCCGAAGGTTCGATAGTCTGAATAGACGATAGGGTTCGATAGTCCGAATTGAGAAAAAGGTTCGATAGTCCGAATTGAGAATAAGGTTCGATTGTCCGAATGGGCAATACGGTTCGTCAGTATGACTCTTCGGACTATCGGACCTTACTGTTGATTCGGACTATTGGACCTTATTGTCGATTTGGACTATCGGACCTTACTGTCGATTCGGACCATCGGACCATCATAGAGTCTTTTCGGACTATCGAACCTTATTGTCAATTCGGACTATCGAACCTTCGGACTATTGAACCTTATTTTCAAGCCCGCTGGAACAAACTTTTGCCAGGGGGTGCTGGAATTTCTAAAGGACGGACAAAATTAATGCGAATGCGGAGCGCAAAGCCCTTACTGCGTGGCTTAGAGGGCCCCTAAAAGTTTTGGAATATGGATGCTCTGTGGTGCAATATGAGGCGTTTCCTGGCCACTTTCATATGACTTTTTTAGCAAACTTTTTTTTTTAAATTATAAAGACAATTTATTTCACTTTTTTGTTTAGAATATACTGTTGCTCTTATAACGTTTCTACTGTACAGAAAAGTCGAAAACCCTGTATTTTTATCTCCATTCTTTGTTCCATTTAATTCTGGACAAAGAATTGTATTATTATGCATGACATCGCATGTAAATATTATTGTTGCTAGGCTGCTTTCTTACAGTTAGTAAATTCCGTCGTGTATGTTTTGTTTTATTTTCCGAGCCCTTACGGCGTGGGGCCACAGGGCCAGGGGCCTGCTTTAAGGCCCCTGAAAATGTTGGATTCTGGATGCACTGTGATGAAATATACTGAAGTATATACTTAAACTTATAAAACCTGAAAGGGTGTTTTTTGGTTCAAGTTAAAACAAAATGGTTCCACTGGAAGCGGGTGAATTTCTGTTCATAAAAATATTCACATAGGCCTAAACGATGTAGCTCTTGATATATTTGCAGTGTTATTTGTTTGTTACAGGGAATGGCAAATATAAAAGACTAACAGACTAAATGCATCTTTATGTTTATGATCGGTAGGTGGCAAGTTTGGGGCTAGGCAAGGATTTATCGGTCTACTGAGTTTTTATGAGAAAAAACTTGCAAAGGGTAACACATGAATAGCTTTTTTATTAAAACGAAACTACACTGGAACTAGTTTCAATGGAAGCCCGTCCCACTCTTATTAGGTTGGGATGTGTGTGAACTTTGATATTTGTTAATGTTGAGTACAGAATGCTAGCAACGTCAATGAAACTTTTAAATGAAAAGAAAACTTTCAGGGGAAAGGTATGAACTTTGCCCCTATCAAAAGATCGAATGAAAAAAATCATGGCAAGCATAATCAACTTTGCCACCATTGTCATGGCCGAGGTTATTTTTTTCGGGTCAAAGCTTCCATCATGGCGGAAATATCATAGACATGTCATGATTTTAGATACATTGAGAGAAATATCGATTCTGCACTGCCTGAAAATTTAGAAAATACCTCCTCCTGATATTTTACAGTGTTACTTTGTTCTAGACATTCGAAGCGCCGCGCTTAGCCGCGGCAAAACTAGAAACGAACAAAACGAAGGAGATATTTTTAGAGCAAGCATAATGTATAGCGCAGCGGCGCAATTTCAACGTCGTAGAACACTGCTGGCTGGAACACATTTTTGCCCGGGAGTAGGGGGTGCTGAAGCATATTTCAGCACCCCAATCCAAAAAGTTGGGGTGCTGCAGCACCCACAGCACCCCCCGTTCCCGCGGTCTTTTTATTTTCGTTTCGGACTATTGAACCTTCGGACTGATTAACCTTATTCTAAATTCGGACTATCGAACCTTCGGATCAATAAACCTTCAAACTGATGAACCTTCGGAGTAATGAACCTTCAGACTATTGCATCAAATCTTCGGATTAACGAACCTTATTTCATTTTCGGACCTAAAAAACATGTCTTTTGACCAAAACAGTTTTTTTTTTTGACCCACAAAAACGCCCTTAACTATATTCCATCCCCATGACATACCACTCAAATGAAAGAGCTTGCTGTCTCCTTTAATTTGATACCACATTTGTTGTTGTAATGCTTGTAGTTCTGAAGATTATTATCAATTTATATTTTTTTCATGTAATAATTAGCTGATGACGTCATAATGACGTCATACATGCCCTTCCCATCATCCAATTGTTTGCGTCCGTCTTTTTTTCGAAAAGGTATACCATGGAGATGCTTTGGTGAAAAAATTGTGCTTTTGTCCACTGTGTCACGATTTTTTCACTAAGGTACCTCACTAATGTAGCCAGGGATCACGCCCAAAGTCATGTTGCTAGAAACTCTAGCAATGCTGCAAACCTGGAAAATAGCAAAACTTATTAATCAGATTGTGAATTCAATATTGGGTTTTGCCCTTCACCGACGTATTTTTATAAACACTGAATACTCAGTGTTGTCCCGAGTGATTGTGAGAACAAAATTCACAAAGCACTTGGGTGGGACTCGAACCCATGACCTCCTGCTTACTAGTGCAGACGTCGTGGGTTCGAGTCCCACCCGAGTAATTTGTAAAAAATTTTCTCACTTTCACTCGGGACAACACCGAGTACACAGTGTTTATAAAAACATGTCGGTGAAGGGCAAAACCCAGTATTGAGCTTACATCACCCCCAACGCAAATTCCATCTTATAAATTAATCAGATTTTGATTGCTTTTTATATTTTTTATCCAGGGTTTAATCGCCTGTACCACTTGGCTGTTTTATCACGGTCTACTCAGCAGCTTTGCTCCGACGTACGTCTGGATTCTCATCTTGAGAGGTTTGGTGGGTTTTGGGATTGGCGGTGTTCCTCAATCGTAAGTCAAAACAAAATAATGATTTCAACATCATTAGTTTTTATTCAAACAGTAAAATTGATGTTCCCTTTACATTTTGTAGGAATTTATATGATATCAGTATGGCTTTCGCAGCGAACGATCTTTGTATGCGTACATTTGGTATGCAGGCATGTCATAAAATCCCCTCATTAAAATAAACATCTGGGCCCAGGATCATTGTGAACTCACAGAGGCTCCAGTAATTGTTTGAAACATTGTGTCAGCTATTTGTCATGGAGTAATCTTTTTGCATAAGGGCATCCTTTTTCATATGAATTCCTTTGGGGAACTAACCCACCGGGCCGGTTTTTATGTGCAACCTCCTAGAGAGAACGCGGCGAAAAAATCATTAAAAACGGGCCTTTTTTCACATCTGTCGCCACCACTTCATTATTCGACAGGGTATACCTTAGATCTCACTACAGTGTGACCCTAACAATATACTCTTTCTGAAAATGAAAGAAAAACTGAATAAAACACTGAGTTTCATTCGCGAATTGATGTTAAACATTGCATTTTCAGTCAAAAATCTCCCTGTTTTGTGGGTACATGTAAACCACGCGTTCAGCCAAGAACTGGTCCATTAACATCATCATAATGTTAAATAGCGCCACCTGGGAGCTTAGATCTCTCGAGTCATTTTTCTTCGTCTCGTCAGCTTTCCAACAATATAACCCTTATTGTGATTGGTTAAGGTTTAGGCTAGCGTGTATTCATTTACTAAAGAATTGTACATCTAAACTCCAATAAAATTTGCCGTTGCTCAATATGATGGCTCAGCGTGTAGGGTCTGTTTATTGTACACGTGCTAGGCAGCACTACTGTATATACACAGAGCCCGGGAGCTCTTATCTCTATGTGTCCAAGGTCATCTGGCTGTGCGCTTTGGCCAGTTTACATGGGGTCCTTTTGACCACAAAGGATTTGATATGTATTCCTTTGGTTCTCATTTCCGACCGACCTTCATTTTGGGCTCCCAACCAAAGGAAAAAAAAGTTATGACCGCCAACGCTGTGTGGAACCCATTAGAAAGAAAAAGAAAAGAAAAACAAATAATTAAAAGAAAAATGAATACAAAATTCAGGCAGTCGGGCTCTGTGTTTTGAAAAGCTATTTAATGAATACCAGATTTTTACACGAAGAAATCCCAGAAGATGAGAGGATGTTGCCTCTCATCATATTAGGTGTCTATGGTATAGTCTGAGTAACTTGGACGCAACTTATCGCCTTCTTAACATTCGGACATGATCTGGTGATAGTAGGGTCCAAGCTAACCTGCTGCCATCGCTCCACACAATTCTGTTCTTGACCCAAAAACCCAACATTGCCCAACAAAAACATCAGATTTCACCCTCAAAACGGCCTTCAAATAACTAGATGTGCCACCTGAGGTACAAGTAGAGATTGATGATTAAGATCGAGGTACTAAAGTTAATTACGATCTGGATGAAAAGTGAAATTTCCCGTTCAATTCCGATTCTATGAGGGCTGAATTTTTACATGAACCCAGTAATTAGAATTAATACAGTAGTTAATTAGTGAAAATTAATCAGTAAAGATACCGGTATGTGTCTCATCGTGAAAACGAAATTCAAGTTTCCTACATTTTGGCCCTTTCTGTTCAATGTGTTTTTCCAAATGGAAAATGGTTTAAGTACAATGTTTTAAAGCAAAATAGTGAAGAAAAAAATTCGAAATCAAAAATGGTAATTTTTGACATATATGTGGCTCTTTGTGAAAACGGTGACGATATGCGTTAACTTGTATAGTGATGTTATGCATAAAATCAACAAGACTCCCCCGGTTCTTTTCAGAACCACAAAAGCTCACAAAAGTGATTTCTTGCCACATGTGCAACGTACTGCGAACTCATTGCAAGGCCAACATTTGGGAAATCTTTTCAGAGATATTTACTGAGGTACCGGTACCCGCCAGCCTGGTATAAAGGTTACTGCTTCCAACAAAAATACTTTCTATTGACACTACATGTGGTGATTGTATTTCTCAATTGTCAGTGGTTTTGCTATCATGATCAGTTGCATGCTTTTATACACTGGAATTTTGTAGGGTTCCGACTACATGCAGATTGCATTTTTTTTTCTTTTCTTCACAGAATAACACTGTATACTGAGTTTCTGCCTTCCAAGACCAGAGGAATGTGTGTGGTGTTTACTGCAGTAAGTTGGCTCATACATGCCTGTCTGTTTGTCTAAATCTGTCTGTTTGTCTAAAATCTGGAAAACTGTTTGTCTACATCTGTCTGTTTGTTTAAACCCTGACAACAGTTTGTCTAGATCTGTCTGTTTGTCCAAAATCTGGAATGTTGTTTATCTAGATCTGTCTATTTGTCTAAAACCTGGAAAGACGTTTGTCTAGATCTGACTGTTTGCCAAAAATCTGGAAAGATGTTTGTCTAGATCTGTCTGTTTGCTCAAATTCTTGAAGGTTGTTTGTCTGGGATCCGCCTGTTTGTCCAGAATCTAGAAAGTTGTTTGTCTAAATCTGTCTGTTTGTCCAAAATCTGTAAAGACGATTGTCTAGATATGTGCGTTTGCCCAAAATTTGGAAGTTTGTTTGTCAAAATCTGTCTGTTTGTCCAAAATCTTGAAGGTTGTTTGTCTAGGATCTGTCGGTTTTTCCACAATCTGGAATGTTGTTTGTCTAAATCTGTCTATTTGTCCAAAACTTAGACGTTTGTCTAGATCTGACTGTTAGCAACAAATCTGGAAGACGTTTGTCTAGATCGTCTGTTTGCTCAAAACCTTGAAGGTTGTTTGTCTAGGATCTGTCTGTTTGTCCAAAATCTAGAAAGAGGTTTGTCTACATCTGTCTGTGTGCTCAAAATTTGGAAGTTTGTTTGTCTAGATCTGTCTGTTTGTCCAAATTCTTGAAGGTTGTTTGTCTAGGATCTGTCTGTTTGTTCAAAATCTAGAAAGATGTTTGTCTAGATGTGTCTGTTTGTCCAAAATGTGGAAAGATGTTTGTCTACATCTGTCTGTTTGTCCAAAATCTGGAAAGATGTTTGTCTATATCTGTCTTTTTGTCCAAACTTGGTAATTTTAACATAACGATTTTTAATGTGCGTTAAAATTAAACTGCGATTCAGCCTTTTGGCCTTGAAAGTATAATAAAATAAGCCATTGATAATAATAATAATAAAATGAGTCAGACATCAGACATTTTCTTACCGTTTACAATCCTTTTTACCCAAAACGGATGTGTCAAAGGTTGCACCACAAGCGCATTCTAAACTATCCAAATGAATTTGGCATGTATTCTCCATGTGACAGCTGAGAAGTGATTGCGCTATTTCATTTTGATGAAGCACCTTGTTGGTTTCATTTGACCTTTTGGCTCACCATATTTTCAATAAGCCTAGACTTATTCAAACCAACGTGGTTATTGCTCAGTGATCTGATGACAAAATACAATAGCAGGCATACAATAGGCAGACATTTGAACAACATCTGTGATTTATTTTTTCCCCCCCTTTATTTCACAAGTTTCCAAAACCGCTCACGATATACAATTGAGTAATTCAAACATAAAAGAGCAGTGTTTGAAATTCCCTTTAATAGTTTCCCAACCGTGTTGAATCCATGCATAGCATAACGCTCACGAAGACTGAGTGTTCATTGTATGTACCTTGTGTACCAAAAAAAGTTTCCCCTTCCCTTTTTCTTCAAAATCAGTTCCCTGTAACACACCCATGAGCGACTCTACATCAATAAGCGACACAAAACCTTCATTTTTCAGGCTCTTGCTGCAACCAGACAAACAGCCATTATAATCATCGTTCAATAGATACAAGCATTTGCCCGTGATCTCCTCAAATTATACACAGTTGGGATCACTGGCTCCGCTCCCACCACAGCCCGTCTTTCCAGTGCTGCTGTTTTCAGTTCGTTGGTGTCACACCCTGACCTTTCTCGGATGTTGTCCACCCAGCGCATCTTTGGCCGGCCCACAGAGCGACGACATCCCTCTGGCATCCTATCCACAACAGCTGCCGCCAGAGTTGTAACGAGTCACTGATTTTTGTGACTCGAGTCGAGTCGAGTCATTTTAAAGAAGTGACTTGAGTCGAGTCATTAGGTCAAGAAGGTCGAGTTGAGTCGAGTCGAGTCACAGTGTGAAGTCGAGTCGAGTCGAGTCGAGTCGAGTATTTAGCTCGAGTCAATTCAAGTCACAAATATTTGAGCACTATACAATAAATAAACACAAGAGAGAAAGTCATTTTTTGCTTTTTAAATTTTACATTCGGGCTACTGCATGTGGTGACACCACATTTGCCTCTTAATGAAAATAAAAAGGGGGCGTCAGCTGATCACCATTCAACTAATGGGGACACTGATCAAACTATGTATACATTATTCACGAACATTCTAAAACGTGACGTGAACAAAAACCGGCACCGGCGTAAGTCATTGCAAATATGTTTCGCAAAGTTTTGCTTTTATTTTTGGGACTCGAGTCTCATTAGCCTTCCTCGAGTCGAGTCGAGTCATTGTGATGAGGGACTCAAGTCGAGTCGAGTCATGTGCTCGCAGTGACTCGAGTCGAGTCATTTGCCCATAGGGACACGAGTTGAGTCAAGTCACCAAAAATTGTGACTCGAGTCGGACTCGAGTCGAGTCATTGACTCGAGTCATTACAACTCTGGCTGCCGCCCTGTCGCCCTGCCCAACCACATGGCCCAACCACGATGCCTTTCGTTCCGGTGCTACTGCTGAAGCACCACTGGTCGCCGATCATCTCCATCAGGCTTTCATTCGTCACATGATCTTTCCACTTGATGTTGAGCAGGCGTCGCCAAATGGTTCGGCCGAAACTGTCTAGGCGTTTGATGTCAGCTGCCTTCATCGACAGGGTGGTGGCACCATACAGTACCCTGGATATGACTAGGGCCCGAGCAAGCTGTACCTTTTCCCTCAAGGCTGACGTGGGGGGGGGGGGGAGCGCAGGCATTTGCACTGCCGAAGAGTGGATTTTCCCATACCTAACGGCATCCGAACTTCCTTGAGATGATTTTCAAATGTTTATGAGATGATTTTAAATATGTAGGCCTATAGATAAATATATGTTCTTTTTCCCAATCTACAGGTCTTTTGGGCTTTTGGTACTGTTGTAGAGGTCCTCCTAGCTCTCATTGTCATGCCAACGCTGGGATGGCATTATCTTCTGCTTTTCTCAGCTTTTCCAGTTTTAATCTTCGTCTTAAGTTGTAAGGTAAGATTGTGCGGCATGATTACACTCAAAAACAAAAAGGAAAACTTTTCCACAGCCAAAATTGTGTCTGACTTTTAAAAATTGATTAATTTATTAGATAATCAAGCGTTTGTCAAAAGAATAGGCTTGACATTTTTCAAACTTTTGTCTGAATTCAGATTTTTTTTAATCGGAAAGAAAGAATTATCAGTATAGAAAGAAGTACAGTGGACCACCGCGATAACGAACATCGTGTGATCCACAGAAATTGTTCGCAATACTGGGTAGCAATCATTCGGTTATAGCGATTTTAAGCTGCCTAGTGCTCTGGTACTCACTTTTCAATAAATAGCGCCCTTCAGAACTTCACGCCCTGGTAGTTACTGAAAGATGACTTTGAACACGTGCCAACTCTTGAATTATGTAATTCCACAGTTTTTTTAGCTTACTTCTTACATGTACAGCAATGGGTGGCTTTCCCCTTCTATTCCTTGGGGAAATAATAGCCACTTGTCGCTCTTCTCTTGACATTTTTCAACAACAATGTTCGGTACGTTTAGTGGACAAAAATCGGGAGCCAAGGACGATGTTCGGTATAGCCGAATGTTCGGTATAGCAGTGTTAGGTGTAGCGACGTTCCACTCAAGATACTTTCCATCAAATTTCCAGACCGTTTTTAAATTGGCACTCTCATTCCTAACAGAAGTAATCCAAAACTAATTGGCTATTATGTTTAATAAGCTTGTGAACTTGAGCAATGTCAATGTTATTGAATTGGAACGGATTGTTCATCGGCTTTCCATTGATGCATACCGCTGCAGTCATGGAGTCTGAAAAATGCAATTATATTTCGTCAAGGTACAATAATTCCAGCTCGTGAGATGGGAACAGTCCAAACAATGCTGACTGTGTTGAAAGAAGAATCCCACACAGTTCATAGGAATGTGCAGGCCAGCTCATGCCATCACTAAATCGGCCTAATAGACTTTTATCATGCTGCCACCATTTCAGTCATGTTTCCTGTATCCAATATAAGTACTGAATGATAATGTTTTTGTGCAAAAAGGAACCAGACTATTTGTCTTGCCAGCCTCGCTTTGGTTACATAGATTTGAATGGGAAAAAGTCAAATGGCTGCACCATGATAATGGTCTATTATTACTAAACTCCCTGTGAAATTATTTTGAAGAAAGCATTAAAGAAGGTCATTCCCAAAGATGTGTCAAAGTGACACATTTTTGGAAATTTTCAATGGCAGTTGGTTTGTAATTGGGCGAAGCTGTGAAAAAAATGAAAGCTGCAAGCGTGTTGACACGACGCACACGTGCCCGGTTGCTATTCAGTGTGTGACATCACGTAGCAACAATTGACTGAATGAGAATCATGTCCCGAATGCTGATTTCGAGATTGTGTCGAGATTAAAGCAAGTTTTGAATTGAAATCGAGATCCAGAATGTTGAGTTTTCTCAAAATTAAGCACCCGTCTTAAAGATTTTGAGCACTTTTGTTGCTTCAAACAAATGAAATTTGCACCAATGACAAATGGTCTACTCTCCCTTTAACCACGTCGACTGTGGAGACTTCTAAAAAATAAGGCTAGATAGCTGAGTTGGTACAGCACCAGAACTATGTTTTGGGAGGGTTATTTTTGAAACTCTTTACAGTCATTTTCTTTGATTTATGATCCATTGTTATTTGTAATTGGGGTCTTGACTGGATCATTGCTGTGGCCTCCTGGTTAAGGGCACAGGATTCGTGGTCTGTAGGGAAAGCTGCTGGTCGTGGGTTCGAGTCCAGCCTGGGGTCATGGTGCGTGTGCCCTTGGGCAAGGCACTTTGTCACTCATTGCTTCTCTCCACCCAGGAGTAAATGGGTACCTGTGTGGGCAGAGATGGTTATTGTGGTTGATTTAGCTTCCTTGCGCCTAACAGGCTGCATCAAGCTGTATAATCCCCAGGGAGCTGAGATAGTATTTGGAATGTTTAATTGGCCCAATAATCAGGGGTAATAATAATGTAAAGCAATTTGATCTTGATTAAACGCGCTATATAAGAACCCATTATTATTATTATTACATGTATTATCATTTTCAGTGGTTACCGGAGAGTGCCCGGTACTACGTAGCATGTGGTAACCAGCAGAAGGCTCATGAAATTCTGAAAGCGGTTGCCTTGGCGAATAACAAACCTATGCCACTCGGTAAACTCAAGATTGAAGAAGTGCCGGTAAGTACAAGTTCTTCGTTGTTACACCCAACCCAGTTGCAGCTTAGGCTGAATTTCTGCTCGAACTGACGTAACAATTTCTACAGTCAACTCCAATTGGCTGGTGCGCTAGGTCACATGAAATTTGCATGCACACACACATACATGTATATCAGATGTTGGTTACGTAGAAGGCTCTGTTGCACAGTGGGTGATACTCAGACTAGTACTTTTACACAAAGCGAATAAAAAAAAAGCTGTGCTAATGTAAAGCATGCATTTTAAGGCGAATGTTTGCAGATGCTTGGAGATTTCCGTCACTATGGCAAATTTTTTAACTTACAAAGCATGCTCCATGCTCTATAATGTCCTTTCTGCTTGCAAAAAGTCATATGCATAGCAGTGCATTTAAATTTAGAATGGGAATAAGTTTAAACTGTGAACTGGATCGTTTTCCAAAAAAAACCAAGTGTGAGTGGTTTGGACATGTAAGTGGTAATTTCATTCTGTTTGATTCGCCATACCTGGGTAATCTCAAATCGAAAAAAGTAATGACGTTTGCAGTTAGTTGGACAAAAAGATTGTCATCTTGAGATTTGACATTGTTTTTTCCAACTTGCAATTACATCATCAGGTTAAGAGAGGTTCCTATGCGGATCTCTTCAAAACCAAAGAGATGGGAATAACGACCGTACTACTGCTGTTCATTTGGTGAGTTTTAAGAAGTCTTACGCTCATTGTCTTTAGAAAAAATCTCAAACCTAAACCTAAATGTAGAATCGAGCAGTCTATTGTGCCCAACCAATTGATGTTTTGGCCAATCACAGCCAAGGTAGCAAAACCAAATGTCCGACAAAAGCCTGACATGGTTCCACTTAAGTATGATATGCGTAACGAAGCATGCATTAAGGCATTGGGCAGACGCGCGTGTTGTCACCCGTATGCTATCAGTGAACATGGAATTTGATCTGGAAATGGCCACATTTCTTGGCGCTGCTTAACAGTTAGCAGAAAAGTTTTGCTAACTATGGCAGAAAATTGTGCTAACCTTAGGCACTATTTCATGGCATGGATGTGTTAATAGTTGAGCATGCATAGAGGTGTGTCACTGATTAACCCTAACCCCTTGAGCACTTTTACTAGAAAGTATCCTGAATCCACCAAATCCACCTATTGTGTCATGCACAAAAATGTAGGTGTTGGTGACTGCTCAGTATGGAGATATCCTGAATCCATCAAAATCATGGAGTATCGCTAGGCTTACAGTCCTGAATCCATCAAGATCCCTCTATTTTCAATATGGAGGTATCCTGAATTCACTGAATACTCCAAAACATAGGTATGGATTTTTAATGGATTCAGGGTGGTTAGGGTTAAAGCAACTTTTTTTTCTGAGGTACAAAAAAAAACTGCTTGTGGTGTCTGTGTAAAAGATGGAGTGCCTTGAAATTTAGTTCCAAATAGATACAGCTAAGCCAGCTGTAAAGAGCTGGGCTGAGCGTAATTTCAAGAGAAGGACCCAGCTCTAACTCAACTCTAACACCAATCCTACTTGGGTTTCTCCAGCACCTAAATAGCATCTCATTTACATGTACTTCTCCAGTTCAACTACATAATTCAAAATTGGGTTTTGCCCTTCACGGAACTTCTTTCATAAACACTGTGTACTTGTGTGGGGTTTAGGATAAAAATTTCACAAGCTTACAAGTTTGGGTGGGACTCGAACCCATGACGTCCTGTTTACTTGTATAGATGTCTTTCCACTCGACCACCGAGCTTGTCGGGGTCAGCCATATCCGATACTGTTTGAGTTATTGTTGTACATTTCCTTTATTTCATTGCCCAGGTTTGCGAATGCTTTCGCTTACTATGGAATTGTCTTGATGAGCACGGAGCTGTTTGCAACCGGAAATACTTGTTCCTGTAAGTTAAAATCAGTTCTGTCTCAAGCCAATATTGAATATGGCTCATCAAGTTGGTATCTATCAAAGTTTCCCTGCAAGTTATGGTTAAGTGGCTTGCCCAGGGACATAACATTTGATAGCAGCTGGATCTGAACCCATGACCATCAAATCACAAGTCATAGACCTTAACCACTTGGCTACGCGCCTTTCATTTTGAAAGCAAGTCATTCGATGTCAACTTGGACAGCATTCAAATCAAACAATATCTCATCTTGGCATCCTAACATTTGATAATACATGTATCATTGACAGTTGTGTGAAATTGACTACTCTTTATAATGATTTATCTTGTTTCATATCTTTTAGCGGAAGGCCAATCTCAAAAGCAACTTGAATGCTTCGATGCCTGCAAATCCCTGACAACTAACGATTACGTACTTCTCTTGTGGACTACACTAGCCGAGTTTCCTGGTATGTGTATTTTAAATGTTAAACTCGATTTTGCCCCTCTTTTAAATTTTTGCTGTAATTTCATAAGTGCTGTATACTCTGTATTGTCTGAGAGGTTACGAGAAATAAATTCACAGGCCTGCTCGGGTGGGACTGGAATCAATGACCTTCTGCTTACTAGCGCAAACCAGATATGTGTATGTTAGGCAGTGTCTCAACAACAATTTGGATTGAAAGATTGAAATTTGGATTGAAACGAAATGGAATGAAGTCAGTCACAAGTCTACTATACATGTAGCTTTGCATCCATAATTTATCCTCACAAATATTAACTCAAATAAAACAAAAAGGAAAACTGACTAGGTGCATATGTAATGATTAGGAAGTTGAACAAAGAAATTGACTGGAGCAGGGTTTGAACCTGCGACCAACGGGTTGCCGTTCCAGTGCTCTAGGCCAGCCCTATGTTGGCAGATCCTCATATTCCCACCTCTGGTCTGGTGTCTTTGTGCCATTCTCACCCATTGTGAACAATGTATTGGTGCTGAGCGTCTCATACGCAACTATGCAAGAACTTGCCCCAAATCATGTGACTAGCAACAGCGTTTTTGGTCTGGAGAATTCAAAGTTAAAATGTGCCAAGCATTCTGAACAAGTCAGTGTACCAGATGTTTTTCAAATGTAAATCCCAAAGGGTATAGGTTACTCGCAAATGGCTTATTGTCTACGCCATGTTTAAGCTGATGTGCGCATGTTCAACATGAGTCAAACAATAGAAAAGGACTGCTATGTTTTCTACCACCAACCGTCGCACAAGTCTCCCATTGTCTTTCAATTTCTCCTTTTGTAGGTATCATCCTCACATTCGTCATCATCGAGAAGTTGGGCAGAAAGAAGACAATGGCAGTAGAGTTCCTGTTTTTTGCAATTTTTGTGTTTCTACTTTTCATTTGCTCGTCAATGTAAGTAAATTTTATAAGATAATAATTATATCTTTCCCTTACCGCATGGCATGTTTACCCAGAACCGTACATTTGTATCGATATTTATTGGTTGATTTATCAGTAATAGAAAAAAATTGAAATTATGGGGCCACTGGTACTATATGGCCTTGTACCTTTTACATGCAGCACTAAAAATGATGTGTTAAAGGGAAATATACAGCATTTGCAAACATCAAAAAACAAAACTACCAAATTATTTGGAAATACATGTACCTTACTGGACTGTTAGTGAATGATGGTCTAAAGCATCCTGTGAAATCATGGCACCTGGTGTGCTATCATTTTCAAGAAAAGGGTAATTTTTGTTTCAATTTCCAACGCTGGTCGGCCACCTGACTTTTGTTCAACTACTGCCACCAATTTACCAAATTTATTCAGTCCACATTTTGTTTGCAATTGGTTACTCGTCCGTGAACGGGTGCAAGCCAGTTAGACTGGTTTCCTGACCTTACAATTTCCCGACGACGTCTATAAATTGCTCCGTTTAATCTTAAGTGGGGTCAGGGAACCAGACTTCAAGTACATGATTGTTTTTCTTGGTTTTTCCAGCATCTACGAACACAAGACTTTAAAAAAGTCAGTGAAACATTATTTGCTACAATACTACCCCCCCCCCCCCCAGTTCCAGCCATTTCTGAGAATTAATTACGGCAAAAGCAAATGTTGTATATTCCCTTTAATGCTTGACACTTCTGTGTTTATTTTTTTATGCAGGACGTTAATGACTGTCTTCCTGTTTGCAGCTAGAGGGTTTATATCAGGGGCATTCCAGGCAGCTTACGTCTACACACCTGAGGTAATTGATTGGCACCTGCTAGGTTCTAGGAGAGGGGAGGGGCTTGCATGAGGGGGGGGGGGTAGTCTGTGTGCAGGACGTTAATGACTGTCTTCCTGTTTGCAGCTAGAGGGTTTATATCAGGGGCATTCCAAGCAGCTTATGTCTACACACCTGAGGTAATTGATTGACACCTGCTAGGTTCTAGGAGAGGGGAGAGGCTTGCATGGGGAGGGGGGGGTTAGTCTGTGTACAGGACGTTAAGGACAGTCTTTCTGTTTGCAGCTAGAGGGTTTATATCAGGGGCATTCCAGGCAGCTTACGTCTACACACCTGAGGTAATTGATTGGCACCTGCTAGGTTCTAGGAGAGGGGAGAGGCTTGCATGGGGAGGGGGGGTTAGTCTGTGTACAGGACGTTAAGGACAGTCTTTCTGTTTGCAGCTAGAGGGTTTATATCAGGGGCATTCCAAGCAGCTTATGTCTACACACCTGAGGTAATTGATTGGCACCTGCTAGGTTCTAGGAGAGGGGAGAGGCTTGCATGGGGAGGGGGGGGTTAGTCTGTGTACAGGACGTTAAGGACAGTCTTTCTGTTTGCAGCTAGAGGGTTTATATCAGGGGCATTCCAAGCAGCTTATGTCTACACACCTGAGGTAATTGATTGGCACCTGCTAGGTTCTAGGAGAGGAGGGGCTGCAGTGGGGAGGGGGGTAGTCTGTGTACAGGACATTAATGACTGTCTTCCTATTTGCATCTAGAGGGTTTATATCAGGTGCATTCCAAGCAGCTTATGTCTACACACCTGAGGTAATTGATTGACACCTGCTACACAATGTAGGTTGTGGGAGTAGGGAGGAGCTTGCAGCGTTTATGATTAACCATCAAGGGGGGGGGGGAATCTCCCTATCCCACACTCCTTTGATAAAAATATCTGAAAAGGAAACTTACCAACTTTTAATATGTGATTCATATTTTTAGGTTTACCCCACAGCCACCAGAGCCTTGGGTGTAGGATCCTGCAGTGCCATGGCTCGGATTGGAGCTCTCTTGACTCCATTCGTGGCCCAGGTAAGCAAGCTTTGGTCCCAATCATTACTTCATATATCATCACGATCTTATAGAAGTCATCACATTGTAGCCGACTGAACTGTCTTCAAATAAGTGGTAGGGCGCCCCCAAAGGGGTAGCATCTTAAAGGGAAGATACATCATTTGCTTTTGCTGTAATTTTCAGAAATGGATGGATTTGGGGGGTTGGTAATATATAGCAAATATTGTTAAACTGACTTTTTTGACGTTTTGGGTTCGTAGATGCTATAAAAACCAAGAAAAACAATCATTTTCCTGTAGTCTGGTTCCCTGACTCCATTTCAGAAGGACAGAGCAGTTTACATATATTGGGGAATGGTAAGGTCAGGGAACCAGTCTAGCTGGCTTGTACCCGTTCATAGGTGTGTAATCGATTGCAAACAAGTGCGATGGTCAACTGGGGCCAGTATTTGAAAAAAGCCAGTTTTTTCCAACGCTGATCGGCCAATCAGCGTTGGAAATTGTATCAAAATCACCACTTTTTTGGGAAATGACAGTTACCAGGTGCCATGATTTTACAGGATGCTTTACACTGTCATTTACTAACCGTCCAGCAAGGTATTTCAAAATGATTTGATAGTTTTATTTTTTGATGTTTGCAAATGTTGTATTTTCCCTTTAGGGAAGATACATCATATGCTTTTGCTGTAATTTTCAGAAATGGATGGATTTTGTGGGGTTGGTAATATATAGCAAATATTGTTAAACTGACTTTTTTGACGTTTTGGGTTTGTAGATGCTATAGAAACCAGGAAAAACAATAATATTCCTGTAGTCTGGTTCCCTGACTCCATTTAAGATGAAACAGGGCAATTTATAGACATTGGGGAGGGGAATATGGTACGGTTAGGGAGCCAGTCTAGCTGGCTTGTACCCGTTTATAGTTGTGTAATCGATTGCAAACAAATGCGGACTAACTAAATATGGTAAATTGGGGGCAGTATTTGAAAAAAGCCAGTGTTTTCCAACACTGCCAGTGATGAATCCCCTTCTGGCTGCATTAACTGGCGCCCTCTGTTGTTGATTACAGGTCATGTTGGGCGTGTCTCCTCATCTGGCTATATCCATCTATGGAGGCGTGGCATTAGTTGCTGTGATTGCTTGCTTGGCACTACCTGTGGAAACAAAGGGCCGAGAAATGCAGGTAAGGAACCAAAATTTGATTTTGACATTATTTTCTTCCAAAGAACAGGTAAAAGGAAATCGCCACAAAGTGACAGTAATTTTGCCAATGGAAGTATAAGGCCCAAAAAAAAAAGTCTCCGGTTTCTGGTATGGAGCTTGCCCAAAAAGTGGTGCGGCGACGCGTCTTTTTGTTGTTTTTTTACCTGATTTTTTTGCTTTAAATATCGGCTGATGACTGCAAATGGTGCCCGACTAAACTTAGTGCAAATATATAAAATTATGCAGCAGCAGGATTCCAGTCAAACCAGTGAGTTTGGCGGTTTTGAGACATCATCTTTCATTGAAAAAAAAACTTTTTCATTTTGCCAACGCACATGGCTACGGCGACGCGCGCGCATACCAGAAATCGGAGACTTTTTTTTTTGGCCTAACTGTGTAATTTTTTTTTACCAGTGTGCCCTAGTAATGATGGATAGCGCCCTCTGTTGACTAAAAGAGAGGTTACATAAAGAAATCATTTACAGTCGACTCTCGTTAGTACAAACTCTGTTAATACAAAATTCTGGTTATAACAAACATAAAGCCTTGGTCCTGACTGTGCATTTATATGCACAATGAATGGGACTAATGTTCCTTTTACTACAAAATTCCGATATAACAAACAATTTGGCTAGGTCCGAACAAGTTTGTTTTAACGAGACTCGACTGTAATTGTCTCTAGCTGTCAGTAGTAATGTCTCTGCCTCTTTTCTCTTAGCGACGTAGGCGAGATATGAAAGTACATGAAACAAGTGGTGTCGGAGTAATGCAAATGTGGTATAGACGACACACAGGACAGGACATACAGGAATAGGCAAGCTTCGTAGTAAGTTGGTCCTAGACCAGTCTAAGTCACATGTGACTGTCAGTCTGTGATATAGGTAACCAGTATAATTCTCATGTGACAGCTAGTCAGTCGGTCAGTTAGTCAGTCGGTCAGGTACTAAGAGCACACTAGGCTGCCCCCCCCCCCCCCTGGCACCAGCAAAGACCATTGCAATAATCCTTGGCATAATTTTGCTGATTTCACAATTTCTTTCAGACTGTTGCCACCAAATCAAAACCAAAGAGTGCAACATCCGAGGCGGGCACGTCAAGGTGATGTTTTCGTGCAATAAAAGTGTGTGTTTGTCGTTTATGTTAACTTGTTCTCTGAACTCACAATGTGTAACGTAGCCATACAATTTTAAATGTAATTGTTCATTTAGTTGTGGAATTATGGATCAAATTAGGTTTTTGCCCTTCACCGATGTTTAAACACTGGATACTCGGTGTGTTACCTCCCGAGTGAAAGTTGGAAAAAAAATCACTCGGGTGGGACTCGAACCCACGACCCGCTGCTTTCTAGTGCAGATGTCTTACCACTCGACCACCAAGCTAACGGGATCAGTTGGCTGGTTCGAATCTGATGTACATAGCAGTGGGTACCGCATTAATATTATAAGGGCAAAACCTAATTTGATTTACTTATCCCGACGCAAAATTCCATCTTATAATAATTATGGATCAATTACGTTCAGCAGCTATCTTTGGATTCAATATTGTGTTTTGCCCTTCACCGACGTATTTTATAGACTCAGTGTTTGAGTATTGGGAGAAAAAAAAGAGTGAAAGTTGGAAAAAATCACTCGAGTGGGACTCGAACCCACGACCACCTACTTTCTAGTGCAGATGTCTTACCACTCGACCACCGAGCTTGCCGGGGTCGGTTGGCTGGTTCGAATCTGTTATACATGTAGCAGGGAGTACTGCAACCAAACTACTTTTGGGATGGAACATCTTGTAAATGCAGGCATTTTGGTCTGGTATCCTGAGTGTGTCTGTCATGCATTATTACATTAACTGTGCTTATTATTTTGTGGTCACCGGTAAGTTAAAAAGGGGGGGGGAGGTGTTAAAGTGAAAGTTTAAAAGGGGGTAAAGTGAAATTATTCTTTTGTATCTGGTATGCTGTCATTTTGAAGAAAACAATGAAAGATGGTCATTTCCAAATATGTGTCTAAAAACACATGTTTAAGATATTTCCGTTTGTAGTTTGTTTTGAATTTGGCCGTGAATGGGTGCGCGCAAGCATTGACACGAGGCACACGCGTGCAAGGTTGCTATTATTCGTCGGTTCAGTGCGTGACATCGCGTAGCTGCAATCGGCTGAATGAGAACTTGTCCCGGACGCTGATTTCGCGGGCGCTGACTTTCCGTGCGCAATTCAAAACAAGACTCGGCAACTTTTGAATTGAAACCGAGATTCTAGAATATACAGCATAAACTCGGAATATACAGCATTCGCCAAGCTCAAACTTCATCAGCTTAGTTGTTGAGCACGCTTCTTTCGATTTTGAGCACTATTGTTGCTTCAAACGAACAAAATGCACAAATGACAACTGATATGTACTCAAATTGTCAATAACTTGCTTTTGTTTGCTCCCTCGGAACCCCCAGTAAGTAAATACATAGAGCTCATTGTACGAAAGGTTTTTATTCAAGTTCTACCGGTATTATTTGTTTTGTTTTGTTTGTGATCAGTGCAATATAAATGTACTTTAAAAGTAAATACTTGATGTCTTATTCACATGTACTTAATGGTAACTCAATCGAAAATATTTGGTTGAACAATACCTTTTGTTGTGCAATTACTCATCAAATAGGATAAAACAAATTTATGATATGAATGTTCAATATCGAGAAGATATTTTAATTTGTAAATAGTTGCAAATTGAATGAGATAAAATTTGTAATTGTCCTCGCAGTTGATCTTTCAATTTAGGATTTAACATTTAGGACATCCTAGCCAAAAATAAATGGATGAATATGTAATTAATGTATTGATTTTTATTGTAATTTGCTAACTTTCATGTCCCCATGTTGGCCCAGTTGTATGAGATGTACCCTTAGTCAGAACTCCCCACTAGCAATGGCAAATGTGATGAGTAACAGCTAGGATTGTCAGTGTTTTTTACTTGTCATTTAAGTATCAGTCATAAGACATTTTATCAAGTCAATCAAAAGTTGAGTCATCCAGTCTCGGGTAAAGCGATAATGTGTTAAAATAATCTATGACAAAGGTATTCCTTTGATTTTGGTCATCTTTTGTTTACTTATGAATTGAATTGTCATTTGACTTGTGATTGGCTTGTGATTGACTTGTGATTGCCTTGCGATTGGCTTGGGATTGACTTGCGATTGACTTGCGATTGACTACAGTTGTGATTCACTTGTGATTCACTTGTGATTCTCTTGTGATTGACTTGCGATTGACTTGCGATTCACTTGTGACTCACTTGTGATTCACTTATGATTCACTTGTGATTCTCTTGTGATTCGTTTCTAATTGACTTGTGATTCACTTGTGACTCACTTGTGATTCACTTGCGATCCACTTGTGATCCACTTGTGATTGACTTGAGATTTGTTTTAGATCAGTCTTCAGATTTTGTAAGCAATTGTCAGCGTCCCAATGGAGTTCCAACTTTTAAATATTTAACATTGTTTAAAAATCAAATCCAAACCAATTTAAATTTAACCTTTGGAGAATCTGATTAGTTTTGTGAGCACTTTTCATCCTCAGATAAGTTTAGCACAAATTATTTTAATACTTAATAATTTGGAGTTTGTGATGATACTGTGTATAAATTGGTTACGCCCAAACTGTACCAATGGCCCAACTAAAGTTTGGGCAGTCCCAACTACATGTATAGTCTGGTAGTGTCAACCATAGTTGGGAAGATCCCAACAATGGTTGAGATCATACCAACTGTAGTTGGGCAATGGTATAGTTGGGGTGTAATAAATTCCATATTTTGAAAAGGTCCTTCTCAGAACGACACATGACTGAAGAAAAGACATTTACTAAGGGAATCAATATGTGCTTGGCCGGTTCATTATCAGTGACCATGCCCCTGAGCTGGTCATAAACGGACGTTTAATAACGGCCAAGCACATGTTTATTCCCATTCATAAATACTTTTTCGGTCAAAAAGTCAAAACAAGTCAAAAATTATAAATTTCCAACGATTTTTTTTCAACAGTTTTACTTCATGTTTTTTTTTTAACTCCTCTCAAGCTATGTTATGGTATGTGCCTCTCGCAAGTAGTCGTAAACAACTCCTTATATGATTAGCGCGTGCGAGTGGCGCAGAACGCAGCTGTGCTGGTGTAGTGACGAATTTAGGACTATGAAATACGTACTCATTGGTAGTATTGTGCATGTCCAAGTAAGGAATGTGAGCGTTCCACCAATATATGGGTAAGAGGGACCAGATTTCATAGGAGTCAAAATTTCATGTGACACTGGAAAAGTGTTTAAGACCAGCTAGCCATGTCTTTATCATCCGTTTAAGACCGGCCATGTGACGGGCTCCCGACCAATAGGAATGGGTATGTCTGAGGTATTTATGAATGTCACAGTATGTCGACTCAGACCATCACTTATTTCTAACATCAACATGGTAACTTAAAAATCTTACATAAGTTATATTATTGCTTTGATTTGTGCACATACATATTGACCTATGAGCATTATATATTTTTGATATGTTGCAGATTCTGGTTTATGTTATTTATTTATTTATTTATTAATTTTCAAGATAAAATGTGTCTGAATAGTTATCAATTTCTTTTACACAGAATGATTGTGTATAAATATTTCTATTACGTGCAGTTTTGTTGATAAATAAACTACTTTACGTTTCTCTTAATGTGCCCAGCCAAATACTTAGAATTTATGTGACAAATTTGTAATAGTCGTTCAGGTTGCCCAAATTTTTTCAAATAATTAATCAGTAAAAAGTTTAGAAATATATTTGTGGCATCAATTCAAAATGATTAAATGTATTAAAGCAAAAAGTTTGTGTTCTTAACACAATTTCCTTCTTTCAACAATATTAATTTACTTTCCAGTCTGTTTCAAAGTTGTTTTCAAATTTCTAAACTTTTACCTATGTTAATTTCAATTTCTCAATTTGATCAGATGCTATTCTACACTGTAGGGCTGTCTATGTTCAAATACTTTAGTATTCAGGCATGCAACTTTTCCTCAGATCCGCTGATTTCCTCGTTTTTTACTTCTCACGAATGCCATTAAAATTTGAAAAAAGTGATTTTGAATTTCCTCGGTTTTTTTTAAATTCCGAGTTGCATGCCTGTATTTGACTATTCGAGACTGCACTTGACCGAATATTCAAATATTCAAAACTAGCCAATTACACACGCCAGCTGCAGCTGCCTTCCTCATTGGTCAAAATTTGCAGACAAAAAGTACTGTAAAACTGTCAAGGGACTTACCCAGCTAAAGTAATGGGACCAATAAATAGGCGTCGACAAAATAAGTGATGGTGGACAAAATAGTGGCATCTGACAATAACAAACGCAACCTTACGAGTAAAATAACATCACAGTCATGTATGTGTGATCTGATACACGGTACCCTGTGGAGACATGTGTATAATAGGGAACAAAAGATTGTATACGTCTCCACGTGGCAATTTCTATAGGTGAATACGTCTCCACAAGGTTATCACGAAATAGATAAGGATTTTCTCAGAAAGTAGGAATTTCCAAGGTGTGTTGATCCGTCGCAAATTGAAATAATTTATGTAAGGGATATTGAGTCCGAATTTCAGCCCAGGAAATCAATTCTGGTTAAAATAGGAGCATTTTGAAACTAGATTTTTAAACTCAAAAGTTTAGTACATGAGAACAAAGAAATGACTCCACAAGGATACAAATTCCAGTATGTGTGCACATGCATAGTTTTTTTTTTCCTTTTTGAATATTCAAACTAGCAAAAAGCTATTCGAATATTTGGTTGATGATAAATTATTTCAATATTCCGTATATCCCAATATGTTCCTAATGAGAGAAATACTTGAACAAAGTCTTTGTAATTGGACTCACTTTATTCCTGGACTTTGCCAAATTAAAAAGCACACACTTATTTAAATTTTAAATTTGCCAAAAATAAATATACACCACTTCTTTTCCCAGTGACCTTTGAGATTAAACAGCCTCGAAGCACTTTATAAGTGCGAAAGAAATTATTTGCTGGTATGAATTTCAATGTCAGGAATATCATATTGATTTCATTGTTAGTTGACGTGACTGACATCCCTGGTACCCATGCTTGTGATGTTCACATGATCATATCGTGGTTACCATTGCAGAAATGTGCTGGTTGGAAAATACTGTTTAGAGATCTGTTAATAATGATAAATGTTTATCATACTGATTGCAACCCATAGCACAGTGCAGTGTCTCAGTTTTTAGTTGGTATACACTCGACGGTTCACCGCAATCCTTAATTTATTCCGGCTGAAAAACAAACGGTTGTCTGTTACTAGTACTTGGAATGAAAATATCATTGCGTGCCAATACGTGTGAGTTGTCGTCACAAATTGTATTATGCAAATGAAGTACCATATGTTGTGATATTGTATTACATTGGTTTGCGTGGCATGATCACTTGGTATTTCAAAGGTTTAATCAACTGTGTGAGTCTGTAGTGCAACAAGTGGTTCCCACATATGTTTTTTGGACAACATCTAACTGCTGCAGTGCTGCCATTTTCGGATTGGACTACTAAAACTATGGGTTTTGTTTATGCTGCATATGTTCATATGTAATTATGATCAATGCTACTGTCACTCCATTGCAGTGGTAATTACACAAATAGAACACGCAGGTAAGTTATTTTTTCGATTGTTTAACAATTACCAGCAGACAAAAGACCTTACGTAGCAGCCATCTTAGAGGGCATTGCCTTTGTTTTGCTGGGATATGCATGAGTGAACCTTTTGTTCTTTTATTGTTACTGAATTAAAATAACAAAAGATGCCCTCTAAGATGGCTGCTACGGATAAGGTCAATTATCAATTATTTAATTCTAATCCCCAGAAATTCTTATTTTTCATTTCCTTTTTGTGTATTCAGCATGTTGGATGGATTGGGTGGAAGTATTCGAAATTACATTAAAGGGAAGATACAACATTTGCAAACATCAAAAAATGAAATGATCAAATTATCACGAAATACCTAACTGAATGTTAAGGAATGAAAGTCTGAACCATCCTGTAAAATTGTTTATATTTAGTTATTCCGCATTTTCTTTGCAGTTGATTACACCCCTGTGAAGGGCTACAAGCCAGCTAGACTGATTCTCTGAACTTACAATTCCCCAAAGTCTTTAAATTGCTTTGTTTCATGTTAAGTGGAGTCAGGGAACAAGACTACAAGAACATGATTGGTTTTCTTGGTTTTTCCAGCATCTACAAGCCCAAAACGTGAAACAAGTCAGTTTAACAATATTTGTTATAACATACTAATCCTCCAAATCCATTTATTTCTGAAAATTGTAGCAAAAGCAAATGTTGTACATTCCCTTTAATTCAGGTTGTTTGTGAGGTGTATTTCAAAAGCCTCCTTTTTTTAAAGGGCGGGGGGGGGGGGGGGCATCTGTCAAACTTCGTGAGATTGATGATGGTTCACTTTTAAGTGCCAGAACAGTTGTACTTAGTTGTCAAATTGTGAACACGAAAAGCTAGACATTTCTGATTCTATCAAATACAAAATCCTTATCAATCCTGATCTAAGATTAAACTTGCATTTCTTTTTCTATTTTTTCGTGTTAATGTACTTCACTTTTTTTTCTCTTATTCAGTTGAAATAAAGAGTTCTGTTCTAGTCTCCAACACCAGTCACACTTCATGCAATTACCCGCTGAATTCTACAACCTTAATGCACCAGGCAGTCTTATTCACGGCTTGAACTGAGGATACATATGCATTTGATGAACATGGCCAGCGAGGCGTCAGCACCAAGGTTAAGAGGGAAAACAGGAGAAAAACTACCTTTAAAAGGTAAATGAGATTTTTAAAATAATTAGTGAGTTTTGCAGCCGGAGCTGTCATTTTCCATTAAAAAAAAGTAAAATACAATTTCATAACACACTGGTATGTAAAAAGAAAAATGCTGACTTTTTTTTTTTAATGAAAAATTGCATATGATTTAACAAGCATGTGTAACTTTGGGAGCGATGTAGCCAATTGTTTTCACTTGTTTAAATTTCCATAAAATAGAGCTGTATTTCTTAATGCTCTTCGCATTTTATTTCTTCCAGCAGAAAAATATAGATTGATTGCACTTGGCAGGCATCTTAGAGGTGTGTTTTGTTATGTTAATTCATTAACAATGAATGCGCATGGGGTCTAATCATGCGCGTACCCCTGTTAAACAAAAGCACACACCTCAAACATGGCGGCAGTGCAAACGATCTATAGTCAGAACTCGAGGTGAAAAAAAATTCTCTAGGCTAATTGTATAGTGGAGATTGGATTATAGGTCAACATATGGCTCCACAATTAGCAATGTTAAAGCTATAGTCCATCATTTGCAGCCATCCGAAAAGTAACTGGCGTAATTATTGTTGAAAAACATACTTGGTTGAAAGATAGTATATAAGTGGACTAAACTCCATGTGAAATTATTCTTTCTGGCAAGCTGTCATTTTGAAGTAATCAACAAAAGAAGGCCTTTCCAACGGTGTGTCTTAAGACGCACCGTAGGAAATTTAAATTAGTAGTTCGTTTTGTTATTTGGCAAAGCGCGCGCAAACATTGGCAAGGCGCACACGCGCCCGGTTGCTTGAATTCGTCGGATCAGTGCGCGACATCGCGTATAGCTGCAATTCAAAACAATTCAAAACATGATTCAGCAACTTTTGATTTGAAATTGAGATCCTAGAATGTTGTTTTTCTCAAAATATACATTAGATTTTGAACATATAGTGTTGCTTCAAACGAACAAAATGCACAAATTACAAATGGTGGACTATATCTTTATATGTTATCAGAATTACTCTCAGCTGTTGGTTCAGTACAATTTTTAATTTTCTAGGATAAGTTTTTCCGTCTCGATTCTACAGATTCGACCACAGTCCAAGGCTCCGCCGGCCTACTGGATGAAGCAGAGGCGGCACTCAAGATGCTGGAGTATGGCTCCAACTCGTCCTGGCCCAAGACCACATCAGACGCAGCAGAGGAGTCTGGGGACTATTCAGTCAATGACGCCATTGATGCTATCGGTGTTGGTTGGCTACAGATCACCATCCTTATCATGTCTTTTCTAGCCATGGTAGGTACACTTCAAAACTATAGATCTGTGATGCACTTACTTTGTTTCAGTTTTGAAGTCGAGGGAGTAGTGATGGATCAAATTTGTCACAAGTCCAATGACAAGAAAATCACAAGTCAATTTATGAGTCCAGGGGCAGATTTCACAAAACCCTAAGATGCGTCTTAGGATCGGTAACCCGTCTTAACTCGCGACTCGTCCTAGGATCGATTTCACCAAACTTAAGATGCATTCAACACGTCCTAACTTCCTTAGCAACGCGGCTAAACTTGTCTTAACATAAGATCGGTATGAGGGTCGTCTTATCTTATTAATGCGTGCGTTAATTTGTATATTGTCTGGAAATCATTTCTGTTAAAGACGAGTGTCGGCCTAGAGTTTTAGTTTCAAGGAAGAAAACTGCTGTAGAAACCGATTTGAAAAGATTTCAGATATATGTGGGTAGTTTTAATAAAAAATATCTTATTTACAAAATTTAATGTCTGCTAACACTTAGTTGTCTTTATAAAATAGATTGATAAAATGGGGAGCAAGAATGACTCAATCGTTTATTGTGTAGAACTACTTGCTTGTGAAATTGACCTATCGCCCTTTGCGAGTTAGCCACACCCCTTAGACAACCCTATGGGGTTCTTGTACACTAAGTTTTGATTGTCTCAGATTTTGCGCGTTCCGCGTCTATTTGTATGTATCCTGTTATTGGACAATATTTCACAAGCTGTGTTGACGGGATTCTACCGCGATTCTACCGCGATAGGTCAATTGATTGAGTATAGTAATTTTTCGGGCAAAAGTTTGTGTTCTATGCACGCGCACACGGGGGAAATTGGCTTTGCGTGCTTCTTCTTAACGACTGTTTCGTCAAGCGGTAAAAACAAACATGAAACAGCTATCGAATTTGTAGTTTTTATGCATCTTGCATAAGATGGGTTCAGTGACATCAGTCTTACGACGCATTTTGGCGAAGATCAACCTCAGAGCAGGGACTCGTCTTGACTTAAGATGAGTCGCAAGATAAGACGAGTTTCGTGAAATCGGCCCCAGGCATAAGTAACAGGGGATGATATGCAAAACAAAGCAATGTGAATTTGTTACAGTTGAGTTTTAGAAAACGCAACTTAGGACTGGATGATTTGAGATAGACTTGTGATGGACTTTGGATGGACTTGTGATGGGCTTATGATGACTTATGATCCATCCTTTCTCCACTAAAACACTGCTTTGTTCATTTTTTTCCTAGGGGGAACAAGGTTTTTGGACCTGTCTGCCAAGTCCCTTCCCTTCAAAAAGGATTGGGAAAAAATGTAAACTATTTTGCAGAATATGACACTATAGAATTTTTTCCAGAAAATTCCCTCAAAAATTTCAATCAAAAAAAAAAAAAAAAATTTAAAATACTTTCATAATTTTCTGAAATATACAAATTAAAAATTAACAAAATGAAATAAACAAGTTAAAATTTTGAAGATGAGTCCTTCACATGTTCTTGTTTCCTCTCTTCTGCTCTTGAAAATTAAAACAAAAATAATAATTTAGTCGGTTAATTCATTAAAATATCAATGATAAGTCATGCATATCGTGATGACCATGATTAATGGTGCTTCTGAAATGAAGCCATATGTTGATACCCACGGAGTATTTGCAGGCACTCATTTGGAGAATTGAAGGATATTGTATTCAAATTTCTCATTAAAGAGAGGTGTTCAGTTATGGAACACTTTAGAAAATGATCGGGAATTTAAGAAGAAATTGAGCATGTTTGGCTAATTACAGCAATGGTGTACTAAAGAAAACTCAATTTAATGGAAACACTTTTAGCCTCGTTCAGGACAACTATGCGTAAAAAAGTGTTTTCGTATTAAAAATAACATTTTGAATTAATGTTTAAAGATACAGTCCATCATTTGTAATTTGTGCATTAGTATGTTTGAAGCAACAAAATTGCTGAAAATTCGAAGAAGGGTGCTTAAAAACTAACCCTGACTGAGTTTGAGCTCAGTGAATGCTGTTTATTCCGAGACAACAAAATTCTAGGATCTTGATTTCAAATCGAAAGTTGCTGAGTCATGTTTTGAATTGGGCCTGAATTCAGTGTCCGAGACACGTTCTCACATGAGCCGATTGCAGCTACGCGATGTTGCGTATTGAACCCACAAATTATAGCAACCGGGTGCGCGTGTGCATCGTGTCAACCGTGCTGTGCTTCGCCTAATTAAAAACAAACTTATAACGGAAATTTCCAACGATGCAAGACGCATCATTGGAAAGGCTTTCTTTCATTGTTTTCTTAAAAGTGACAGCTTGCCAGAAAGAATAATTTCACAGGGAGTTTAGTCCCATTATTATCTTTAAACCAAGTATGCTTTTCAACAATAATTACGTCAGTTACTTTTTTGGATAGCTGCAAATGATGGACTGTAGCTTTAATGCTTGCAAGAATTTTCGGTCACTCGTTTTTTCTCTTCTTTTGATTCCACAGCTGGCAGTCTTTGCTCAGATTCTCCTGTCTACCACAATTAATGAAATCTTGAGATGTACTCTCAAACTTAGCGATGACAAAGTTGCACTAATCTCCACAGTGAGTATTCTTTTTTCACAAAGTATTTATTCCCCAACTAATTCATGATGTAGAAGTTTATTATTGCTAATAAAGTTTATACCGTGACAAAGCCTTAAAATTGAAAGGAAAAAAGGAAAAAAATATTTCGAAACAAAAGCAAAATTGGGCAGCCAGTGGCACCCTTTTCCTGGAAATCACAAAAACATTTCAGGTCCCTATAAATGTTCTGAGAAATAAATTCTTTGAAAGATATATTTTGGTTGCCCGTGAAAATTTACTCCTGTGACTTGGCCATAAATATGCATAATTATTCATAATCCTTATTCCACATATCATTCAAATCAATGTTTTTTTACATTGTGATTTCGTCTTTATCTTGTATAGAAAGGAGATTTAATTTGTCACACTCTGATTTTCAATTGATTCAAGCAACTTATTTTTTCAATTGTCTGTTTTTCCATACCAGATGTTGTTTGTCGGTGAGTTACTGGGCACATATCCTATCAGTAAGCTCATGGATACCTATGGAAGGAGACCGGTAAGCCAGTTATCAAAAGACCCATTCACCAAGCTCCGCCCTGGCATATTTTTGACCAATCACAGCCTTAATTAATGTCCGACATGTGTGCGAAAATTTCCGCCATGCGTACCCTTGCATATGACTCACGCGGCTAGAATATGCAACACTTTGCATTGGAAATTTAACAATTAATTACTTGGATTAAATTGCCCAAAGATTATGGTGTCAATGCAGAATAAATGAGCTCTGGTATGATTTCAGTTATTATTTGATTATCTTGACATTTATGAGCTTCGTGGGTAGGGGTTGTAATTTTAAATTTTTTACAATTCATAATCGCCCTAACCCATTAAGCCCCCCCCCCCCCAGCAATTTGTTTTCACCAGTCAAACGTTTTTGCTTGAATTCTTGAATTGTTTGTTTTTCTCTCTTTTTTTCCTCTGTTCTGTACGAGAGTTCCCAGCTCCCGGCCTGATATAATTACTGCATTATTTTGAGCATGTAATTTTAAAGTTTCCCAACATAACACACCATGATTTTCTCCCCTAGCGCCTTGACAAACATGTACACGTAGTTGGATGTGTGATGGGAGATAATGGTTTATCCATAGAGCTATATTAAATTATTAGAGCGCTAACTTCATGTACAAAGTAATGCCTGCTGGGTGCATCCATGTTTGTGCACAAATGGCTTTTGTATGGCTATATTTGCGTATCTGCGTTTGTGTTCCATACCGGTGCGTTATCGAAGCCAATACGCCCAAAACCGAAACGCAGCAAATGAGCGTGTCATTTTGCTCTAGACTAACAGCACAACGTGTGCGTGTATTCGCTGCAGATGCTTTTTGCCGTCAGGTTTTTTTTTCTTGTCCGTGTGTTGTTATCATGTTGTTTTTCTGTTGTTAGTGTTGTCTGTTAGGGCTGTTTCCTACAAGCCTCGGCTTACTTAAACAGCCCCATACTCCTTAGTTTCTTTTGTACATAAATCGAAATAAGTTTAACATTTCTTCATAGCGTATCTTACTGGTATTAATTTTCTTTTTTTTTAGACATATTTATTGATTTTGTTATCTTGTTATTTACCAGATTTCTTTTTTATTGATGGATGTATTCTCTAAAGGAGTATGGAATAAATGTTTTCTTGAATTGAATTGAATTGAAGTAATCGTCAATGACGCACTTAAGTTGTTTGCGCATGTTCTACTTGCGCGTTGCATGTAGATTTTACTTTCAAAATTCAATCCATCTAATTTCATTGTTCTAGAAACACGCACATGAATTCAAAATGTCTGCGCCCAGAGTGGCTTCAAAGCGTCTCGCACGCAGAAAGAGGAGTTAGCACTCTAGTAATTTAATATAGCTCTATGGGTTTATCACAGTATTTGAACTCTACAGAAATTCCCACATTTCTGAGAATTTCTTAGATTTGTTCAGATTCGCAAAGTTAACGAAACCGCTGCTCAATTTTTGTACCTAATTTCCAAACACCATCTTTTCTTCAAAGTTGTGGACTACCGTAAATGTCATACTAAAATTGTTTGTTGGTTTTCATTTCTCGGTTATATAAGTATGGTGCCAATATTTAACTGAATGATTATGAAGCTCGTCAACAAAGAGGTTCCGCAAAAATTCATGAAGAAAATCGGGGAAAATTCAAAGGATGCAACACTATTTTTTCATATTAAAAATACTATTTTTCTTTCAATTGTCCACATTTCCAGGGGTTGATTCTTATCACCTGTCTAATGTTCTTCTACTCGGCAATCGTGTCCATCGCCCCCAACTACGTCTGGGTTTTAATTCTCCGGTTGATAGCCGGCATTTTTGTTGTCGGAGTCCAGTCTTCCTTTATGCTGTACCTTGGTGAGATCACACCATCCAGTTTCAGAGCTCTCTTCGTTCTTGGACAAGTGGTAAGAACTGGGTGAAAATCCATCACTAGAATAATGGAATTTGCATGAATACATTTTTTTTTCTTGATTTTGAAAAAAATGAATTCGACAGATTAGAGTTGCTTTCCCGTACTCTTAAACAAACTGTAGCGGGAACCTTTTGGGCTCTTGTCCGCCAAGTTGAGCAAAACGCAAGAAAAGATGGGATTTCTAACTCTGTAGGAAGATCTAATTTATTTTCCCAAACGGACTCTGTGGTCAACTTGCCCCACTGCTACCAGAACTGCAACTGATCGATTTCCATCATAGACAAGCACAGCTTCACAAAATGTATTACAATGTTACAACTTTACCCAACCCTGGAATCCAGCCAAGCCCTACCTGTAGGTGAACAAAAGAACCCCATTAAAACAACCTATTTGTAGAACCTATTTCCGGAGCACGCGCTAGCCAGACCCATCCAAAACCAGGTCAGCACACCTGTGGCCAAACGCGCCAACAACGCACCGCCGGAGCCCTCCGGTGGCGACTGGTGAACAAAAGCAACAACAAAAGCAAACAAACTGTCCGTTACAAGATTTTTTTTTCTTTGGAACGTTTCAATATGTTTTATTTTTTTCAAAAATCTACTTTATTTCTTCTATTTTGGGGCATCTTCTACTAGAAAATTGGTTTTGTTTTGAATTGATGCCTCTAAGACCAAAAGATTCACCTGAATAATTATCAACAGCAAATAACTTGATATTTGTATAGTTAATACCTGTACTCCATAATTAAACATGGGTGAATTTTTCTTGTTTGGTGTCTCATTCAAAAGTGAATATAATTTGTATTTAATACTGGAAAAGTACCAATTTAAAAAAAAAATGGGTGAAAACAAAAAATAGCACAGCATCCGGAGGGCAACTTTTATCAAATGAAGAATCATATTCATACAAAAATGACAGGTTATTGTCTACATTTTGGTGAAAAGCTTGTTATAAATATAATGAATTTGTCCTTCTGAAAACTTGTTTTTGTTGAAAAGGTGTAACTTAATACTTGCCAATAGTCAAACAAGGATCTGACTAATATTGGAAGGAGCTGCTTCCAAATACAGTGTGCAATTTGATCTCAAATACCCGTGACTTTACCACAGCACATCTGGTCACCGTGTATAGAATCTACAACGTGTGCAATGTCCTATTTTTTGCAGTGTATCCTGACTGGGCTCATCCAATGAACAAGAAGAAATGGGAATTTTGAAAGAAAAGAAAGCATTGCAATTTACAACATATTGAAAATAATTATTGCAAATTGATGACTATTATATAAATAAAAACGTTGACCTCAACTTCCATTCAATAGATCACGCAGATATTAACAGTTGGGTAAATTCAAACACGGGAGTCTGTGACTAGACATCAGTGTTGATTTGAACCCCTGCAGTTTAAAAGGTCACAAACAGTCAAACTTTCCTTCCACTTCCCCTGGTATACTTTTAACACACCAATGGGTCACTTGACCAATATTGACCCAAGTAACAGCATGGTTCAGAATGCATGTTTGCATAGGAGGGTTAACGGTACCAAACTAGGCATTAAAACGTGAACGTGGGCTGGCGAGAATTGCACGCTCTAATCATCATTATTGTTACAGTCAGTACCAGCAATTGTAGAATAGACATCATAAACATAAAATGTAAAGCTCGTGGTAGACAGCAGCCCAAGGTAACTTTTCCACAGCTGAATTTTATGTCTTTTTCTTTATTTTAAACAAAGGGACATGTAGGTCTAAAAAAAAAACTGAAACGTAGGTTTTATTTCAAAATATGGTTATAACGGCTCAGTGACTGCAGAACTGTCGCATCGACTTGTGTATTGTATGACTTCCCTGCAGTCATAAGCAGGAGGTCGTGGGTTTGAGTCCCAACTGTGCAAGCTCGTGAATTTGGTTGTAAGGTAGACTCAGACAGCACGGAAGAAGGAAAAAAACAGTGATTATGAAAAATACAACAGTATAATGACGTGCAAAATTTTAAAACTAGCAACAACAAAAAACAATTTGTTTGCTCTGGTGAGTCATTTTATAAATTTGGGGTCTGCTTTTTTTCTTGCCTCTGTTCCATTCTGACATCTAAGATTTTATAATTCTGATGCACTCCTTATTGCAGTCATCCAGTTAGAGTGAATTATGAATAGCACACAACCGGTACCTACCCAAACAAATATAAAACCGTTTGAAGTCATTATTAATGAGATTCAGATTTGAATGGTGAATTACAAAGTACCATGGCAATATGGGCAAGAAAAAAGTCGCACTTTGGACCCTAAGTTTCTATACCCTGATGCAAATTCTGTCGTACAAGATATTCCTTGATAATATTGTTATATTTTGAGTCAGTTTTTTCCTCGTAAACTGATCGTCTGTCTGTTGGGGCGTGAGTTAACATGGAGGCTTTTTGTTTTGGGATCGTTAAACGAAATGCCCTGAGGCACGTAATGTTGCTGGTTATGCATGTAGAGTTGTCGTGATGGAGTCAGGTCAGTGAACCAACATTATGCATGTAATGCAGCCTTGAAACAATTGGCACATTGCCAAGCGAAATATTGTCAGACAATGTGTTTTTTTTGCCATTGGCAATATCACTTAACATCTAAAATTTATAAAAGTGCTTTTTAGTAAAGTGCTTTTGTATTAAATACATTAACTGAAATCATTTAGCTGTTCAACCATTTAGTGTTTTATATGTTTTTTAATATTCAAGATTGACAAAAAAGTGAATTTCTTTTATTGTATTAATCAAAATCTGAAATTGGATAACCTTTCATAATCCTCCTTCGATTTACGGCTAATGGAAAATGTGAAGCGAACATCACACCACAAAGCGTTAATGGCAAAATCGCTCATGTATTCCATTTTTGGGTGTCACATCACAAATAGTTGCCTTGATGAAAAAAAATGGCATTTGCATTTGATTCACACTGAGTCAGTGGCGCACCCAGGATTTGGCTGGGGGGGCTCACAAATTTTATGTCAAATTTGTTAGAAGATAAAATTTTTTCAAAAAATGTTGCCCAAATTTTTAGCCGCAGAAAAAATTGGTGTTTTTTTTTTTTTTTTTTTTGGGGGGGGGACTATTTTGACGTTGGTGGCGCCACTTACACCCCCATTATACTACTCGAAAATAGGCCAAAATATCACCAATTTTTCCTCTTATCTTCATTAGTGACATTGCTTTTAAAATAAAGTTATAAGGATTCTGATGCCCATTCACATTGAAGAAATATTTCCCAGAAGAAATTAAAAACAAATTTAATTACAACTGAACATTTAAAAAAAAATTCCTCCACTGATGCTATTAATAATTGAAAAACGCTGCATAAAGGATTGAAATTTCCTATTTTTTCTTACTTTCCAGTTGCTTGCCTGATACTAGGTTTATTAACCAGACAAAAATAGTTTCCTTAATGACCATTTGATCCTGTGATTTCTTTCAGCTTTTCTTTGGTATCGGCAGCGTGTACGTTGCTACGTTGGGATATCTTGTCCTTCCAGTCATGGGCTGGCGATTTCAGTGTCTGTTTGCTGCTATGCCTATCCTACCAGTCATGGTTGCTGCCTGGGTAAGAGATGTAGGGTTGTGATCCAGTCAATTACCAGTCACAAGTCAGTCACAAGTCAGTCACAAGTCAATCACCAGCCAGATCACAACTCAATCATAGATCAATCACACAACAAATCACAAGTTAATCACAAGTCAGTCAGAAGTCAATCACAAGTCAGTCACAAGTCAATCACAAGTCAGTCACAAGTCAGTCACAAGTCAATAACCAGCCAGATCACAACTCAATCATAGATCAATCACACAACAAATCACAAGTTAATCACAAGTCAGTCACAAGTCAGTCACAAGTCAGTCACAAGTCAGTCACAAGTCAGTCACTAGTCAGTCACAAGTCAGTCACAAGTCAGTCACTAGTCAGTCACAAGTCAGTCACAAGTCAGGCACAAGTCAGTCACAAGTCAGTCACAAGTCAGCCACAAGTCAGTCACAAGTCAATCACAAGTCAGTCACAAGTCAATCACAAGTCAGTCACAAGTCAGTCACAAGTCAATCAAATGTCAGTGACAAGTTAGTCATAAGTCAATCACAAGTCAGTCACAAGCCAGTGGCAAGTCAATCATAAGTCATTCACAAGTCTGTCACAAGTCAGATTTCAAGTCAGTCACAAGTCAGTCATAAGTCAGTCACAAGTCAATCATAAGTCAATCACAAGTCAGTCACAAGTCAGTCACAAGTCAATCACAAGTCAGTCACAAGTCAATCACAAGTCAGTCACAAGTCAGTCACAAGTCAGTCACAAGTCAGTCATAAGTCAATCATGAATCAATCACAAATTAGTCACGAGTCAATCATAAGTAAATCACAAGTCGAATCACAATAAGTTAATTACAGATAAATAATTATTCGATCATAAGTCAGTCATATCTCAGTCACATGTCAGTCACAAGTCAATCTTAAGTCAATCATACAATAACATATCAGTCACAAGTCGGTCTTAAGCATAGAGCTATATTAAATTACTGGAGCACTAACTCCTCATTCTTATCCGCAGAGACGCTTTGAAGCCGTCCTGGGCACAGACATTTTGAATTCATGTGCGTGTTTGTAGAACATAATGAAATAGATGGATTGAATTTTGAAGGTGTACTCTAAATTCAACGTGCAAGTAGAACGTTTGCAAACAACTTAAGCACGTCATTACGGTTTTAAAAAAAGTCACAGTTAATCATCTGCAGCGGATACGCACACGCGCTGCACTGTTTGCGTAGAGCAAAATGACACGCTCATTTGCTGATCGTGCGTTTCGGTTTTGGGAGTATCGGCTTCGGTAACGCACCTGTATAGAATACAAACGCAGATATGCAAATAGCCGTACAATTAAAAGCCGTACAAAATCGTGACTTTTCCATAGGTTTGTGCACAAACATGGATACCCCCAGCAGGCATCACTTTGTACAAGAGTCAGTGCTCTAGTAATATAATATAGCTCTATGGTCTTAAGTCAGTCACAAGTCAATCATAAGTCAGTCACACGTCAATTGATTGAGCTATTTCAGTGTTGTGTCATTACTGTAACAGATTTTCCCGGAATCTCCGCGGTATTATGCTCTGACGGGCAGCCTAAAATCAGCCGTTGAAACCATGAAGAAAATCGCGGCTGGAAACAACAAAGAATTACCCGAGGGCAAATTAATCCAGGCTACTATCCGTGATAAGGTGAGTTGTAGCAAGGGCGGATCCAGAACAAAATTTTGGGGGGGGGCCAAAAAAAATTTTTGGTCCCCCCAAAAAGTGGGTCAAAAAAATTGGATTCTAGATGCTCTGTGGTGCGTTCTGAGGCAATTTCTGACCACTTTAACCAATATTTTTTTAGGAAAAGATGGTGGTGTACTCATTGCCTGCCTTTATTGCGATGTCACATAAAAAAAAAAAATGGTTTCGTTTTTTGGGGGGGCCATGGCCCCCTTTGGCCCCCCCCCCCTGGATCCGCCCTTGAGTTGTAGAAAGAGTGATACACAGGATGATACATGGGGTGATAAAGGGTTCAGAGAGAATTTAAACATTAGGAATCTAGGATTAGGCATTTGGCAGATAGAGCGATGCATAGGGTGACAAATGGGGTCACAATTGGGGTGGAAACTGGCTGTGGAGGAGAAATTGGAAATGGAGCAGTTAGAGCTACAGTCCATCATTTGCAGCTATCCAAAAAGTAACTGACGTACCCGTAATTATTGTTGAAAAACATAATTGGTTGAAAGATAGGGGACTAAACTCCCTGTGAAGTTATTCTTTCTGGCATGCTGTCATTTTGAAGAAATCAACAAAAGAAGGCGACCCACCGTTGGAAATTTCCGTTTATTTCGTTGTTTTTTGGCAAAGCGTTGAAACGACAAGCGCTGACACGAGGCACAGGCACGCTGTTGCTATGATGCGCCACATCGTGTAAATGCAGTCGGCTCAGTGAGAACGTGTCTCAGACGCTGAATTCAGGCCCAATTCAAAACATGATTCAGCAACTTTTGATTTGAAATTGAGATCCTAGAATGCTCTTTTTCTCAAAATACACATGTATACAGCTGAAGCTGAGCTGAAACTTCATCAGGTTAGTTGTTCAGCACCCTTCCTTAGATTTTGAGCATGTTCGTTGCTTCAAACGAACAAAATGCACAAATTAGAAATGATGGACTATACCTTTAAGTGTCTAAGTACATCTCAGGACTGAAACTGGGAGGAATTGAACTAGTAGGACTTCATTTTTGGATTTTTTTCCCTGAAATTTTGACAGAAAAATGGCAAAAAAAATTAGCTGAATACAAAATTTATTCCATCTTTAATACCCTCTTTGTTGGTAAGTAACATCGCTGTTAATTTATCAATTGTTCCTTATTTTAAATCTATTCGTTTATATTTTAAATCTATTCATTTATCAAGACTTACCAGTTTTTACCTTAAGACATGTAACTTCTTTTTTTATAGTTTAATACAATTTTGGTAAAATTTTTCAGGAGGAGAGAAGCTCCGTTTTTCAGCTTTTGAGCCCCGAACTGAGTCGACAGACTCTGATGCTGTGGATCATATGGTAAGGAAATCGAGACAGCTCCATGAGTCAATCTTGGCATGACAATCAGGGGTAGTAATTGGAGAGGGGGGGGAGGGAGGCAAAGTCTATTGGTAGGCCTAAATATGAACAGCAGTGTGCACTGTTGATGCAATGCTGGTGTTGGTTAACTAGTGATAAAATGTTTTACTTCTCCATTTGACAATTTGAGCTTGAGAGCTGTTTTACAAAAAAAAATCATCTTTTCTTTGCCATTTTTCTTTTCATTGAAAAGTTGCCTTAATAGGCGAAATATACAACAAGCAAGAAAATGACCTTAAATGATGGTTTTAAAGAATTTTTTTCATGGGCCTGGTGAGCAGGGTCAACCCAGAGGGCTTTACCATTGTATTGCTAGAGGGTGGTTTGTTGATTTAAATCATTGAAAATTTATAATTGTTTTTATACTGTTTTATTTTTGTTTACTTTTGGACCGAAAAGTTTTGATTTGTTGACTGAAAAGGTATGTATGAATGGGGATAAATATATGCGCTTGGTCGGTATTAAACACTCCGTATGGAATGCTGATAATTACCCTCAGCATCCAGACTCCAGTTAGTTTTAAACAGAGTGTTTAACACCTCCCAAGTACACATTTATTCACTTATTAGAAGCGCTGTTTAACTTACCATTGTAATTATTAAAGTGAATATACAACATCTGCAAACATCGAAAAACAGAACTACCAACTTTTTACAAAATACCTTACTAGGATGTTGGTAAATGACAGTCTAAAGCATCCTGTTAAATTATGGCACCTGGTGTGAAGTCAGTTTCAAGAAAATGATATTTTTGTAAAAATTTCCAACGCTGGTCGGCCGACCACCGTTGGAAAAACCTAACTATTTTTCAACTACTGCTCCAAATTCACCATTAATTCAGTCCAAATTTTGTTCGCTATTGGTTACATGTTCATGAACGGGTGCAGGCCAGCTAGACTGGTACCCTTACCTTACAATTTTCTGGCTTCTGTAAATTGATCCATTTTATATTTAGTGGAGTCAGGGAACCAGACTACTTGAACAGTTTTGTTTTTCTTGGTTTTTCCAGCATTTTCGAACACAAAACTTCAAATATGTCAGTGTAACAATATTTGATCTATTATATACTAACCCCTCAAATTGTTCATTTCTGAAAATTACGGCAAAAGCCAATGATGTACATTCCCTTTAAACAGAGTGTTTAACACCTCCCATGCACACATATATTTACTTATTACAAGCGTTGTTTAACTTACCATTGAGACTATTAACTAACGTACTTAATACGTCTCATAATTTGTTTTTGTTACTTGTACAATGTTGTAGGTTCTGTGTGTATTTCTGCTACCTGGGCATCGCGTTATCCAGCGGCCGACTGATTCGTATCACCTCCCCGCTCCCACCCACGGCCGGCAACGAATCCTTGAATCTGGATATCGATCCAAACTCGACGCTCTTTATACCACCTGACCCAGTAGCAGAGGGTGTCGTTAAAGCTAAACCTGAGAATGTTTTACGAGTTGCTACTGAAGATATATTGGTAATGAAATTTTATTATCAAAGGTTTTGTTTTCAAAACAAGATTTGATTTGGTACAAAATAAAATGTTAATGAACTTTGATGTGAAAAGTTCCTGTTTTTTAAGGAAAAAAATAAGATTATTTGAAACAGAGAAATTGAATGAAACTGCTGCAAACTGCATACTGACAAGATTGACATAAAATATACAAATCAAAAATGTTACAGGTCCTTTTAGAAAAAGATTTCGACCCTGACATGATCCTTCTCAAACGCAAACATATTTTGGTAATGACATGCGATTTTGTGATTTTCTGGGTTTGATTTAAAAAGCCTTGCACTTTTGAAATTAACATTAAAAAATAAATTCAAATTCAACTTGCCAGAAAATGATGATATGGAAGAAATTTTTTAGTAAGTATTAACGTTTTTTTAAAAATAGCCGGATCACCCACATCCTCGGATGACTGCTCCAACTTGTGCAGAAGAAGACAAGGAACCAGTCGAGTGTGAAGTCATCGTCTCAAACTCTGAATATGTTGATTCAGTCGTTGCCTCCTTTGGGGATTTCATGGGTATGGAAAAAATTTCAAATCTAAGAATATATTTTTTCATTTTTCGATTTATTTCTGATTAATTTTCCCTATTGGTTTTTTAAATTTCTTTGCTTCAAGTTGTTTGAATTTTCATCTTTTTCTGCCTTATTTTTGTTTTTTGTTTGTTTTGGTTTCATTTAGAACTCTAGTTTTCAACAATAACACACCTTAGATTGATTAATGTCTTTAAATCATTTTTAAAAGTTGAATAAAGAAATTGACTTGAACCTGTGACCTTCAAATTGCAGTTCCAGTGCTCTACCAACTGAGCTATCCCGCCCTATATGTTGGCGATTCCCCATTTTAAATCATGTCAAAAAATCAACAGAAATGTATCATGCATAGCATATGGAAAAACAAATGTGGCACATTTTGGAGTGACATTTTTGCTGTATAGAAGTTTAGGCCCCCCAAAAAAGTCTCCGGTTTCTGGTATGGGGCTTGTCCCAAAAGTGGTGCGGTGACGCGGCTTATATTTTTTCTGCTTTTTTTTCCTTCAAATGTCGGCTGATGACTGCAAATTGTGCCCGACTAAATTTAGTGAAAAATATTTTGGAGTCCAGAGAGGCCACATAAAGCTCATACTCGATCGTAACCCCATCTAAAAACACGTTAAAATTGTGCAGCAGCAGGATTCCAGTCAAACCAGTGAGTTTGGCGGTTTTGAGACATCATCTGACATTGAAAAAAAAAACTTTTTTATTTTGCCGACGCATATGGCTACGGCGACGCGCGGAAACCGGAAACCGGAGACTTTTTTTGGACTCAGGTAGTAACTAGAAATTGGAACATAATTGATTTATAAGTCTCGTCTAACTTCCTCTTTTTTGCAGCTGCACCATGTATTGTGGTTCTCGTTTACACCTTCGGCCGTAAGGGAGGCATGAGCATATCACTCCTACTAGCTGCTTCATTCATGCTGTGCATAATTGTAACACTAGGCCAGTAAGTTGTGAATTTCTGTATTTAAAGGTTTACTCCATCATTTGTAATTTGTGCATTTTGTTCGTTCGCGCTCAATATCTAGAGAAGGGTGCTGAACAACTAACCTGAAGAAGTTTCAGCGTAGCTTTAGCTGTATATTTCGAGAAAAACGACTTTCTAGGATCTCGATTTCAAATCAAAAGTTGCTGAATCATGTTTTGAATTGGGCCTGAATTCAGCGTCCGAGACATGTTCTCACTGAGCCGATTGCAGCTACGCGACGTCGCGCACTGATCCGACAAATTATAGCAATTGCGCACTTGTGTGCATTGTGCCAATGCTTGCAGGCGCTTCGCCAAATAACAAAACGAACTACTAAGTTGAATTTCCTACGGTGCTTCTTAAGAAGCACCCTTGGAAAGGCCTTCTTTTGTTGATTTCTTCAACATGACAGCTTGCCAGATAGAATAATTTCACAGGGAGTTTAGTTCCCTTATATCTTTGAACCAAGCATGTTTTTCAACAATAATTACGCCAGTTACTTTTTGGATAGCTGCAAATGATGGACTCTGGCTTTAACCCACTAATCCCTGTAATGCCCCAAACCACCCAAGCACTCTATGGCTTTATGGCTTCTTCACGGAATAAATACAATGTAATACAATGAAATACAATGAAATACAATGTAGTACAGGTGCTAATTGGTTAATTAGTAAAACAAAGACGGGAGTGTTTAAAGGCACTGTATATTTATGCAAATCAATTAAAACAATTTAGCAGTTTCAAGTCAATCTTGGATGCACGTCTGTTTGTACAAGTCCGCCATTACAACGCTCTCACTTGGTGAAATTTTTTTTTTTTTTCAATTATGTTTTTTCCCAACTCCTCTGTCAAAGAAACAAGGTTATAACTTGTTTTCCCAGAACAACCTCTCAATGCTAAGTTAACCAGTTCACGCTGGGATTATTTTGACAAGAATGGAACAAGGCGCGGGATCACTTTTCACTCGACCTCAAACCAGGCGGGTTGAAGCCATCACCCTCGGGCAGCACATTCATATTTCTGGCCTTGCTCGCTGCGAGCAGGTCGCTTACAGATATTTCTGGCCTCGCTCGCTCCGTGTTTATCCATCATCCATTCTGAATACCACAAAACCTTTACAGGTGTACACGTCATCCAGCGCGATCTGATGGTTATTTTACTCTTTTTTTAGGATTCCACCACTAGTTTTCATCTTTCTATCCCGTGCACTAACCATGGGAACGTATGGTGGATTGTTCCTGTACACTATGGAAGCCTATCCGACGTCTACAAGGGCCATTGCGCTTGCGACGGGGCAGTTCTTTGCGAAGATGGCTGGCGCCCTCACACCTTTCGTGGCAGAGGTCGGTAATATATAATCATGACTTTGGGATCATGAAAACAAAGTAACTTTAGTTAACAATTTAATAATAATAATATTTTAAAACATTAACATTTATATAGCACCCGAAAATCCATGCTCTTAGACACTGTACACATTAAAATGATTGGGTAATAAAAAAAATTATTTAAAAAGTGAACCTGTACCGGTAGATCAATACAATATAAGCCCAGTGAGTAAAAATTAGCCATTAAAAACCATTATCTATGAATTAAAGAAGGCCTGCTTAGGAAATGAATTTTTAAACCGGACTTAAAACTCTGTACACTGGCAGACTCCCTTAGGTGATTTTCAAAACAAGAACACTTTTTCAAATTTTAACACGTAGGAAAAACTAACATTTTTAAAAAAATGTTTCAGTTTGTTCCCCCACCCACCTACCTGGCCCTGCCCTTCTTTTTGTTTCCTTTTTTTCAATTTTATTTTTCTGGATTTAAGAAAATGTTCTTGTAAATATTTTTGCTCCTGTTTAAAACTGGCATTCCAGAGTTGCTCAAAACCAAAATGTATTTGGAGCAACTCAGTCGACCTAAATAAACTTAGTTTCAGACATCCGAACTTTATTTACAAATTTTTTATTGATTAATTTCAAACGACAGCATCTACCAATCTGTGCAATTGTTTCTCGTTTCAGAGTCTCATCAAGCGTTCCCCTGTCGACGCAATTCTTATCTATTTCTTCGTCTGCATCACGGGTTCCATCACAGTGTGTTTACTCCCCCTGGAAACACAAGGCATGGGGTTAAAGGTTAGTCTCGTTGTATTCCTTTTGATCCATTAAGTGTGCTTACTCCCCCTGGAAACACAAGGCATGGGGTTAAAGGCTAGTCCCATTCCATTGCTGTTGATCCATTAAGTGTGCTTACTCCCCCTGGGAACTCAAGGCATGGGGTTAAAGGTTAGTCTCATTCCATTGCTATTGATCCATTAAGTGTGCTTACTCCCCCTGGGAACTCAAGGCATGGGGTTATCGGTTAGACCGTGTCCGAATTACTTGACTACGGCTTGAAATTGCACACAGTCTATGGTAGCCGCTGCAGCCACTTCCCATAGACTTGTGTGTAATTTTAAGCCGTAGCCAAGTAACTCGGACACAGTCCTCTATTTCCTTTGATTCAAGGAGGTTTATGAAACCTTAGCCTCATCTCAGGTTCGGCTTCAGGAGAGTTGAGGCCCTATTGACTTGAGGGACTATATCGTCACCGTTTTCACGAAGGGGGCGAATTTCATGAAAATCGTCAGTTTTTCGAAATTTGGTTTTTTGGTGAAAACGAATAAGATATCAATATCTACCACCTGGTGAGGCTATATGTTCAAAAAATCAATTAAAATCTTAATTAACCTAATTAACGAATGGGCGAATTTGCCAAAAGTGCCGTTTTGCGTTTTCACGAAGGGGCGAATTTCCGCACTCTATGGGATTAATAAATTTTCAGTAAGTAAATACATTTTAATACAATAGCGCATAAATCACGAAAGGGCGAATTCCATGCGCGTGCAATAAAACGTTTTCACGAAGGGGCGAATTTCAAGGCGCATGCGCAGTGGGGCAGAATCTGCGCGTACTGTACAAAAAATGCATTGACTCAGACCGCAGAAGGGCGAAACCTGCGCGTAGTCACTTTAGCGTTTTCACGAAGGGGCAAATTTGCAAATTGGTCTGTTTTTCGTTTTCACGAACAGCCACTTCTCTTAATTGATTAATTCTGCAAAACTTATCACCTATTTTTCTTAAAGTTTGCTACATTTAGGAAGATTAGAAGCTCCTCTTTCCTCTGATACCTAAATCTTGCATATTTTATGCATTTTTCAGTTTCAAATTGTCTAATGAAAGAAGGACCAACTTTAAACGCGATTATCTCGAATGTTTGTTAAGACAGTGAAATACTAAATTCGCCTCTTCGTGAAAACGGTGACGATATGTTTCAATATGCTGTACCCATTTTCAGCTTCAGTAAAATTCCATATTATAAGGCTAAAATTTAGAATATTTCCATGTACAAAGGTTACAAATACAGAGGTTTTTTTTACACCCCCCCCCCCCCCCACCCCCGAGATTTTGAAGCATTGCCAAATCATGTGTGTTATATATTTTTACATTATGGCAATATTATGGCGTTATGGGATGTACTCACCGGAAAAAGAAGAAGATGACAAGATCATCTTAAACAGCCCATTTAAAAAAAGTCATTGTTCAAGTCATGTTAAAGATGTTTTTAAAGTCCATATTATATCGTGCATTTGAAGCGATATATGCCATTTTGTTCCCTTTTAGAATCCTGCTCTCTCCTGGCTGTCCAAAGTCAATTTCAACGGCTTTTTTGTAGATAAAACATAATTTATGGAGACACTAAAACAAAACAAAAATTAGAAACAGCTGTTATATTGTTTTAATTCTTTAAGGTTTCATATAAGTGCAAAGGTGTTTTTTTTCGTTTTTTCAAATGGATATATCACGTTTTGCAAATAAACTTTTCTCTTTCTCTTTCTCTTATCTCTTCACAGGATTCTTGATAAGGAAGAAATCAAGTGCCAAAAAATAATAGTTTTTGCAACCGTCATTGATTAAGCTATCGTCAGGGAAGGAGGGCTGATTTTTTGTAGGTTTAAGCTTATAATTAATATAACATATAAAACTGATATTTTTTTAGTATTTATGGTGCAGTATAAATGAAAAAAAAATATGTGCTTGGCCAATTTTAAGCAAGTACGTTAAAAGCGGCTGGACGCTGATAATGGCCAGAGCCGAAAGCTTTTGGTCAAAAAGTCAAATCAATTCAAAAATTCACAAATTTCCAACGATTTTGTTCAACAGTTTTACTTCGTTTTGTGAAACACCCCTCTGACCATGTCTAAGGTATGTGCTTTGGGCACCTAGTGCTAAATATCTTTTATGGAAATTGCCATGTGCTGTGCATACTGCGCCATGCGGTGTTTTACCAGTGGTTTAAAACCACCCATGTGACGGGCTCTCAACCAATAGGAATTGGTAGCCTAAACTGTCTCAGGTATTTATGATGGAGAGGTAAAAGTCAAGCTTTTTTTCTGCATGAAAATTCTAAAACCTACCTTCGGCATTTTAGTAAAATCTGTAATGATTTGTGTGTATTTAATGGGATAGGTTTCAGAATGTTTTAAGTAATTACTTTATGAAAGTTATTTTCTAAACATTGTAGTAAGGTATTTGTAATGGATGTGTATTCCTTGGTTATATTCTCAGTTATAAGAAAAACTACAGTGCGAGTCAAAAAAAAACTATACACTTTTAAAATTGGCCATAGTTTTATTCTGTAGCAATATAGATAAGATATTTTCAAATGTACTTTTAGAGTAACTCTTCCTGCTTCTTTTGATGTCATTTTCACTGGATTAATTTTCATGCATGACTGCACCGGAGACAATTAAAGGGGTCGTGTGAAATCTGACTTGCACCAACTGGTCAGGGCTGGATAAGAAAGAAACAATTTAAAAGAACACAACCATTGTCTAACAAAGAGGCAAAACAGGATTTCATTAGCTTTTAAACTTCGTGTTTATTTAAAACATTTAAATTAAATTAAAAAGGCAATTCCACGGTGTCTTAGTCCTCAACATGGCCACCATCTCGTTCAATGCACATAGCTAGGCTCGGCGCATCATTCCTGCAACAGCATGGCGAATCACCTCCCTGTCGTGTCTGAGAATGTCAATTTCACGAGTTATCCTCTCCTGGAGGTCATCCAGATTTGCCTACTGAAACTTTTGCAAGCAAGATCCACAAATCTGAACTGATTATGCATCTCATGACCAGAACCACGACATTGGTTGTGTTCTTTTAAATTGTCTCATTCTTATCCAGCCCTGACCAGTTGTCTAAGTCAGATTTCACCCGACCCCTTAAATTGTCTCCCGTGCAGTCATGCATGAAAACTAATCCAGTGAAAATGTCACCAAAAGAAGCAGGAAGAGTTACTCTAAAAGTACATATGAAAATATCTTATCCATATTGCTACAAAATAAAACTATGGCCAATTTTAAAAGTGTATAGTTGTTTTTTTTACTCACAATGTATTATCTATTTAAGGTTTTTATCCTAAAGACAATCAGTTACAAACTTTTTAATCCTTGCACAAAGTTGGAATGAATCTGAAATTTAACTTTGAAGTGACAAAGCCCTGACCAGTTGTCTAAGTCAGATTTCACCCGACCCCTTAAATTGTCTCCCGTGCAGTCATGCATGAAAACTAATCCAGTGAAAATGTCACCAAAAGAAGCAGGAAGAGTTACTCTAAAAGTACATATGAAAATATCTTATCCATATTGCTACAGAATAAAACTATGGCCAATTTTAAAAATGTATAGTTTTTTTTAACTCACAAGTGTTATCTATTTAAGGTTTTTGTCCTAAAGACAATCAGTTAGAAACTTTTTAGTCCTTGCACAAAGTTGGAATGAATCTGAAATTTAACTTTGAAGTGACAAAGAAAAATATTGGTGTGTTTTGTGTATGTAGAGATGAATGACAATCAATTTATTTTGAAAAAATATATATATTGTCTTTAAGGTTTGAATTGTTTTTGTTTCATTGTATTGTTTCATTTAAACTTTGTAGCTTTTTAGGCATTCCGAAGAGGACTAACATGGGATAAAAAAGGCAGAATTTTAGAATGAAAGTAAGATAAGTTCGGTCAGGCCAAAGAATGAAATGATTTACTAAGCTTTTTATTTTATGTGTTCATTTTCCTTGTTAAAGTTTAAGCATTGCTTAAACTTCATGGTTGCATACCCTAACGAATTTTAAATTATTCAGCACTACTTTATTCCTAGTTTGGGCATCTGCAACCCTCTCATTGGAATTCGGGGAAGAAATAATTCAGTAATTAAAAGTTGGTGGATTTTTTTTCGATCGGCAAAGCAGTGGAAAAAACATCAATTTTTCGAGGGGAAAGTTTAAAATAGCACGGGAAATACAGCTTTAAAGGGTTCAAATTTATTTTCAAGATGCATCTAGAAAAAGAGGCGCGGAAAAAGTCCGAAACTTTTGACCAATCAGCAAATCGAACACATTTTACTGTTATAGCGCCCTCTGTTGGTCAAAGAAAAAAGATGGCAGCTCCCATGAGAAGAGCGCGGTTTCAAAGTTGAGATTTAGTGAACAAACTTCACGCCATAAATATGACTTTATCAACGCAGCAAAGTGAGGAGGATTCACAGTTTATTCTTGTAGCTAAGGCTGACAACGCCAGAAATGTGTCCAATGTCCTAAAAGCAGTGCATTTCAAGGATAAAGAGGTAGGTAAATAAGTCACGCTTTTCACGCTTACACTTTACAGTACACTCACTGACTCAGTTAGTTAGGCCTACACGGCAGGCGATCGTGAAGTGTAGGGCCCCTGTTTTGTTTTGGTACTGGTACTTGGTAGGCCTAATCCTTACTTTTAGGACCCCGTTCCTATATAGGAAGGGAAAGACTCACCAGAACAGTTGACTAAATCACACTCCAAATTGACATTCTGATATTTCTTGACTCATCTGAACAATTGGCAATGACACCTTGAATATCAGCAGCAGGTTTAATTTTGTGGAAAGAGGGCAGGGCTTTGATTTATGAGGGAAATTTAGGGGTAAAAGATGACAATGACAACTAGAAAACAGACTCAAAAACCAAGATGGCAAACGTGAAAGCTCAATGCAATGAAAGCTCGATGCTGATTGGCTGATAAAAAATTAACATCTTACAATTGTAGGCCCCTATTTATTTTTTTTAGCAGCCAATCAGCATCGGGCTTTTATTATTTAGGGCTTTCACTCGTGTTTTGAGAACTACAACATGCACGTCTGACTGCAAAAAAAGGTAGGAAAGTCACATTTTCTTTGAAAGTGCTTTCAAAATTACAACAAACATGAGTTTATATGAAGAAAAAAGACTGCTTTAGCCTGCAAAAGTCACTTTGGGACTGGACAGTCATCTGCAAAAGTCAGTTTTGAACAGAACTCGTAAAAAATAGAGGTGTCCTAAAGATAAGGATTACCTTTGTTTTGATCAAATTAGAGTCGAACATGTTTGTTATTGCTCAAAAATCACCCTTACATTTGTTACAATCAAAAGCAGACTTTTCTCGATTCTAATGACTTCCGTTTTGCAATTTTAAACAGAATCTGGACTTGGGGTAGAAATCCCGATTTTCCTGCACGGTTTGTGCCTTGCGATTCAGCGGGGGGAAAAATCCATACTGCTGGATCACCACTTTAGGCCTACCTGCCGCCAAACACATCAATTTTCACCTCCTCTTGACCTTATGATTTCACCCAAGAGGAATCCAGGAAGCTGTGTAAATCCGAAAAAAAAATAGGCAAAATGTGTTTTTAGAGCACATTTTGGATGCACACGTCGTGCAAGTTGAAACAGCCGGTCAAAACTGATTGAAGTGGCTGGAAGACAGCGGTACATTATATGCATGACATCGACAACCATGACAACGCATGAGCCGGCCAATGATAGTGCAATACGTCATTATGAATATTTATTTTCTCATGAATATTTAGTTTATTTCAATGGATGTACTTCAAATACGTCCAAAGATTGATTATTGCAACAGCGATCGTGCGCGGCCTAGCGGTTAAGAGTTTCGTGTTTCAAGCAAGAGTCCGAGGTTCGAATCTCGATGAAGTAAGAGACTGATTAATAAATAGAAATTAAGGAAAGGAGAGGGTGAGAGTAGAGGAGGGAAAGTGGAGGGAATAACCATAAAGAATGCAACTTTTGGCGCTTGAAAATTAATTGAAAAAAGTGGTGATCCAGTACGGAATTTTTTCCATTCAGCGTGCCGTGCGTGCTCATGGAACATCGCGCAGTCATCATCATTTTACCCCCAAATTTCCCTCAAAAAATCAAAACCCTGCCCTCTATCCATGACATAAGCCCTACCTGTTTATTGAGAATGTCGCCAACTAGTTTGGTAGGTCCATTAATTTTAAAGTGGATTTTGTTCCCTTATACAAAAAACTTATAGGAACCGGGCCCTACACTACACGATCGCCTCACAGCACCAGCCCAATAAATGTGGCTGTCATACTGGACTACCTCCGTAAGACAGCCACACACTGCCAATATGCCCTGTGCATGGACGGTCCCGTTGCTAGGCGCTAGGGGAGCAGAAAATCAATTTGAAATCGCAATTATTATAAATCACTTTATACTCACACAATGCCGTCTACAACTGCTTAATAGTAATACCAGTAGCAACAAAACATTAATTTCTGCACCTTCAGAGGTCTAGTTGTCTTGTAATTTTGGGTTGAATTCAGACGACTTTCGGCTGCCAGTGCCATTCACCTGCCATTGTTCATGAAAGCATCATGCTGCAAATCGTGCCCTCACTACATTGTAGCTTTTGACCAAAACAGAATCATTGACAGGCAAAAGCCGTACCGATGCACATTGTCAAAATTAAATACTCAGCATGCGGGTTCACTTACCCGTACCTCTCAATATTTGCCCAAAGTTAGGACTTCCCCGTCCTTCTGAAGTTCTGGTGAAATTCGTCTCTTATTAAAAATTAATTTGTCAACCGAAGTGGAAGTTCATGACAGGCAGCTAGCCGAGTATTAGTAGTCTGGTTCTCCGACCCAAAAATTTCCCTTTCTTTAATGTACACACGCCTGGTATATCATATCCAAAAAAACATCGCTTTCGGGATCAGAATAGCCAGCCAATCACAGTGCCGCACGCCTCGATTCAGCATAAATAATCAAGACGCGTGCACTGTGATTGGCTGGCAGTTCTGATCCCGAATGCGATTTTTTTTTCAGATATGATACGGCCATAACCAGGTACAGTGCCCTTCACGTGTGTACGTTAAAGAAAGGGAAATCTTTTGGTGGGAGAACCAGACTACTTAATACTCAGCTGCCTGTCATGAACTTCCACTTCGGTTGACAAATTAATTTTTAATAAAAGACAAATTTCATCAGAAGGAAAGATGGGGAAGTCCTAATTTTGGGTACCTAGTCGTAGAGGAACTCATACCTGTTCCAAAACTCGTTCCTTTATCTAAAAATCTTTATCCACATGGCCAAGAAATGACGATCAGTCTTCAGCTACCACAAATATCGTCTCAAAAATGTTCCTCCATGGGATTTCAAAATGGCAGACATAAAATGCATTTATGCAGGCGCGCTCGGGCAAGCAAGGTTATGAATATGCATTGTACAGTTCATAACCTCATGTTGCGCGGCACCGCCGGCCATACAAACACGAGGTCATGAACCTGACCATTTTTATGTGGGACATCATTCTTGACATTTTAAAGAATTAGTATTGTTCATTTTTTCCAAATAGCTAGCAACAGTCTTTGCCAGTGAAAATGGACTGAAAGTCACTGTCGAGGATTCTAAGAGTGTTCAGGCGAACGCTTTCATCCAGTCAGGAATCTTCCAAGAGTACGTCATCAAGGAACAGTCGGCTACCTTCATGGTCAATCTCACTATCTTACTGGTAAGGATGCCCAGGGATAGTAACTTTGATTTAAACCCTATTGCACCTATCAGTTGTTCTCCCCCCCCCCCCAGCTTCCTCCGAGTACCCGACCGTTGATGTCAGGAACCAGTTCCTGATTACGGAATTGGTACCCGTAACCAACTTAAAATTACTCAGTAACTTTACTGACTATTAACAAGAAAGGTTTTGAATGTCATTTATGGGGATTGAAAAACATGAAAACCAGGCTACATGGGAAAACAAAACACATGTCGCTTGCAAAAGTTGCAGTTTACACCGTAACGCTAAGCTCACTGTGCACACTTGTATCTTGCTGTATTGACGCGGAGACGTGGTAGTATTATCGTGCAGACCTTCATGAACAACTGAACAGCAACTTCCGAGATTTGAACTTTAAGGTTGGGTTTCGTTAGCGGGTATCCGGGTACCCGTGTTTTTTCACTGGTTCCCATATTACCCATGAATGCACACCCTATATTTGGTAATTTTGGGCCCAATGTTTGGTCCAAATTGTAATTTCCATCAAAAGGCATTCAAACCGAAGCTTCTCGGAGGCAACAGAAACAATTACTCCATCGCCAATGATGTATGATTTATGGTCTCAAAATATGTACATGAATGTGGTTAAAATAGAAGTACAGTATTTGTCCTTTTTATGTTATTCGTGACAGGAATGTTTGACCATCTTTGGAACTGGAACATCGGGAGTGACCCCTGCCTTGAAGATGTGCTATGGTGGCTATGGAACACCATTGCTTCTTCTGTAGGTTGTTTGTGTTTTAAAAACAGTTTTCTTCATTTCATTCTTTGATGAACTTTATTCAGCAAAACAGGAAATTCTTACTACGGAAGGTCTCACAAAATGAGTTTTTTTCTGTGTAATTAGTTGTTGTTTAGGTGACTTTTGGATAGTTCAGATCAAAGCAATGAAATCAAGTGATAACTTGAGAAATACTTTACTTAGAAACTTGAAATTTGGTTTGTGGATTGTTCTTGATAGTCTTAATAAGCCTATTGATTTTGGGACTGACAGGTCAAAGGTCAAGGTCACTATTGCTAAAACAAAAGAAATCTTGTCAATGCGATAACTTGAGAAATACTTTACTTAGGAACTTGAAATTTGGTTTGTGGGTTCTTCCTGATAGTCTTAAGAAGCCTGTTGCTTTTGGGACCGATAGGTCTAAGGTCAAGGTCACTATTGCTAAAACAATAGAAATTGCTAAAACAATAGATATCTTCCATTTTGGTTAGGGACACTGATTTTTTTTTTTAAATGCCAGCATGCCAAGGGGATTGTGCAAGTCTCACTTGCAGTATTTTTATGAATAATTTTTATTCATCTTAGATTGGAAGAGAACGGAGTGGTGACCGATTGTAGCATCAAGACCCTGGAACCTGAAGAGACACTGGACTTCAACTTCTGCGGCGCCAATGTCATCAATAAGATAATAATGAAGGTAGGAGATACCCCCATCCACAAATACTCTGAGTATGTTCGATTAGCTTACACGAGAGCGTTTGATTAGCCATCACCTGATCTTCGTGTCTGTCACCACCACTACCCCACTAGGGGCAGAAGTGATGTTAAACAGCAATCTATATCTTTCTCTTCGGGTGCTGCAACCAAACATTCAACCAAACCAAAGTTCATAATGCGTGTGTTGGACTGAGCAACCACATGCACGCACCAGCGGCCATTTGGAAAACTCATGCCGAGGAAACGTTATGAATTTTGGTATTCAATGCTTGAAATGAATACTTGAAAATGGAAATACATACCCTTGAATAAAATATCCAGTTTTAAGAAATACTTGCTGAAGTCTTAAAGCTCCTTGAAAAACATTTTTGTGTGAAATATTTCACAGCATCGTTGTCAAGTGGGTTGGCTGGTTCTTGGTCCGTCTATAACTGTACCGCCTACTCAGCGGGAACCAGTCTATCAGTACTGCTACACAACCATCTGGAAGGCAATAACGTTGGGGGAAAAAATATTATCTTATTAATTTTGAAGGTTTGCATGGTGAAGATAGCAATAAGATAAAGATTTACGGTAGCACCATGTGACAAACAAATCTCTTTTGTGAGTTTGTGAGGTTCTGAAAAGAACTGAGGGAAACTCAATGTTTCGGACAGTATGCTCTGCCTGTTGTCAGGAGACTGAAGGGATTGCAGCAATGAAGAAGCCCCGGTGTTATGTAGTATTCAAAGTCTGTTTAGAAAATTGTGCTTTACATGCTCTCAATCACCAACAGTATGAAAAAAACTATGAGTACCAAAGAAGCAATACGAAAGCGGTAATTATATGAGTGTTTTTGATGTCCAAAGGTTGTTGAAAAGCAGTTATGCTAAGACTGAACAGGCAAAAAAAGACGTACCCTTGCAAAATACCCCTATAAATGGTTAATTAAGCTTGCAGACAATTAACAGATGTACGTCCATAGCAACTCACTTTGATGTCCCAATTTGCTGCCGAACCGGAACCAAACTATTGTTTGAATAAAGATTATTAACCCGAACCCGAACGAAACCTGAATCATACCTGAGGGTCTACTTGCAGCACTAATCTCTTGATCACCATTGAACTTATGCAGAGAGTTCACGAAGACGTATTTAAAGATAAAAACTGATAATTGTGATGTTTATTTTTCAGTCGGAGTGTTTGAAGGACGCTTTCCAAGAATTAGACATGACCAGCGAAGTCTTAGAGATTCTCATGTCGCCTGATAAACCTTACTTCAGACTCTCCACATTCGGCAACGCAGGCAGTGCACACGTAAGTATCATCAGTCACATTTTGTCTTGCAGCCGAAGTATTCTTTCTATAAAAGAGTGACCTGTGTTTTTGGTTCCCTGTGGAGTTGGATTTTGACAAATTAGCACAGGACTTAATCTTAAAAGACTAGCAGGACCAAGGCTCTTACCCGATTCATACCAACTGCACCTTTCACATTCAGAATGTTTGACTAGTTTGGGGGTACTTGTAAGGTGCACAGCGTACATCTGTCATTTTATAAATTAATTTTTATTCAGGAAATGTACCTACTGATTCCAGAGTCTACTTTATTCATGAGGTTTCTGGGTGGACTCGATCGAAACTGCACTTGTGATTTATCATTTTGTGAATCAATTCTCTTTTTTTTCATTTTTTTTTTACATAGCCAGTCTTCACTTGTTATTGGCATTTCATGGACAGTCTATCACAGTGACAATTCCTGTTAATATAAAATTGTTGAAATGTTATGACGGGCCTAGATTTATCAATCATTTACTGTCATATGATTCTATTTCAGTCCGACTTTCCCAAAGATTCGGATCTTGTTGAGTCCTTCCAGTGCACAAAGACACAATCAAACAGGTAATGTGGGTTTTTAAAATAATCAAGATTTCTTTTCATTATTTATTGTAACAAGATTCTAAAATGCATATACAGGGCGAGTAAAAAATCTGCAATTATGCAAAGGAGCCATCTTTTTTTCAAAACCAAATTGAAATTTTGAAATTGTAAAACCTTGTAAGAATGACATATTCGTAAGTAACCTTGTGTGAAAAAAATGAAGTTAATCGCATTTACCGTTTGTCTTTTGTGAACGTTTTTACTGCGGTACCCGATTGACGTTTTCGTCCACGAGGCGTCTAAAAATTGAATAAAAGTACAAAATGTGTCCCCGGAGCCGTTCTTTCTATGAGGTCTAGAGCTGAGACATGGGTTGCCTTGCAGGGTTGCCAAGTAGAGAGCAGAGCTGGAATTGTGTGAACAATGAAGGACACAGTAACTACAGTATAGCTCTGTTGTTCAAGCATATATCAAATGGCCACATGTTCTCGCCCTCCCATCATCAGATACAAGCTGGTGCTACTCAAGCCAACAGTCAAAGCCCTCATGTCATCCACCAAAGTCTCCATCCGGACGGACAATCGTGGTTTCCTGTCTCTACAGTACATGATACGCAACGAGGACGGACAGATATGCTTCGTGGAATATTATGTGAGTAGAGTCACTCAGACAGTATTATACAACACCTGAATAAATCCCCGTCGTCTGATTGGTGGATCATTGATCACGTCATTGAATTATTTGTCCCAACGCACGGCACGCAGGGCACAGTGCAATGGAAGTTCTATTGCACGGTGAATAGAACTTCCATTACACGGTTTCAGTGCTGCCAGTGGTAGCTGTGACACGAATCTATTTCACAAAATGCGAATGCTACGTGAGACTGAAACACTGTTTGTTCTCCAAACAGAAGATGAAATATCAGAACTTGTAGGTTATGCTGACGCTGCTAACACAAAGAAACAAATAAAATACGCTGCCAAACGATTAGACAAATTTGCAAAACACACAGGATCATCTGTTGAAGCATGATACTGATTCGCAACTGAACAACTTCTTGTCGCGATTTTACTCGGGACTGAGAAGAGAAAACGGGGCACACTATATCAGATGATGATTTATTCAGGTGTTGTATAAAACAAATAATGAATGTTTCTCGTTCGTGCAAAGGGAAGAATAATTTCATGAGGTGACAGATGAAATGTTCCATTCCACTCAGCTTCGCCTCATGAAATGGAACATTTCATCTCTCACCTCATGAAATCATTCTTAGCTTTGCACTCATAAACATTCATTATTTGTATACTGTACAATTCGAGTCCATTACAAGTCCTTAAAAGTCCATCACAAGTCCTCAAGTTTCACTTCAAGTCACAAGCTATTCAAATGAATTGTAACAAATGCATTCCTTGTATTGTCCATCACCTACATGTAGCACTTGTGACTTGCCTTTCTTTTAAAGAGGTTGTGGAATGCTCGAAGACATTTCCGACATTTTTCGGGTATATGTAGCCTAAGGTGTGATGAAATAAAAAATGACTATTGTGTCTGTCATGAAATGAGTACAAAAGGTACTTTTGAGAGCTGTTTTTCATGTACTGTTTCGACCCGAACATGCAATTTGTGTAAAAGTCGTCGTTGGGGGCAGCAAACAAAACATAGTAAATCGTGACGTAATAAACTGGACTCGTTTATACTACGCTGCATCGGGAGTCCTGTTTATTACGTCACGATTTACTATGTTTTGTTTGCTGCCCCCAACGACGACTTTTACACAAATTGCACGTTCGGGTCGAAACAGGACCTAAAAAAACAGCTCTCAAAAGTACCTTTTGTACTCATTTCATGACAGAAACAATAGTCGTTTTTATTTCATCACACCTTAGGCTACATATACCCGAAAAATGACGGAAATGTCTTCGAGCATTCCACAACCTCTTTAACAGACCTGTAATGAACTTATGATTGATTTGACTGCAACTGTTGTGTGTACTTGGGTTTTATACTGGAAAGACTTCATATATCATCTTAGTAAAGGTAAGTCATTGCAAAAATGTTGAAAAGACATGAATCTGGGACTGAGAAACATTTCCAATTTTGATAGGAAATACTTAAAAAATTTGTTGACTCTCTATAGACTTCGTACACAACCACTGACGTTGCGTCTGGATACTACATTCTTCCCCCTTTTTTTCACTCGGCAATTTAAACAACAGAATCTTGATCGACCCTGTCAGTAATGAACTGGAATAGTAGTTGAGTCCGTCACAAGTCAGTAACAAGTTAGGTCACAACTAACTGAATGATGATGAACAGTATTAAAGGAATGCCTTTTGCCACAGTTAAACTTAAGTTAAGAGCTTGATGACTTGTGATGGACTTGCATACAATACTGCCTGGGACATCCCTGGTGATGAGGGGGGGGGGGGGGGAGCCAAGCTCCCTTTGCTTCTGGTGAGTGCTTTGCCCCCCTCTAAAAGAAATCGTGGCGACGCCCATGGGTGTGGGTCTCAAGGTGAAAAGTTCAGCTTGTGATCTGCCAGGTTCTGGACTGAAAGAGTTAACCCATTAGCACCTGTACTACATTGTATTACATTGTATTTATTCATTGAAGAATCACTAAAAACCATATAGAGTGCTCGGATGATGTGCGCTACAGTGAGTAATAGGCAGGGCGGTTTAGGGCACTCCGGTGACTAAAGGGTTAAACATTACAAAATTGAGATCAACAATACTGCACATAGACTTCAAGTATCAGCTAACTTTGTGTTATTACAAGTACAAATACAAATGCAAAGGGAGCTTGTTCAATGCCAAGGCAAGGGATAAACAAATCCAACATTTCTCAATCCTTTCTTTGACTTTGGCTTCGTCTCTGGCTTCATTGCTGACCTTGTGAAGAAAATGAACAGGATTCTTCTGCGACTTCAATTTCAAACATTGATGTGCGTACAGTGAAAAGGGAACCAGATCTAGCCACAGCCTTCTACAGATAATCATGAAGCAAAAAACACAGCTGAATCTAAGAATTGAGAAACGGCCTGACTGATTTCTTGTCTTTATTTTGTAACGTTTTGCCTTATCCTAGTGTGCACCTGATGAAGAACAAGATGAGGAGAACGACGACTGAGCCCTTGCCATCTTTGCTAGTGCCTTGTGTTACTTGTCAGAACGGACTAGAAATAATCAAGAGACTCTTGTACGCTTGTACAGTGATCTGATGGTGGCAATTGTTTGATGGCAAGAACTGCAGCTTTCAGTTTGTGCAGTGTGCAGCTGGTTTTTAACGACAGGTGGCCATTGTAAAACCTTTGCAATAATAAACAGGTTGTCATATATTAAAAACAAGTGGCAGTGATGTAGGTGATATAATGGTATTCACAATGGACTGGTGGCCATAACGGATAGGTGCTATAATGGACGGGTGGCCACAACAAATAGGTGCCATAATGAACATGTGGCCATAAGAGATTTGTGCCATAATGGACAGGTGGCCATAACAAATAGGTGCCATAATGAATGGGTGGCCATAACCTATAGGTGCCACAATGGACGAATGGCCACAACAGATGGGTGCCATAATGGACAGGCGCAATAATGGACTGACCAGAAACAGTGCCACAGAATCCATGTCCACCGATTTTGAATGGTCAATAAGCACTCTCTTCGTACAAGAACAAGTTCCGGTGAGGACCATTAGTTCACCTGTGGCTCATTAGTGGCGTACATGTAACTTTTGCCTGCGCACTAATACTATAGCAATGTGGGAACATTTGTAGTCAAACACTGGTCAAAATGTCATCACGAAACTTATTGATCCTGGCTCCCTGCTGGCATTGTGATGCGCATGGCTAATGGTTACCAGTGATGCAACCATGCCCTAGGCTCTGGTTCCAAATAGGCAACTAGACTTAGTCCAACCATCCTGCATTCGAGTGAACTTAGTCGAACTGTGGTTAACCTTAGTCCTCCCTCGAAATAGCTCCAAGTTATTGCTGTTGCTGGTTCAACACTAGAAAAAGTTTTTCTTTGGAGAAATTCGGTTCACAAATGTTTATCTCCGTCTTGGTTCTTTGACCTGTACAACGTATCGCTGGGCAACTTTCAGGGCTGGTGAATAGCCATCAGCATAGGAGTTATCCTCAAACAACACACTGTAGTCATCCATAGGCTGTAAAAAGGACAAGGAATTAATCTTAAAGATATATTTCATCAGTGTGTCACAACTATTTATAAACCTAAATAGTGTGTAGACATTTGTAAAGATCCGCCTTTGGTATACATGTAAATTGTAAAATTACACTTTTGTCACATGAAGACTACATGTTTTTGCTTTGTGACTATTTCAAGAGTGGTTTAAGTAGTATCTAAAAACTCCAAATGCTTCTTGGGACAATTGACTGGGAGACATTGCCTGTTGTTTTTGAGCTGATGTTTTTACACACAGCTTGTTCCCGATATGCCATTTTTCTTGTAAAGAAACATTACTAGTTATGAGGTACTTTGTTGTACAAAGTCTGTAGTTCACCTCTTTATTTCTATGGTTGTTTTTATCTTCTATTTCAAATGTAAAGCCAGTATGACATGTATTTGCAGGAGTTACAACAATGTTAAATTGCCTACCCCTTCTGGTGGTGCATCAATTAATGCTCGGTAGAAACATGTCGTCTGTGGGTAGAGAGCCATTACCAACTACAAAAATACACAGACCAAAACAATATTCAAACGGTAACAAAATATGCATCTTGCAATCTAGGTAAGATATGAAGGTTTGCATGGTGATGTTAGCAATAAGAGTAAGTTTACGGTAGCAACACCTGACAAGAAATTTCTTTCGTGACCATGTATGGTTCTGCAAAGAACCGGGGGAAGCTCAAAGTTTCGGACAGCATGCTTGGTTCAAAGCAAGTCTCCCCCAATTATCTCTCCTGACGACGGGCAGTGAGTTCCCTTAGTTCTTTTAAAACTGCACAAACTTACAGAGGAGATTTCTTGTCATGCGGTGCTACGCTTAAATCTTCCAAGCCATCCAGTGGATAACTGCTTATTCATAATGGATCAGTGTATTTTTCATCAAGTCATTTCAACTAATAAATCTGTGTGAAGTGTAAATATTTGTTGTAAATTGTAAAGTTTCCAACGCGGGACTGCTTCAACTAAGACAGCTTTTACTTTGGGTAAACACTTATTAATAACTAATGGCAGAGGCATGTCCAATCTTTAAAGAACCCAAGTATTTGATTCTGTACTGAAGTCAAAGAGGACTGCAGCCATGCAGGCCCTCTGAAGGTTTATAAATCAATCCAAAATTCCGAGCCAGGAGGCACAAATCGTTTTACTTCCAAGAGACAAGCGACTCTCTTGTCCGAGTTTGATTGTTGTATTGTAATTTATGTAAGCACACAAGGGGATTTTGTGATTATTGAATATGATTTTGGATGTCTGTTGATAAAGCCACATCCGCTGTCATTTCATTCAGAGAGGGAGCTTAACCAAAGTAATTCATGAAATGAAAGGTAATAAATGTTTTAGACCTCCCATAATTTCTCCACACTGCTTTTTGATATATATTTCCAAGTACAACAATAAGGTTTTAACAGGTTTAACCCACATTTCCTAAGAGCAATTTTTTTGCAGGCAGCCTTCCTGAATTCTTCAAAATTCATCGCTCTGTAGGAACCCAATGGCACATTCCTTGTACTTAAATTTTACAAGAGCCTTGACTGTATCTTCCTCAATCCCACAAAATCCTTCAAAAAAACCTGCTGGTGGATTTGGAAGGCTCAAGGAGGGTTAGGGCCCGTGACCATTCAGCCCCGGTATGAAAAGGGCCCCCCGTTAAGCTTGTCCCCTCCCAAGAAGTCCTTTCGTACCGTCCCAGCTACTGGCCCAGGAGCTGGTCCGGTTGCTAATCAGGAACTCCTCTGTCCTGGGGTCTATTGTTTGCAAGTATTGACGCATGTAATATCCCAGAAGAAACCCGCTTGTGGTTTTCATCTCTCAGTGCGAAACAACAGAACACTTTTGCCGGCATAGATCGAAACCCCTGCCATGTGGTTTCGCGCACAATGGGACCGTAAATTACCAAAGAGTTTGGAAGGATTTTATCTTTAATCCGGTAAGTCTGCTATTGTTCTGCTCAGAACGTTCTCAGAAGGGCAATAAATTGATGCGCCTGACTGACTTCAAAACTGCTGGTCAGACAGGACCATGTACCGGACTAGACTGGGCTGAAGACCGGACTGGCTCGCAACCGGACGAGGTACCAGGGGGCCCTTTTCATACCAGGGCTGAATGGTCACGGTCCCTTAGGGTTAAGATTAAAGGAAAGAAACTTTCTTACGTCTTTTTGTTTGGAATTGGAACGTACCGTGCCCTTCTTGAAGAGCGCCTCTGGGTTGGTCTCGGGATTGGCTTTCATCAGCGGCAACGGAACGATTCTTCTCTTGGATAACGAGTGACGTCTGGAGAAAAAAAAAAAGGTACATGTACATTGTAAAGAATTTTATATTAAAAGCTCAGCCATTAACTATTGACGAATCACTGTAAACTCAAGAGGCCCCCTTCAATGGCCAACGCACTGTGCCAGCCATTGTACAAAGCTACTGCCCCGTGACATTATCTGAACAATAGCTAGCACAATGCTATCGCCATTGAAGGGGGCCTCCGTGCTAGAATTGATAGCGTGCCAGGATTGGTCGATAGCATTGCCCCAGGCTGGATAAAGTGGTCCAAACCATTTTTGATTAAATATGAAGAATGATCTGACCTGACAAAATTGACTTGTTTACTGAGAAGGTACAACCAAATCAAAATTTTGCTTGTATCTTCTAATTCACTGAGTGATTCTAACTTGATATCATTACATTTCAAATATAAAATGTCCCCAATTTGAAGTCACTTCATGGGCAGTTCCAGCGTAATGTAATGTCTGTCTCTGAGCTTTTAAGAACGCAGTGAATAAACCTAAAAATGTCTTTTTAAAATCTTGTACATCCTTCATCTAGTTATGGTCAACAAGATTATAGACTAGGAGTTTTGGATCATGTCTCTGATTCACTTTAGATATGGTTAATTGGCTGTGTCACGGACATTACAATTTTGGTCTGCAAACCCCTCTGACAAATAATTTTGCGCACAATGAACCTGCCCTATTAGAGCCGAATTATTGTCTGGCAGCCAATAATTCAAATTTTGTGAAGAAATAAATCTGTTTTTCGAGGTGAAACTCAAACAAGCACAGGGAAACCATCTTTAACCCTAACTCCCTAGGCCTTTTTGCTAGGATGTAGCCTCAATCCTGCAAAATCCTCCAATTGGCCTCATGAAAAATAGCATATAGCCTCAATCCTGCAAATCCTCCATTATTTCTTGAATATGGTCCATGGAGGGGTGATCACTGCCTGAATCCTGCAAAATCCTGTGGCAGTGACTGTCAATATGTTTAGGCTTGGCCAGTGACATCCTGGAGCAGTACGGAGGATTTCAAGCATAATGCAGGCCTATATTTATGCATGGCTGAGCAAAAACAACACAAGGTCGGGGGGGGGGGGCAGACCTTGACAAAGTGCATCATACAAAATCAGTAACGCATTTTTGCCATGTAACCTTAATCCTCGAACTTCCTCCACTTTGACAAAGAGGATTTTGAAGGATTCAGGGCGGTAAGGGTTAAGCCTCCAAAAAGTCAAACAATCTCTTACTCTTTTCCCTCCTCATCGATGTCATCTACTTCATATTTATTGGTAGCCGGATTGAAGGACACCACCTCAGCTAGGATCCAGTTCTCATCACCATCGCTACCTTTGACCCGAGCGGCAACCTTGTCCCCAGGCTTAGCCAGGTAGTTGTTCTCAGCCGGGATGGCACCGCACAGGGGTGGAGGACTGCAAGAATGGTAACAAGATGAAAATAGAGAGGTCTTTTGTAAGTGAATGGTTATGGTTAGCGCACTGGACAAGTCATCAGTTTGTTTGGTCTTGTGACGTTATGAGAAACTCACTATCCACTACCCAAATCCTGAAATTTGTATCCTTGTGGAGACATTTCTTTGTTCCTCGTGTAGTAAAGTTTTCAAGTTTGAAAGTGAAGTTTTAAAATGCTTTTATTTTAACCAGAATTAATTTCCTTGGCTGAAATTCAGACTTAGTATCCCTTTTCTAAAACTCTTCCATTTGCGACGGATCAACCCACCTTGGAAATTCCTAGTTTTTGAGTAAAATCCATATATCTATTTCGCGAAAACCTTGTGGAGACGTATTCATCTATAGAAATTACCCTGTGGAGACGTATACAACCTTTTGTTCCCTATTGTATGCACGTCTCCAGAGGGCACGGTGTATCAGATCCCGTGTACACGGCACGAATATGTCGCACACTACGCGTCCGTGTGAAACGCATAGTGAATTATCAATTTTCACCTCTATTCTGATGTTATTTCATCATGAATGATTTGACTTGGAGAGGATGAAGTAACTGAACATAAACCTTCCATTGGTCTGTGTTTCAAAGCAGGATTAGTTGCAGATACAAGGTTGTCATTGGAGGCTGCCATTTTGGATTACTGCTTTTATTGGTACTGGTTCCAATAACTAGGTGTAAAGAGAAGACAGTGTGAAGAAATTTCAGTTTCAGATGTGGGTGGAAAACCCCAGAACAATATTCCGAGGTAAACCCACGGAATCAGGCAGGGACTGAAAACCAAATGCACATATTAGCCAAGGCAGGAATCGAACCCGGGTCACAACGGTGGAAGGCGAGGAAAGTACCGCTACGCCAACCTGACTGCCAACTTTTGGTTGTGTACGTTTCTCACAGTGCATGTGACCGCATCAGCTGAAATACAGCACGCATGAGGTTTTACTCAGAATTTCCTGGGTAGCGCTGCCAAACTTCCTTAGACCTGCAGCTTTACTGTGCTTGTCAGGGATTGGCTGTATAAGGGACTAAAATCCAAATTCAGTCGTGAATCAAGATTAACCTCTCTCCTGGTCTGCCGATCCATAACGGTAACGTCAGAGCAGCTTGTTGGAGCATCGTCATCAACACCCCTCGCCTCATGGTCTTCCTAGGGCCGTCAGCATCCGTGTACAATCCAGCGTTCTTGGCTTGTAAACGTTGCTCGTTACGCACTGCTTTAATGTCGGCTATTTTCTTCAGGGCCTTCCGGAGTATTCTGTAAATTTGTCAAATAATATAAAGATGGTTGAACCAAATTTGGGACTTGACCACTTTCCTGAAATCTAACACTGTGTAGAAACCCAATAGAATGTTGTGTTCTCCAGCTAAGAGGCTCCACTTTCCTCAATCCTGCCAAAGTTTCCAAAACCTGTTGAACTATGAAGGAGGATTTGTGATGGTTTGGGTTGAAAATGTTGCGGTGCCCTTTTCATCAAATTGGTTGAAATTTAATTTTTTAAAATCAGACTTTGCGGGAAAAAGATCGAAAATCAGAATTTCGGAAATAAATTTGAAAAAGTAGGACTTCCGATTAAAAATGGAAAAATGTCATCTCTCAACGATGTCTGATTTCAACATAGCCATAGGCAATGTTTGATTTGGACATTACATAGCCATAGCCAATGTCATCTGATTTCAGCATAGCCATAGGCAATGTTTGATTTGGACATAGCCATAACCAATGTCATCTGATTTCAGCATAGCCATAGGCAATGTTTGATTTGGACATTACATAGCCATAGCCAATGTCATCTGATTTCAGCATAGCCATAGGCAATGTTTGATTTGGACATAGCCATAACCACTGTCATCTGATTTCAGCATAGCCATATGCAATGTTTGATTTGGACATAACATAGCCATAGCCAATGTCATCTGATTTCAGTATAGCCATAGGCAATGTTTGATTTGGACATGGACATAGCCATAACCAATGTCATCTGATTTCAACATAGCCATAGGCAATGTTTGATTTGGACATGGACATAGCCATAACCAATGTCATCTGATTTCAACATAGCCATAGGCAATGTTTGATTTGGACATGGACATAGCCATACTCAGCCTCGCTCTCAGCCTCAGTAACTGCCGACTGATACAACGTCCTCAGTTTAGTCTTGAAGTATGGCGAGATCTTCCCCTCGGAGTGCATGCGCTCGTGGGTCTTGTTGATCGTCTGGAGTGTTTGTTCGCTCTTTGTTCTCTCCACTTGAGTTTCTTTGACGAGACTGTGGAGTTCTTTCAACATGTCTTGTATGGAGGCACCGGCATCTGTGATTGCTGCATGGGCCTGCGAAAGCGAAACACAAAAATGTGAACACATCAAAATGATATCTTTTATCTGGAAAACAGTAAGCCTCACCATGCTTAACCACTTGCTGGGATTATTTTTGCCGAAAAACACCCTTTTTGATAAAGACAAGATATATCAGCCATAGTTTAAAATTAAGTTAAACAACACAAATACTTCCAACAAACTTCCATGCTCGAACACAAATACTGACTCTTTGAGAGTCATTTGTACAATATTTGTTTGATACTTCTCACAGTAACTTCCTATTTTGAAACACTCTGAGGCACAGGCCCTGCCACAGTCGCTACGACAGTCCGTGTATCACAGCCAAGTTCAGGTTCAAAACACGGTGTGCACAAAATCAACTGGGGTATATGTCCACTGCTGGAGACTTGACGATTTTACCCATCACCTGCCCCTGTGAATATACACTGCCAGATCGTGTTTACATGTCCTCCGGCGTTAATTGGTTACCCCAAAAAAGATAAAAATAGTACGCATATTCTGTTGGATCCTCTTTATCTGGTCAGAGAACAATATATACTTGCTCTAGCTATTTTTGCTCAGACAAAAAGTCAACTTTGAGATGACATGCACATTGAACGCTCTTACTGTTCAAAATAAGGCCATGCCCGAAACAGGCATCCAGGGCTGCGGCTACATTGACTTTGCTTGTGACAGCATTGCCACACCAGCTTACTACACCTGTGATACAACTGTGCTTGATCCCTTTCTTTTGTTCCAAAAATAAAAATCAGCATTTATGAAGTGCACTTCTCTACCGAAGTAAATTCTCTAGGTGCCCCTATATACATCATTATTTAACCCCAACTCCCTAGACCTTTTTGCTAGGATGTTGCCTCAATCCAGCAAAACCCTCCAATTGGCCCCATGGAAAAAATAACATATAGCCTCAATCTTGCAAACTCCTCCATTATTCTTAAATATGGTCCGTGGAGGGGTTACCACTGCCTGAATCCTGCAAAATCCTGCAGCAGTGACTGTCAATATGTTGAGGCCAGCAGTACGGAGGATTTCAAGCATAATCCAGGCCAATATTTATGCATGGCTAAGCAAAAGCAACACAAAGTCTGGCCCAAGACCATGACAAAGTGCATCCTACGAAATCAGTAATGCACTTTTGCTATTATAACCTCAATCCTCCAAATTCCTCCACTTTGGCAAAGAGGATTTCAAAGGATTCGGGGCGGTTAGGGTTAATATTTACTCTGTTCCCTGATTGCAGTCTACTACTAGTTCCAAGTCAGGTCACAAGCTATTCAAAAGAACTCTGACAAAACATTCTTTTGTTATCGTTCATCCCATAGGCCATTACTTGTGACTGGACTTGTGAATTGACTTGTGATTTACTTGTGATCTACCACGAGTACTTGGACCATTACACTGGACTGAACTCAAACATTCTGTCGAACCCGCAATCTGCAGAATATTTCCGCAGATCTAGAGTTCGACGTTCACGACCGCAAGACTGCGAGACATGTAAATTTCCTGCAGTCATTACTTGCGCAGCGGGTGATGCTGCTGCAGTCTGGGCGGCTCCTGTCGTTTTCTCCACAGCTGCTGTTGTTGCTGCTGTCACTGATGACGTGGCATTCTTGTCAGTGGCGCTTGATGCTGTGGTGCTAGTAGTAGACCCTGCCGCAGCACTAGATGGGGCTGACTTGGCACGTCTCATGACTCACCGATAACCTGTACTCTGTGAAAAGAATTCATTGTCTTCATTTTTTTTTGTTATGTCTTTAACCCTCCCCCCCCCCCCCCAAAAAAAGGTAAAATTTTACAGGTTAGATATGAACAAGCTGTTGGGTAAATCATTCTATGGAAAGAATGTTGCAACCTGACGCTACTTCAGCGGTTGTGTACAAAGTCTATGGAGAGTCAAGAAAATTTTCTAAGTATTCCTAACAACATGAACAACATCAACATGAACATGATGAACAAGATTAGAAATATTTCTCAGTCCCAGATTCATATCTACTCTTATCATCATTTTTGCAATGACTGACCTTCATTGAGATGATATATGAAGAAAAAAGCAGCATCAGGTTGCAACATTCTTTCCAAGTTACTGAAGCTGAATTGAACATGTTGAATAAATAAAGTATGAACTATGATTAACATTTTGTAATGCAATGAAGACGACGTCCACCCTGGGCTTTAGATCAATCGAAGGATTGAGCTTAGAACTCACACAATGTACACACAAAACACAAACATGCTAATAACACAAATCATGTAACTAAATCAAATGAAAGCTTTGGCCTACTGAAATTGAGGGCCTAGTTTGTAAACATCTCAAATTATTATTTAGTTGAACTTGAACTTATTTTTAACTTATTACATAAGTCAAAAATCAGTATTGCCATGTTAACAGAGGTAATGCTGGCTTAATAAATAAAAAGTTCAAACTAAATCAAAATACCAGTTGGCTGATGTTTGAAAATGTAATAAAAATGCAGAGCAAATGTCCCGCTTTCTGTCTTTGTTTATGGTCCACACCACACATGCCACAGGTTACCCCATGTACGCAGACAGGTAACCAGCTGCCAAATAAAACATTTTATACGGCAGTTGCATTCATATTAGACGTAAAGAAGTCCAGGTACTTGACGCATAGAAATGTTTCAACCTCGTGGCACAACGAGCGATCCCATGGAATATATTTCACGTAACAGTAATCGTATGAGTGTCCGATAAAGAACTCACTGGGGACGAAATCATATGGCATGACTGTACAAGTAGAGCCGTGTCATGTGCAGTATGACCCGGTCATCAGTTTCTAATTCTAGAATTTCTTATTAAATTGTGCAGCTTCCTGATCCAACTGCACTGCACTTTCCCCTACCCCCGATGTACGTAAACGACGACATTCACATATCGATCAAAATGGGGCTGCTGCTAGCCGGTGTGGGCACCGCGTTTTTCCCGCTAGTTTACTTCAGTTTCCGACAACTTCTCAAGCAACGGACGGCGCACTTGGCCAACTCGGCGGAAATCGTGTCCGTGGTGGCGATGAGGTTTGTGATTTGGCTGAATTTTGGGGGTCGTTGTTTTCAAGAAGAGTGCTTGAGACTGATGAGAGATATCACGCTCACTTTGAAAAATATGGACATTGTATTATCATTGGTCATGGAGAAAGGACTATAGCCATGGGGAACATGGGGAACCGGGCCGGAAGGGGGCGTGCCATGGCCCATATGCGGGCTGACTCGGTTGGGGCGGGCGGGTGCAACTAAAGGAACGAATTAATTTGTTATTTTTGTTATTTTCTTTTGCTTTTTTTGTTTGGGGGTGCTTAAATTAAACTTGATTTTGATTTTAAACAGCCATTGATGGCGATTTTGGTTGATTTCTGATTTTTTATGTTTTCCTTTATCATTCTTTAAAAAATTAAGGCCAATCAAAATTGACTAAGTGTTTGGTTTTCATCACCGCCCGCCTCGATTTTTACTTCTGCCTCGATGTTTAAAAAAAAAAAATTCAAAAGGTTATTTTTTCCTAGTGTATTTTCCAGACAAGTTTCTCACAAAATCCACAGGCACGGTCGCACTAATATCACAATAGCAAAATACACTGCTGCGCAAAGCATTATGGGCAGGATAAGGGGGCAAAGAACCACACACTAACGCCATGTTCAAACGCGCATGCCGTCGCCGCCGTGTTAAGGCATGCGTACGCGTTGAGAGCGTACGTGCCCGGTCAGTGTCCCTGAGCCCTCCTGTGATGCTCGCGTATTTGATATTTGCGATAAGGCTTATTCATAGTGCTAATGCATAGTTGTTTATAACACCTCACCCACAGATTCTGTGTCTTGATTGGCGGGGAGCGAGTCACATGTTACTTTCTAATTTTGCTGTCCTTCTGTGCACGGCCAAAAGTACTATGCGCATAGCAACCAAAGTCCTATACCATTAGCAACCAAAGTACTATTTCCATGGCGCGGTATTTGTGTGCAAATGCATGCTGGTGTGTGCGTTGTGCGTAGCGCGTATTATTCCAAAGAGAGCGCGCCACAGACTTGGGTTCAAAAATTTCGTGAAGGGTTAGTTTTTAAGAGAGAAATACATTTTCCACCAGTTTTGTATTGAAATTGAAGTTTATTTCAACTGTGTTCAGATTTAAATAATGTAAAATATTAAAATCAAGCAGAATCTGTGGGTGAAGTGTTATAAAACAAATATTGAATGCTTTATCTCGTGGTGAAGTAAACTAGCCTCCCGAGGTGATCCATGGACCATTCTATTTTCCCTCGGCTTCGCCTCGGGAAAATAGAATGGTCCATGGATCACCTCGGGAGGCTAGTTTTACTACACCACTCGAAGCATTCAATATTTGTATAATACGTCATTGTATAGTCCGGAACCATGACAAGTCGATTTGGTATTGATATGACAACGTTCTGGGCACCACACAACGAACATGTGTTGTACAGTACTCATGGTCGTCAAGTGTTCAAAGTTCAAAGTTTGACATCTAGCTGGCATGGCAAGGGTAGGCCAATTGTTGCATTGTTTGTTTGAACACTCAGTCAACTGTAAACCTAGTCTGCCATAAACTGTGAGGTTCATTACTGATTCTAAAATCCAGACACAAACTCTAGGTCATTAAACAGCTGACTGGTACTTGATATTAAGTAGTTTTCATGTTCATTGTGTCTTCTTTTAGGTTTATCTGACATTGTCCCCTCAATTCACTTTGAATGTGAAGAAGTGGAATTTATAAAATATAAAATGTAAATTCCAAGGAGCCCATACCTACCATTGGGCGCAACTTCAGCTGGGACCATCCTACATTTGTAACTTCCCAACTGGAACTCCTTACAAAATGTAGTTTGGCCACCCCAACTTTAGTTGGGACCGTCCCAACTTACTACTGTCCCAACTACTCCCAAATTAAGTACTGGTACTGTCCCAACTTAAGTTGGGACCATCCCAACTATAAGTTGGACCCTCCCAACTGCAAGTTGGGATCGTCCCAACGCACAAATGTACGACACAACTTGCCTTGATCATGTTGTTATACAAGAGAAAACATTCCTCATGGAATTTTGGAAATTTATCAGGAAAATTTATCAGGGAATTATATTTTTATAAAGTTGGGGAATTTTTGGTTTTAAATTCTATTAGAAGTAAAACATGGATGTGCAATTTTATGAATGGAAAGGCAAAAAGATACGGTAAGCATGCCTTCTTATATATGCGAACACATGGTGTAGTGCTTTGTACAATGTACTATGCTCAATTAACTTTGACATGCATACATAGTACATGTACATGTATGCATTTTTTATGTGTATTGCATGTGGCATAATTTTACCTAGTGATCCTTTTTAATAATATATATGACAACGGAATATCCAATGTACCGGTAGATCCATATAAAAAAATACACATGTATTACACACAATTCTAAAAACAAGTGCACCTTCACAACATAGATTCATGACCTACATGTATGTACATGTACATGCACATGTAGCTGTTAATGAACACAACGCATTGTCTGATTATATGTTGCACAATTAAAAATTTATTTCACATAAAATACGGTACATCTTGCATTGGGGTGCTTTTGGTTATGGTGTTGGTCTCATGTGACGTGGTACGTGTGTTCGAACCCTGACGGGGGAAATGGTGCTTGTGTTCTTGGGCAAGACACTTTACTACAATTGCCTTTCTCTACCCAGGAGTATAAATGGGTACCTGTGAAGGTAGAAACCAGATTGCACTGATCTCAAGCTGCTGCAGAAGAACGGTCTCATTCCTGATGAATAGGGATAATAAGTGTAAAGCACTTTGAAACCTTACATACAATGTACGTGTATGTAGAACTGTATAGAGCACTACATGTATATAACTACCGGTAAGCACCACATTAGTATTAGGCCAAAAAAAAAAAAATAGTCGGTCTCTGGTCAGACAGAAGTTCCGGAATTGATGCGGCGATGCATTTTTTTTTTTTTTTTTTGGTGGCTTTTTTTTTTTTTTCAAGCTTGTATGGTACAGACAAGGTGGGTACTATTTTGCTTTTTTGTGTCCTCACTATACATTGGTGTCCTCCATAATTTGCCTTGGTGCCCTTTATCATTTGCCTTGGTGCAATTTCCCCATTCCTTGGTGCTCCTTGGTACAAAAATTTGAGAAGGCGCGGCAATAGAGGGCGCTGTTGTAGCTTCCGTGTTAATTTTAAGAGAAAAAAAAGGTTTACGCGCATGATTAAACTCAACGCACGCGCTGACCAGAGACTGAGTATTTTTTTTTTTTGGCCTTACGCGTCCTAATTGATATGACAGGAATAATTACATGTAATAAGAAGATCCCTAATTAAAAACAAAACAAAACATTAAGGAAATGGCAAGTATCAAAAATGTATTCTTCCAGATGAGGACTTTTAAAATCATGAATAAAACAATTTACACACATGAATGTTAATATATCACATGCATGCATGTACATGTAGTTCAGTTTAAGCATCATAAAACATGCATCATTTGTATTGATATTGTGTGCATTGTATAATGCAACAACCCACTGTGTAAATGTATTGATTTATTGGTAAGAAGACCTTCATGCACTTTACGCAGTTGCATAGGCTACTGTACAGGCATTCAACAGTATGATATGATCGGTCAGACTGTCTGGTATGGTACTGGTTTTTGAAATTAAAAAACTCATGACTTGAAGTGCTTCATTAGAATTGTGACAATGTCCCAAAATATGATCAGACCCCCCAAATAAATGTTGTTTCTGGTATGTACAGTACATGTGCCAGTAGGTACATGTATGGTATTTTTTCTTAATTTCTCCATACAACATACATGTATGTACTCTACATGTGGGTATATTGGAGGATAACTGGACAAGTAGACATGTACAGTACAGTACCGGTACATATGTACTTGGTGTATTTTTTACAAGTATTTCAGATGTATTTGGGGTATTTTGTTTTTACTTCCAAAAAAATTTACATTATGAATAAAATGAAGAAAAAATTATTGTTATGAAGGAAAAATTATCAACTTAAACCCCCTCCCCCTCAAAAATTCATGTACATGTACATGTACATGTACTGGTATGTATACTGGAATTCGCCAAACAAAATTAGAAGCCATTTTTGCGGTGGTGCCATGCCCACGTGCATGCCATGTGCGTTCTTAAAGACGAGAAGCGCGTGCATTTTGGTGACCCTATTGTTGGAAGGAGCTCGGAGTGTACTACCTGAACGCCAATCACACGAGCCTGGTGCCACCGCAGAAAATGGCTGCCACCCAAATAGTCTAAACGTACAATTTTAGCTAATGTGTATGTACACCAAAAAATTCAGCTTTGATGACTATTTGATTTGATTTGAGATTTTGTTTGTTGTTGGCAATTAAATAATTATTTTTTTACCTAGATACCAGGCATGCAACTTTTCCTCGGATCAGCTGATTTCCTCGTTTTTCACTTCACACTTATGCCATTCAAAACTGAAAAACACTGCATAAAGTCTTTTAAAGATTGGAGTTTCCTTGTTTGTAGTTTCTTCCAAGTTGCATGCCTGAGATGTACATACTGTACACGTACCTTTACTCCAAAAACATTAGCATACAATGTTCAGTCAGAATTTACCCTCAAAAGTATTTTTATTTTTAAATGAAGCATTGTGAATTTGGTTTTAGTTTTGCTTCTTTTGTTGCATAACTCAGCCTACTTGTACGTCTGACCTTGTGGCATATGCAAATTTGTATTGTTGTATTACGCAATCAAATCTCTGTTTAGAAAAAGCAATCCCACAATACATGTACACATGGACAGTACTGCTACATGTACATGTATACGTGAGTTTGTCTTACAGTCACTACATGTATGTGGACATGTGAACAAAAGATGTCCACATAATGCAGGTTGTGTTGACGTTATGTGGACTAAGCCGTGTCCACATAACGTTTCGCCCTCTCTGGAAAACAGGTTTAGAGGCATTTTGGGGTTAGGGTTATCCGTCGCAGAATGAAGAGAAACATTCAAGGAAATCCAAAAAAAATATTGGGGGCTGAAAGAGTTTTCACAGTTTAAGTAAAGTTATTTTTTGTACCGAGTTTTCTTAACTACACAAAAACAAAGGAATGTCCACATACATGTAGATGTAGCGCATGTAAAACAAACATGGATTGTGTATTTATTCTACAAACTTCAAACAATGTACATGTACGTCTGTAACGTGTACAAGTGCCTGTCGTGCACGTTGCGTGAGAAAATGTTGCATGTACATTGTACATGTAGTACCATTCATGTTAACCTCTGGGGTAAATTTTAGAAAAATTAGCTGAAGATTTGGGCTATGATACTTGATAGAAAACTGTTTGTTCTCAGTGATGGTTAGGTCCTAACCATCGTTAGTACTGATCTTCCTCTTTTCTTGGGAATGACAGTATAGTGCATGTACCAGACTCAGCGATTTTGCAGGATGTTTCATGCTATTAGTTACTTTCGATATCAAGTGGGCTATTTCGTAATATTGTGTCAGTTTCATTTTGGAGTGTTTGCAAATTAACCTAATATCAGTGCGACAGTTCCGAAACACTTTTTATACAAACTGCTGTACACCCGTTCTGACCATACCCCCCTTGTGGGGTGATGTTCCTTTCAGGACACATCACCCCACTATTTTCACGATAGAAAAACATCACCCCAGAAGAGAATCTTTAGAAAAAGAGATAATGGGAACACAATGCTATCACCCCACAATTCCATCTGGCTAGACCGTCCGTCCATGTTCAATTCGGGGTTTCTGTGTCTGAGTGACATCATTCCGTAGTAAATTCCTCCTCTTCAAGTTAAAAACAAATATGTTCACACAGACTCAGATTAAAGGGAGATAAATCATGGCTTTTGTACAGGACTGAACTAGACAGTTGTGGATCACTTTCGACAGTTACGGATCACACATGCTGCGCTATGTGGTAGTGTTGGTACAAATTCATCATTCATGCATCATTCAGCTGAACTGCTCACAAAACTGCATCATGTGCGTCTGTCACGCAGGGATAAAAATCTTTCAGCGAATACGGCAATTCATTTAATCAAATGCCAAAATCATTATTACTCAGTATTCTTGAGATTATTTCCTAAACAAGAAAACCTAATATAGTGAAGGAAAAAAATGATAAATGTTGACTACGTTCCATAGGAAACCAGATTTGTGCCTTCCTTGACACGCTTCCTTCACAGTTACAAAACACGTGGATAGTACGCTGAACTGGATCATTCAAGCGATTTTCAAAATTTCTTTTCCCCTATAATTGGAAAATGGTAGACCTTCAAATTGGTGAAAAAATTCTCGGTAAAAAACTTTGGTAACACTTGAATTACAATTTATTTTATCAAGTGATCCGGAGCTGTCGATGATCCAGAACTGTCACACTGACTGTATATGCCTTTAAATACTATGCCAATAAGCATTGAATTGCACAATGTAGGCATACATGTAGGTACAGACAAACAAACATAAAGAATACCCAACAAAGTGTGCATGCTCTATATATGTTTCTTACTCATATCTGTGTGTCAGCTATAACAAAACTAAAATTGGCCAACAATTTGCATAATACATGTACAGTTTTGTAGCATGTTAGATCAAGCAAACATAAAATAGGGGAAAAAAGATTGTAGACAATTGAAAAGAAGACTGCAATTGTTGAACAGGTGGCCCAAACAAAGGCAAGATTGAAGAAAAACAAGGAAATAATGAATTATGCATTTTCCCATCCATGCTCAATGTTGTAATAATATTGTATGTTTATTTTGACAGGTTGACATCTATACTTCAGGCCCTTATGTCATCCTTCGCTGGTTTTGTTGCCATTTGCTACTGTAACACCGACCTTGTGCATGATAGGTAAGTCCAAGTATTTGCCAGAAATTAATAAAAAAAAATATGTGTTTCGCATCCTCAAACATTTAGTCTCAGCAAAAAGTAAATAAAGAATCAACAGACGGAAACTGACTATACATGTTTGTGGTGCATACAGACACAATAATGATAGTTGAACAAAGTAATTGACAGAGAAAAAGGAAACGCGACACTTGTTCAGTAATCCGGAGGCGGCAATTTCATATGCTGTTCCTGGCAGTTTCTTTGATTAACCTTACAAGTATTACTATTGTTTACATAAAAAAATACAATGTGGCAGATTTTTTTCATTGATTTGATTTTTTCGTCTCCTTGCAACTATTTAGTTCTAGCAATTCACTAAACAAAAAGCAAGCGTGGTCGGTGACACAAATCTTGTCAAACATGCAAAAAAGTCCAAATAATTGTAAAACTTGGCTATAGTGTTGCAGTTGAGTAAATTTCCTTGAGTTGAGTTGAGTATGAGTACGAGTACATGTACAATGTACGTGTACTTTGTCACGAGTACAAGTATATGGCAATTTTTTCCCATGAGTACGAGTACCAAGGAATGCACTCGAGTACGCGTACGAGTACGAATACGAGTCTGAGTACTTTCTGAAAATAGGAGCAAATTTCAATGTGTCATGTGCTTTGACAAATGTTTAAAGAGCTTTTTGCTAGCTAATTTTTGCTAACTATCTAATGTAGGCTTAAACAGAAGCCTCTCAAACAGTAGAAAAAAAGTTCTTTCTCTGCATTTACATTTGTGTAGCTCTTAATTTAAAAAAAATAATTCTTGCGGGAGAACATTTGCAAGAGTACCTGTATGAGTACTTTGTCATGAGTACCCTTGTGAAGGAGTGCAGATGATTTTTTCTTCCAAGTAGGAGTACATTTTTATGAGTACGAATACCAAAAACTGCACTCGAGTACAAGTACATACACTACACTGCTTTGCAAACAGTGTCATTTTTGATACTGTAACCAATTTATGTCCCCGTTAATTTGAGATGAGTAACATATTTTTTTTACCCCATTTCTGCAAGAGTCATTGTTTGGGATTGTTGAAGTTTGACCCCAATCAATTTACTTTTGTTGAGGACTTTCAGAAGTTCAAGGATTCAGGTGAACTTTAGATTCACTGGTGCGGGCATTTTTCAATGAATACAGGACTCAAAATACTGGTTAACCCTAAGCCCTTGGTCCCTTTTATGAGAAAGTATCCTGAATCTGCCAAAATTCATCAATTTTGCCATACAAAAAAAATGTTGGTGGCCAGTGAGTCCATCAGAATCCACCAGTTAGCCGGGAGTAAATCTGTTGAGATCCTGAATCTGCCAAAGTCCCCCAACAGCTCAAAAAAGAGGTATCCTGAATCCATCAAAATCCAACAGTTCTGCTAGGCTAACTATCTCCACCGAAATTCCCTGAAACAGGCGGCTGGATTTTGATGGATTCGGGTGCGTTAGGGTTAATACATAAATTCAAGTACCTGTCTAAGATAGTGCTATCCATGCGACTTCATCGATTAAAAGATCGTTCACATTTGGGTAATATTTGAATAAAATAGAAATGCTAATCAGATATCGGTTACTGATGGAATATTTGGTATATTCGTTGCAACCCTTCCTGTCATGACTGTAACATCGATGTGCGAATGTTGTCCATCGCCTATAGGTCACTGCTTGTGGCAATGTGTGTTTTTGTGCGTCATAATTTCATTTAAGCTGAGGGCCACATGCGTTATTGAGTTATGAAAACCATAAGGTGTGCAGTTCCACAATTCAATTGAAGCCCATTGCTGGGCCAGACTCAGTGTCTGATTAAATTTGGTGATAAAAATAAATGTTAACACTTTCAGAGCGGAACATGTACATGTATGAAGACTACAGAAAGCGTTCCGACATGCAGGGTATTGATTTTGGACACAGTTTATATAAATTTATACTAGTAGGTGCGAGTATTGGAAAACATTCTATCGTGAAATTATGAGGTTATTTGACTGGCATTAACAGAAAATTAGAGAAACTTGTGACTGTGCACAGAAGTCTCATGAGTCATAGCATTGGTGAAATTCCACAGGCTGAGTTAGGACTTGTAAATATAATGAATAATGTGAAATGAATAATTTGCTGCAACATGTCTGGGTTTGTTTGGAGTGGGGGTTTTTTTTTGGGGGGGGGGGCAAGAAAGAAAAATGTGCAGTGTGTGTGCATTATGTTGTTTTTAAATCAAACCAAGGATCCCTTAAAAGTGCCCTAGGCACTGTAGCACAAAAGCCTGAAGAAACCTGCAGAGAGAAGACAATGACAAGAAATTACAGTTTTAGAGGTGGGAGGAAAAGCCCAGAGGAATATTATGAGGAAAACCCACGGAATCAGGTAGGGACTGAAAACCCAATCCACATATTGGCCCAGGCGGGATTCGAACCCGGGTCACAGCGGTGGAAGGCGAGGAAAGTACCGCTACGCCAACCTGACTCCCCTCAATCACATATCTATACAACAAATATTTTAATTTGATGATTATTAATAATCCAAATTTTGTTCTTAAAACAGAGTTTGATAAGCTGAGTGAATGCTAAAAGAAAGGGGGGATCACAAAGGACGCTGGAATTGAGATTGTGGTGAAATTAAGAAGCATTTTATTAAGAAGTTTCTTTGTTATTACTAAAACATTCAAAGGTCAACATTTGTCAGTAGGAAAAAAATGAATTGAATTTGTTATAGAGAACGGACAGTCCATCTTTAAATTGAGTAACTCTTCAGAGTTTTTCCTAATTGTTCTTGCTGCTGTATAAATATCCATATTTCCACTCGTCTATTACTAAGCCTGCGTGATTGTAGGCTTTGATCGTCCAAATGTGACGTTTTTATCGTTAAGCCCAAGGCCCATCGTACATCATCTCTTATCGTGAACTTGCATCATGAACATGAATCATGAAGAACTGTAATGACTCCTTGCCATATGTGTTCATTTTCCATGAATACACATGTATACAATGTACATGTACATGTACATGTAGGCCACGGCTATTACTGCAATGCAGTGTAGGCCTACATGTACAATTGCCTGTCAAGAGGCATTACACAGTACATATTTAGACACACAATAATAAATGTACCCTAATGCATCATCTTTCAAGTCCGTGCCTAATGTACCATTTCCATCATGTCCGTGGGGGAATACTGAGACATCAAATATAGAAAGGGCCGCGTCACCTCGGCTTGCTACTCGTAAATGATTTTATACAGGGTGAGTCAAAAAAACGACTTGCCACTTACCCCCTCCCATTCTTCCCAGGCTTTGTTTTAACAATAAATTTAAGACAGTTCGAAACATTGATACAGTAAATTCTTTAAGTTTACATTATCATTTTTTTTTTTGACTTTCAGACAGTTTTAAGATGGTTTCAGACATTGATACAGTAAAATCTTAATTTTTCCCCCTCCCCCTCCCCCCACCCCCAGCATAAAAAGCTGGGTATGCCACTAGACACAAACTTACCATAACTGTATAAAATGCTGAACTTTCTTTTCAATTGCATCCATATTGGTTTTGGTTTCTCGGTACAGACATTGGATCATCAATGCATACACCCATTTTGGTCTACCCTACATGCTGTATGACATCCTGGCGATGTGTGAAGCCTTCCGTCAGGAGAGCAAGCATCTCTTACAATCGTCGCCGGTCACCGTGGCCGTAGAATTCATCAGGGTTCATTGGCTGATGATCTTCCATCACCTGGGTCTTGCTTGCATATGCCTACCAATTATCTTGGTGAGTGGAATGAAAGTTGGGTCTTATACGAATCTCTTGTGTAAAGCTACTCTGTAGCCATACCTCTGGACTAATCTTGTGCATCGGGGCGGGCTGACCAGGCCAAACCGACCCAAGACATTATAGATATAAACCGAATCCAAACCGAAACCGATATGAAGTCCCCAAACCCGACCCTACCCCACCCAACAAAATTAAGCCAAAAAAAAAACGATCTGAACCAACCCGAAATCGAACCAACCCGAAAACCCCGAATATCTGGCTTGGGCAACTGTGTATACTTTCTGTGCCTGAACTTACCGGCATTGCGTAAAAAACATTGTCTTTCAGTAAAGACGATGGACAAACCAACCCGACCCGACCCAAAGATGGTTTCGGGTCAGGTCGGTTTCGGTTTGGGGTCGGACTTGTACAACATTACTCTGGACACCGTTTCAGACTTGGCCTTACTCTGTTTTATTGTGGACCCTGTTCACGAAAAGTAGTATTTCGTACCACTTATTAGGGTGCAAATTACACAGAGCCTGCGCCCACTGGTTTGTGTACATATTGTGCGAAGCGTGTATGACTTGCTTTATTGTGAGATGGACACAAACCCAAAGTGTCTGTGTGAATGTCAGGTGCCATCGACAATGCCTTCAAATGTCCTTCCCAGTGGTGTCCCCCAACTCTCCCATTGTAAGCACTGAAGGGATACTCGTGCACAGAATTCATTGAATGAAGAATTTGTTTATTTAACCCTAACTATGCTAAATGCAACAGAAAGCAACAGAGCTAAAATGTTGTTGCATACTGTTGCATTTAGCAGGCAACTCAAGTCCCTGTGCTTTGTTGCATCTTGTTGCATTTAGCAGGGTAACTGCTCATAGGTCCATGGTGATACAACATAATCCACTGCTTCATTTGGTTGCATTTAGCAGGGTAACTGCTTGGTGCAAGGCTGGTATGCACTGGGTCCACTGCACAATGCAACAGAATCCACTGTTGCAATTTGTTGCATTTTGCATGGCCCTTATTTCAGCTAACGTGCATTTTGTTGCATTTGGCAGGGTGCCTAGGGAAAACCTGTTGGGGGGTTAGGGATAAAGTAAGAGGTTTACTTCTAAAGTTTGAAGTGCCAAGGTTTAGCGCAGCATACTTGTATGTACATGCATGTACATTACATGTACAGTATGTATGTGATCCCATTATACATTGTCTCATTTACAACTTTTAAAACCATGTGTTCACAGAAGACATTATTAAGTACCCAAGTTTCCATAGGTTTCTGTGTGTGTGAAGTGGTTCCTGAATATTTCTCCCCATTTCTTTGCAGTTTTACCGTAATGATAAGGGGGATTTCTTCATTGGCTGCATGTTTATGACAGAAGTCAGCACACCGTTCGTTAGCATGAGGGCCATTATGAGAAAGGTAGGCTGATCATTGCTGAGAAATATTGGTTTCAGGTTAAATGTTGTCCAGACTTTACTCAGGCTAGAAACTTTTGAACCATAAACATATTGTTGAAAAAATGTCATTCTAGTAGCCTGGTTCCCTACTTCAGACGAAAAGCAGCAATGTACAGGTGTAGTCGTTGGGGAATCGTCTGGTGTGGTCAGGGGACCTGACAAGCAAACTTGCACCCATTCACGGACATGTGTAACCGATTGCAAACAAGATTGCCAACAAAATGTGGACTAACTGAATTTGGTAAATTGGGAGGGGGGGGGGGCAGTATTTGAGACATGTCAGGTTTTTTCCAACAATGGTTGGCTGACCATTGTTGGAAATTGATACAAAAATTCCACTCTTGTTGAAAATGACAGCACACCAAGTGCCACGATTTCACGGGATGCTTGAGACTATTATTCACTTAAAGTCAAGTGAGGTATCTCATAATAATTTGGTAGTTCTGTTTTTGATGTCTGCAAACATTACCTTTAAGGAACTTCATTTGTTGATGCTAGTCCTGTCTTTGTTTACAGGTCAAATGGGACAACAAGTTCCCCAACCTATACCTCTTTGTCAGCGTGATGCTTCTCACGACATTCTTCGTGTTCCGTATCATGAACTTTCCCTTCATGTATTGGCTCTACGGCCGTACCGTCGGCCTCTCCGTCTGGCAAGTTCCCGGACGGATAGCCCTCAAGTGCAACGTCATCTCGGGGCTCATCTTCCTCTTCCAGTGCTACTGGTTCCTCTTGATCCTCCAAGCAGGAGGGAGGATGCTGACTAAGATGTCCAACAAACCGTCTGGACAAGGCTTGGAGACTAACGGCGTCGCGCACAAGTCTCACTGAGGTATGCTGGCGAGAAATTGTGTGTGTTCAGAAATATTCCACGGCGTTCTGAGCAGTGTACAGCCAATCTTGCAATATATACTTTGCTATGCTGAAGCTGATGCCTGTATTTAATACACACTGATCAGTCAGGCTTGAATTGAATTTATACAAACTTGCAGCATGAACCTCTGTGGGCAATCCACGGCATTCCATTTCTGAGCCATTTTTGTGCTCCGTTACCAGAACTGTTGTTACTGCAGACTGGGATGGGACTAGGCATGCATTTATTGCAAGAAGACTTAAAAGTGATTGAGATTTTGGCTCTTATCGCTGGTGGTGACTTTTGAAAGCTATGGATGCTCCTGTTATGAGTTTCATGCGGAGTTGTGTGGATATACAAAGAAAAGGCGGTTCATGTCAGGTGTTAATAACGAAGACAGGCTTTACGCCATTGCAGACTTTTTGACAAACAAAGCGGACTCACATTCCAATTTTTTTCCATTCTTCACAAACCGAAGGAAAAGGTTATGAGACGCTTAATCATTGAAAATCTCTTGTCTTTGTGGAATCAGTCATAACAAGGGCACAATTTCTTTTTGTTGCTTACCATTTCTGCTAACTAAATGTATCCCAGGTATTTCTGCGCTTACGGTAAGCATTTTTCATGGGTTAGAAAAAACTTGTGGCTTATGCACACGCATATGTACCTGAAAGGAGTCTGTGCTTATAGGGTTAGCACAGAGTGGGGATTATAAGCTTGGAATTCTGGGGTTAGCAGGGCCGTGACATTAGGCTGAGGGCAAAAGTGATTTTGGGGTGAAATTTATCGGTACTGCCTGTGTCATTTGTGATCAATGTGGTACAATGTCAACAATTTTCGTTTATTTTTAAACAGTTGCACCTGAAAAACGTAGATCACTTTGAGAAATCATTTTGGAGGGAAAAAAAAATTGGACAGCTTTAGCCGTTTGCAGAAAATAGCAATATCATGTGTGTGGCACTGTGTGCAGAAGTTATTATGCAAGTATGGTAGATTTACTACAGCAGAGATCGATGTTATATTTTTGAATTGTTGATTTGTTTTGAAATGATAAGCGAATGAAAATTAACACCAGAACTAGTTGTTCAAGGAGTTACGATGCTTGGTTTGTCTCAAACCCACAAGTGAGCATTTGTCAAGCTGTTGTGGCATTTTCAGCTGGGATTTCACCACCTCAGTGTGCATTTACGGCAAGTGTTAAAAACAAAAAGTAACCCTAGGGCAAAAAAAAAAAAGTCTCCGGTTTCTGGTATGCGAGCGCGTCGCCGTAGCCATGCGCGTCGGCAAAATGAAAAAGTTTTTTTTTCAATGAAAGATGATGTCTCAAAACCACCAAACTCACCGGTTTGACTGGAATCCTGCTGCTGCACAATTTTAACATGTTTTAGATTGGGTTATGGTCGAGAATAAGCTTTATGTGACCTCTCTGGAGTCCCATATATTTGCACTAAGTTTAGTCGGGCACCATTTGCAGTCATCAGCCGACATTTGAAGCAAAAAACAGGTAGAGAAAAAAGAAAAAAAAACACATCGCCGAACCACTTTTTGGGCAAGCTCCATACCAGAAACCGGAGACTTTTTTTTTTGGCCTTACTTGCAAATTGGAGGATTTTCAAGTATTCAGAAAGTTTCCTAGCAAAATTGCCTAGGGTTTTGGAGATGATAAAAATCTATTATTAGTTGCACCGAGTGCTTGATCTCTCATTAGTTGGCTTTTAATTTTAATAATGAGTTTTTTTAAGTTGAACCAAGAAATAGACTGGAGCAGGGTTTGAACCTGTGACCTCCGGATTGCTGTTCCGGTGCTCTATCAACTGAGCTATCCAGCCCTATGTTGGCGGTTCCCCATCATGCCCATTTTGTCAATGTCTTGGTTCAGGACATCGACAACATACAAATTTAATCAATTTTATATAATCTGACAAAGAGGTCATTACATGTACATGCACATGTACTCTCTAGGCGCGTTACACGTGTGCACAAAATTTCACTTTGTTTCTGAAAACAGGGCAGAAAGTCTTCTTTCTTTGCTATATCCCCCAACTTCTGGTTCTTAAAATGAAGTGTACAATCTAATTTAAAAAGAAAAATTGATTATTAAAAAGTGTACATACCATTATTATACTACCATGTTAATAATTATTTACGTAGATTTGCGATATTATTATTCTTTCTTTTTTTAAATTAAATATTTTGTCATAGTTTAAGAATATCCATACATTTACCAAAAAGTTGTATCAGTAATTTTACTTGTTGTATTTTCCATACTGCATATTGATAATTGTTTGAAGTGATAGTCGGGTTGTGAATATTAGTGTCTACAAACTTCCTGTAAAGCCTATTCCCAGATCCTACAGAATCCAACATCGGGATATGTGGGGTATTGATGGATTCAGCCCAGCCACCATTCCTTTGCATGGCGCTTTTCAGGAACAAATTACAAATGGTTTATTACAGAACTTTGGATGTTGGCTGATTTGGAAAGCATCCAAGTAAAAAAGTGAAAATTCCCTTGGATTAAAGGTTAATGACGTAGCACTTGACGAATAAGACGTGTACTTTCTAGTTTCAGAACGTAAAGACTATTTTTGCATGTTTTAAGGCCAGTTTTGTTTTGGGCACATTATAATTAGCATGTCACAAAATTTAGGCTATTAAGGGGGGAAAAGGAAGTAACCATTAAAGTTGATTTAAGGTTGTATTCCTTTTGTTTTCAACAAAATTCGCTGTTATTTTCCATTAATAAATTGTCAACTTGTGTGTTTTATTCAGACACACAAAAAAAAAATTCCGAAAAAAAAAAGGTTTTGTTTTCGGGCACAAACAGATCTGCTTTGCCAGCAGACTGGTTCCCGGTCCGTACATTATTGAAGTTGATTGTGGGGCAGGAACCAGCCTACCCTGTGATAACGGGAATTATTGTCTAGCAGCCAAAAAATTCGAAACTGTAAAGAACAGTAAAATTACTAAACATGGGCCGATTTTTTTCATTGAAAAAGAATAACTTTTGTATTGCTATAAAAAATGGCAATTTAGAAAAAGGAATGTATTTTTTTCAGGTTGAAACTCGGGGAAAAAAACACAGGTTATGCAGCTTGAGGAAATCTCAGTCACTTCTACCCTTTTTTGCCAACACAATTCTGGGAAGAAATTGAATCGAATTTGTATTAAAGGTATAGTCCATCATCTGTAATTTGTACATTTTGTTCGATTGAAGCAACAAACGTGCTCAAAATCTAAAGAAGGGTGCTGAACAACTAACCTGATGAAGTTTCAGCTCAGCTTCAGCTGTATATTCTGAGAAAAACAGCATTCTAGGATCTCGATTTCAAATCAAAAGTTGCTGAATCATATTTTGAATTGAGCCTGAATTCAGCGTCCGAGACACATTCTCACTGAGCCGATTGCAGCTATGCAATGTCGCGCACCGATCCGACGAATTATAGCAACCGCATGTGCGTCGTGCCAACGGTTGCGCGCGCTTCGCCGAATATAAAAAATGAACTACTTGTTGATTTCTTCAAAATGACAGCTTACCAGAAAGACTAATTAACAGGGAGTTTAGTCTCCTTACTATCTTTCAACCAAGTATGTTTTTCAACAATAATTACGTCAGTTACTTTTGGGATAGCTGCAAATGATGGACTGTAGCTTTATTATTTAAGAGACATTTGAGGGACATTATGTGTGGAGGAAATTGCTACATGTACAACAGAGCAGTAGCTGAAGACTGCTTTAAGTCCTTTGATTGCAATTAGTCCCCTGAGTCATTCGTGCTGAATTTCAGAGATGTACATGTTTCCTTGAGACGTTTCCTTTTAAAAAAAGCTTGGTGTGGAAGTGATAAAAGCCTTCGATTTGATTTTACACTCAACATTTTTTGGTAAACGTGAAATCCTTTTAACAGAATCTTGAGGCTGAGATTGAATTTGGAGATAAGGAGTTATTAATTTAGCCAGTAGCAAATTTTCTTATTAGATATTGAAATGTGGTTTGAGTGGATTGAAATGGCATACAATGCTAAAATCAATTTGGTATGCAGGTACTGTGCTGTATTGCATTGGATATCTATCATGTCACACATTGTTGGCAAGATTGCGGTATCACTTGATCGTGGTAGTGCCTGCAAAATATTTGATGTAGATACATGCACAGTGAACTTCATGTTTGATTTAGTAAGGACAAGAGTACATGTACAAGGTATGGGAAATTCCAAAAATTAAGGAAAAAATGCTACATATTTTAGTGTAGCTTTTCCAATTTAATACAAAGCAAAATAATACAACACAATTTAAATGTCGTACAGAACTTTAAATTGAGCAGTATTCTTTTTCTTTATGTATTTATTTTCCTTATTTAACTATTTACTTGAACACATTTTTGGTTAGATATTGAATTTATTTATTCAAAAGTCTTAAATAGTTCCACAAGACAATAACAACTCAGCCTAGAGTTGGTTCTACATTTCCACTGTTTTACATTTGAGGCTGCTCACCGAGGTTATAACGCCAGTTTTGGACAAAGATGTTGCTGTTTTTACAAAGTGATGAATTTAGTTTTGTGAAGATTGAAAAGTTGTTTCTTTGTGAAAAAAATGACAAAATGCTTCATGTATCAGCACGTTTGGCTCACAGATCTTTTCAGTTTTGAATCTGACCTGATTTAGACTACCTCAATTTTTTTAATAGATCGATTGCATTCAGTCGCCATCTTTGAGGTGTTTTGTTATGTTAATTAATTAACAATGAATGCACAAGGGTCTACTCGTTCGTGTCCCTGTTGAACAAAAGCACGCACCTCAAACATGGCGGCAGTGCAAACTGTCTATGAGTTTTTGCGTTCACCGATGTCAGTCTGTGAGGCGAAAAAAATCACAACCTCACTGTGGTAGGCAAAACACAGTTAAATTTGTAATGACTTTTATTGAGGCATGTTGGTTACATTTTGTTTATGTATTGTAAAACTTGTCAAACTGATAATGTGCAAATGCAATCAACATATTAAAATGGAGAATCTTAAAGGTATAGTCCATCATTTGTAATTTGTGCATTTTGTTTGTTTGAAGCAACAAAAGTTTTCACAATGTAAAGAAGGATGCTAAACAACTAACCTGATGAAGTTTCAGCTCAGCTTTAGCTGTACATTTTGAGAAAAACAACATTCTAGGTTCTCGATGTCAAATCAAAAGTTGCTGAATCATGTTTTGAATTGGGCCTGAATTCAGCGCCCGAGACACATTCTCACTGAGCCGATTGCAGCTACGCGGTGATGTCGCGCACCGATCCGACGAATTCTAGCAACTGCGCGCGCGTGTTCGTCATGTCAACGCCAGCGCGCGATTCACCGAAAAAATAGACGAACTACTAACGGAAATTTCCAACGGTGCGTCTTTTACCGTTGGAAAGGCCTTCTTTCGTTGATTTCTTCAGAATGAGAGCTTGCCAGAAAGAACAATTTCACAGGGAGTTTAGTTTTTTTACTCTCTTTCAACCAAGCATGTTTTTCCACAATTATTACGTCAGTTACTTTTTGGATAGCTGCAAATGATGGACTATAGCTTTAAAAGGCCCCAAGTGTCTTGTCAAATGAGGTCCCCCCCCCCCCCACACACATACACACCCATATTTACATTACATACATGTACCTAGTGTGGACATTCCCTTGGTTTCGTGTTGTTAAGAAAAACCTCGGAAAAAAATCATTTTACTCTCACTGTGAAAACACTTTCAATCCATTTTCCCCTATGCTTCCCTTTAGTGGTTCTCTTCATTTTGCCACAGATAAACCTAACCCAAAAATGCCTCTAAACCTGTTTTCCAGAAAGGGGGAAACACTGTGTGGACTTGCCCACGTCCACACAACGTCGCCTCTACCTGGTTTATGTGGACCTCTTTTGTTCGGAAGGCCACACAGTGAATGTAATTGCCTATCCAACTTGACTACACCGTATTTCACTATTTTCCCATGAGAGGAAATGTACGTGTTATTTTACTTGTAGTTGTAAACTGGAGTATAGTGTATGTTTTTGTGTACCTTTGACATTGTTTTAGTAAAGCCCAACTGAACTTCTGATGTTCCCAATATGTGTACTGCTAATAAGTATTTGAAATCCTTTCTAACGACGTTATATTTTTCATTGCTTTATAACAAAAGAAGTGAAACTTGCAAAGGTTTAAAATAGAATAAAACAAGTATTTGCAGGCCATGAAAATAATAAATTATCTTAAGTATGTTACCCAAACAATATTTTTTCTCTGTTTATCAGAAATACATGTAGCTTGGAAAGAGAATATGAACAACTACATGCAGTCTCTATTTTAAATCAACTGATATTGTTTCTAAACTACCAGCAGACCCGTGCGTGTTTTTTTTTATAAGCACTCTCTCCTTGTCTCAGCTTTAATTCTATTTTACAGAACTATCTTTTCTTGATGATACAACATACAGTCTCTTTTTTATATCATCTGATATTGTTTCGAAACTACCAGCAGATCTGGGTTGGGTTTTTTTTTATTATTGTAAATACTCTCTCTTATCTCAACTTTTTACACAACTATTTTTTCTTGATGACAAGATGGCATTGTTTCCTTGAAACGTGACTTTGTCGATAAACCCATGTACATGTACTTGATTCTAAATCGTCTAGAACAGCACTTATTTTATCAATTTTCTTACATTTATTGTCAATTTCGTTGCATTTTCTATCTTCATGAGCTAACATTTAGAGGCTGCTTATAGTTTTGAATGTGTGGCCTATTTGTAAATCTATGAAAACGAACTAAATTTTGTATTAATGTTATTTTTGAGTTTAAGGATTTATGATTGTTGAGGATTATTCTGATCCTTAAAATAGATATGTTTACTTCAAATAGGAAGTCTAGCTTTGTTTTGTACCAAATATTTCAATGGTTAGTATACAGACAAGGAATGTTTATGAGTGCAATGGTAAGAATAATTTCATGAGGTGACAGATGGAATGTTCCATTCCACGAAGCGAAATGGAACATTCCATCTGTCACCAACTGAAACTATTCTTTCCATTGCATGATTGTGAAACATTCATTATTTGTTTTATGCAACACCTGAATAAGTCCTCGTTATCTGATTGGTCAAAGCCAAACAATGGTGTGACCGTGGAATAGAACTTCTACTTTTGCGGCGCGGCCGGGCCGTGGGTTGAAATGAATAATTCAGTGACGTGTCATCATGAACCTACCAATTAGATGACGGAGATTTAGTCAGGCATGATTTAAAACTGCATGTATTTCATAAGGATATGATTTGTGGATTTTTTTTTTGTATACATTTGGGAAGTTTGAAAAATTTAACCTCCATAAATTGGTGTGAATTTAAAAGAAAAAAATGCTATTAATTGCAAATACATGTATGACACTGTTTAGTACATTTGGACCAAATGTTATTTGTTCCATTTCATCATCATTCTTGAAGATCATTCATATATCTTTTGAACACATCACTGATGTATTATTATGCAGTTTGCATATTTCATACACATACGTGTATACAATACTAAATTCTTACATTCATTGTAAAATTAAGACAAATTTCAAACGAGCAGCAAACAGGCTTTCAAGTGTTCCTACTTTTCCTACTTTTTCCTAGTATTTTTTTACCTTACTCTTAACTTTTCCTAGTTTTTTTCTTGAAATTCCTACTTTTTTTAGTCCCACAACTCCGAAAAATGAATTATCATTAAATATTTTTCATAACAGTGTTACACACTGTCATATGTAAATCACACAATGAAGGGCTTGGGTGCAGGAGTACTGCAACTGTACTTCCAAGAGCTTAGTTGAGGATGGAGCACAAGTGTTGTGAGTACAGAACATGCCAAATGAGGCTTATGATGCTGTGGATATGGGTGAGCATCAACAAAAACTACTCCTGAAAGCCAGCAAAAGTCCTACTTTTATCCTGATTTTTTTACATTTCGATCGTACTGTTCTCCTGTTTCACTTGGGTCTGCTTGAAAGCTTGATTTACGAGCATTGTGTGCTCTCTTTAGTCGTAGGAATTTTAAAAAGGAAAGGTCCCCGATGCAGTGTAATGGCTTAGCACAGAGGCTTGACTTTGCGTCCAATTTGAAATTTGTTATTCAGGAATGTTATGATTCTTAATGGTTTCCATGTCGACCAAGAAGTTTGAACACTTATGTGTAAATAGCTGGTATGCCTGCTGGTCAGGCTTTATTTATGTGGTAACACATGAAACATGCTGGGCACCAACCTAGCTTCATACTCAACTAACAATGAAGCCACATGTTTAGTGGTCAAAGATGATTACATAATGCTGGTTTGGAGGGGGTGTTAAAAAAAAGTGGATTATAACTGATTAGAAAATAAAAGTCGCTTCTCCAAGATGAGATATCATTTGATGTTCAGTGTTATCACTGAAAGACCTTTAGATTTGTTTCCCGAAGTAAATTGTATGTATTCCTCATAAAAAAAATGAATGATTGTGTTTAAGATTATTGCATGATTAATTGATTTTGGAGCACATTATTTGGCGAAATGTAATAAAGACAAAATTTACATGAATAAACTCTACCTTTTTATTTGGCAATTTGTTGTGTTTTTGAAGGAATATTTTGTTGCTTTAAGTGACTAGATTGTTATTCAAGAATCATTGCACTGGTGTAAAAACTTGACTAGGGGCAAAATTAATTTGGTATATTTGTGGCAGTTTGGCACATTATGATTTGTAAGTGTTTATTTTATTAGCATTCTTTTTCATTTATAACCAGCCAAATTGGAGATAAAAAATCTAATGAAAATAAAAGAAACTGCCAATTTTTGGGGTTTTTTTTTACAAAAAATATAAAATATTTCAATTAGTTTTCTTAGTATGAAAGATAAAGTTGGGGATGGTCCGCCCAAATCTAACAACCCCTTCAATTTGTTATTATGTATTCCTGCATTTACCCCGCGCCCCTTCATTACATTTTGGTTTAAAAAAAATACTACACAAAAATACTAAAATAATATTGTCATTATGACAAAACTATTATATTTTCTTTTTCATGCATTTTTGTGCATGTGCCTGCTTGCACAATTTAAGCAGCTGGGAGCGCGAGTCCATAAAATAGTTGTAGCGCCCTCTCTTGGTTATAATCGCCATGTAAACAACACAAGCTTCACGTGAAGAAAGTGTTGTCTGCATTTTTTGGGAGAATGGCAACTTTTGACTGGGAGGCGATTCTTAAATCTGCATACAGGGATTGTTGTGATGGAGAGGCGTTTAGTGAATTCAGAGGAGCTTCATCAGATGCTGATCGTGTGTCCTGGTGCAGTCAATTTTGTATTTGGAGGTTAGTGATTATGGTTAGGAGCATTGCATCTATTTCGTGAAAACATTGAAAATCAACATTTGTTATGTTCACTAAAAAACGAGTTCCTTTGAAGTGTTTTTGGGGTGTGCATTAAAGTTAGGGAAACAATGTTGCAACCTGACGCACTTCAGCGGTTGTGTACAAAGTCTATGGAGATTCAAGTAAATTTTCTAACAAAAATTTGAACTTTTTCTCAGACTCAGTCCTAGTCCGAGTAACTTGGACCCAACTTATCGCCTTTTTTAACATTTGGACATGGTCTGGCGATAGTAAGGTCCAAGCTAATACCGAGACCTAGACAACACAGTCCCAAAAACCAACATTTTCCAACAAAAAACATCAGATTTCACCTTCAAAACGGCCTCCAAATTACTAGATATGCCACCTGAGGTACAAGTAGACATCGATAATTAAGATGGTTGTACTGAAGTTTACTTACGATCCGGAAAAAAAGTGAAATTTTCCGTTCATTTCGGAGAGCTCCCCTCGCGATCTTGAACACGTTAAATTTCCGATCGTGTTTAATGTTTGAGCGACGCGATTTCTTCTACATGCCCAGCGGACATTCGATGGTCCCCGTATCCCGTGTGCGATTCCGTTACCGAGCGCGCGCGATGCATCGATTATGATAATGAGTCACGTTTGTAAACACATACATGTGCATTTCGAACTGTAAAAGGGAATCGGGAACCAGCTTGAACTGGTACCCGCCATAAAAGCTGCGCTAGTTCCCGACTCCCTATTATCGTTTGAAATGCACATGTGTTTACAAACGTGATCCAGTCTACTCATTATCATAATCGATGCATCGCGCGCGCTCGGTAACGGAATCGCACTCGGGATACGGGGACCATCGAATGTACGCTGGGCATGTAGAAGAAATCGCGTCGTTCAAACATTAAATACGATCGGAAATTTAACGTGTTCAAGATCGCGAGGGGAGCTCTCCGAAATGAACGGAAAATTTCACTTTTTTCCGGATCGTAAGTAAACTTCAGTACAACCATCTTAATTATCGATGTCTACTTGTACCTCAGGTGGCATATCTAGTAATTTGGAGGCCGTTTTGAAGGTGAAATCTGATGTTTTTTGTTGGAAAATGTTGGTTTTTGGGACTGTGTTGTCTAGGTCGCGGTATTAGCTTGGACCTTACTATCGCCAGACCATGTCCAAATGTTAAAAAAGGCGATAAGTTGGGTCCAAGTTACTCGGACTAACTCAGTCCCAGCCATGGCTAGCCCCACTAGTGTGGCCACGGTATGCTGCGCTGAACCTCTGGCCACACACCGTGGTTCGCGCACTACTGAGGACGTTTTCGGAAAATTAACAGGCAGTTTCTTACATATGGTTGTATTCTACGATGTCCCATCTATCACTTCTGGGAAGCTTAGGTGTAATGATGTTCAATTTTCTGAGATATTCTTGAATCTTTCTGGAGCCCATATGCACTCGTGAAACGTCCGGTGATGGCAGCCATTTTGAATGTGACAAGAGATGACCTCAAGCTGTGACGTCGCATTTATGCAAATTGCTTGTCGAGCGAGGGCGCGAGTTGCAAATGCGACGGCTGTTTCCTGTGTTGCGCGCGTCGTCCAAGCCGTCGACATCGATGCCCATGCAGTGCATGCGCAGGGTATTATTTTAATTTTTATTTGGAACAGGAAACAGCCGTCGCATTTGCAACTCGCGCCCTCGCTCGACAAGCAATTTGCATAAACGCGACGTCAAAGCTTGAGGTCATCTCTTGTCACATTTAAAATGGCTGCCATCACCAGACGTTTCACGAGTGCATATGAGCTCCAGAAAGATTCAAGAATATCTCGGAAAATTGAACATCATTACACCTAAGCATCCCAGAAGTGATAGATTGGACATCATAGAATACAACCATATGTAAGAAACTGCCTGTAAATTTTATGAAAACTTCGTCCACAGTAGTGCGCGGTACCACGGTGTGTGGCCAGAGGTTCAGCGCAGCATACCGTGGCCACACTAGTGGGGCTAAGCCATGGCATGCCTTATCATTAGCTTGGCTTGAGTAACTCCAGCTCTATGCGATAGGTAGGCATTAGATCTGGAGTCACTTAAGCTACCTTATCATTTTTGCAATGACTGACCTTCATTGAGATGATACTTGATAGGAATATATGAAGTAAAATCTGCACAACTGCACTAGAAAGACATCTGAACTAGAAAGCAGGAGGTCGTGGGTTCGAGTCCCACCCAAGTGAATTTTTTCCAGCTTTCACTCGGGAGGTAACACACTGAGTATACAGTGTTTATCATGTTTATATGTCAGGGAAGGGGGTTAGAGTTGTTTACAAATTGTATTTGTAATATAAGAATGTTTATTTTAAAAAATAGTCATCTAAAGGAAGAAAATGTTGATCATTAAAAATTCTGGTATATTCTTTTTTTTAATTTATTTATAGTTTTGAGCTAGTCCGAAAATTTGGGTTTTGAGCCAACATTTGTTATTTCTCCAGAGTTGTTTACAAATTGTAATTTTAGAATATTTATTTAAAAAAATAGTCATCTGAAGGAAGAAAATGTTGATCATTAAAAATTCTGGTATTTTCTTTTCCTTTTTTTTACTTATAGGTTTGAGCCAACATTTGTTATTTCTCCATACTCTTTTATACCCTAAGATCTGTTTTTATTTTATTTCTCACTCTAGTGATGACAGTGTTCGTCAGTTTATCCAGAGATGTGTTGAAGCAAGCTGTACCAAGACAAGCAGCAAGTCATATGAGCTGAGCAGATCTTGGAGGGAAGAGGGAAACGAATGGTTCAAGAAGAGAAGATACAATGAAGCGCTCTTATCTTATACTAAGGTATGAAAGAAACAAAATGAGAGCTTTCCCCAGCAATTTCAATTAAAGGTAGGGTAGATCATTTGTCATTTGTGCATTTTTTTCCCCGTTACACTTAACAAAAGAGCTAAAAATCTATAAACAGTTGCTTAACAACTAACCTGATGAAGTTTTAGCTCTGTGAATGCTGTACATGTATATTCCGAGAAACCAGTATTCTAGGATCTCGAGTTCAATTCAAAAGTGGCCAAGTCAGGTTTTAAATTGCGCCCGAAATCAGCATCCATAACACATTCCCATTCAACCAATTGTAGCTTCGCGATGTCACCCACTGAACCGACGAATAATAGCAACCACGCGGGCATGTGCATTCTGTCAACAATTGCGCGCCCATTCACGGATGCGCTGAAATACAAACCAACTGCTAATGAAAATTTCCAAAAATGCGTTACTTGACACATCTTTGGAAATGGCCTTCTTTTATTGTTTGTTTTTCTTCAAAATGACAGCATGCCAGAAAGAATAATTTCACAGGGAGTTTATTGCCATCCCCATCTTTAAACCAAGTATGCTTTCATCAAAAATCAGTTACTTTTTGGATAGCTGCAAATGATCTACTCTACCTTTATTAACCTCAGATTTTGATACAAAGAACAAAAATATAAGTTTTAATATATGATTTTACCTTTCAAAAATGTAATGTTTTGAGCAATATGCAAGTGCTGTGTTCTTTTCTGACAGCTGATGTGAAAAAAAAAAAAAAATTGCCAGTCTTATTTGAACCTAGAACATTCTCTTTACAATTACAGATTTCTAAACTAACATTTGACGGAATAATGATGTTATGCCTCAACTGAAGTATTGTCCCAACTATAGCTGGGGTCATTGCTGTAGTTGGGTGTAACAATGACATTGCAATGATATAAAGATTAAAAATAGCTTTACCCTGTCCTAAATTTATTGGGCAAGCTTGGCGGAGTGATTAGTTTCTGCTATGTGGTTCTTGATTGGTTCATCTCCTAAATACTCCGCGTGGGGTTTATACAGGAGACCAGAAACACCGGGGCAAACCCCTTCTCTTAGCGATAAGTGTCACTGGGTTCTTTTTAATACGTGCATTGGATTACACAACACACGGGACCTACGGCTTTAAATCCCATCCGAAGAACGAGGCAATAATGGTTAAGTGCCTTGCTCAAGGGCACAAGTGTCCGCCGGCGGGCTTGAACCCACGCCACTGTTGCCTCTGAAACACCAGAGCGTGAGTCCGGTATTCTTAACCGCTAGGCCACGACACTCCACTCTCTCTGTGTCAAGGTATTAAAGCAGGATTTTGTAGATTAACCCTCCGACGCAGAAACTAGCCCTTTTTGGGACCCAATTTGGTTAATTACCTTAATAAAAAAAAAAATTTCCAACCAATTCTGGTGATCTTCCATCTAATCCTAGCCAGAGACACCCACTACGGATATATGCAGTCACCTTTAGTGTGTGACCCCGGGTCAGGCATATATGAGCCTGACAACCTGGGCTGCCCATATACACGTGCACAAAACAAAGTCACTTGCGGGTAGCCAAGTGCACGACTTGACCACAGACTATGTATACAACATCTGTTTCCTGTTAATGACCTCCTTATTTATAGTCTACAGACATGTCGAGATTGTATACATATAGATACTGTGTTGTGTAGCCTCAAACCAAGGCGCTAAATATCTGGGTCCCCGGAGGGACCCCTTACTGTAAGCGTGTTAGTAAATGTGCTTTCTGCGTCGGAGGGTTAAAGTGACGAGTGAGGTTCTAATACTGGATAAGCTTTATCACTCATTCATTTTATACCTTCTTTCATAGAGTGTCCGGACAGCACCTTACGACCGTGATGGTGCAAGTATATCTGACAGCCAAGCATTAGCAACGGCATTCGGAAATCGCTCTGCTGCCCTCTATCATCTTAACAAATATGAGGTAAGTTAATGTACTTGTGACACTTTGAATAATTATGCTACCCAGCAACAAAATGCGACATACTGTTGTTCATTTGGATACAATAGTGTTGGATTTTTTCTCACAAAGAAGCTTCGGGCTTGTGCACCATTTTTGAAATTGTTCGTGTGGGCTCCAGTACATTCACATGATGAGTTGTTCCTTGGATCCACTGTTACTGCATGGCAGCCTGCACCATCTACATGTATTTATATTCCATGGGGGTCGCTTTGCCGGATATGACACTGTGACAATACAGGGTATGTGGACCGTTTCACGGATACGACTATCTTTGTGGTCACATGGTAATCTCTAGAAGCATTTCATTGAAAATATGTCCCATCATGCCATTGTATCCTGAGCATGGTGGGACATTTTCATTAAAAATTACCAAGTGTCTAGTCTTGGCCCCAGACGCTAGTGATTGATAGTGGATGGTGCATATCTAACGGCATGATTTGACTAGTGCGTCTCTCGCACTAACATCTTGGGAAATTTGTAGTAGCGGCTGAACTTTTTCTTTATTTTCTTCTTAGGCTTTCCTAGGGAACAGATCAGCGGTTGCGAAATGGTTTATAGTCAGTCGCGCGCACTCGCGCGACGGTTGTAAACATATGCGCTACGTGCGGTGACCAAGCATCGCTAATTAGATATACAACGCAGTGATACCCCACGCGAGCGCACGACTGCCGGTATCAAATGGGAAGCTGCCGTTTTGTTTGAAGATATTGATATTTACACCAACGGTCTAATTTTAAATAGATAAATAGCCACGCCCCCATTGCTGCATATTTCCCAAGACGTTAGTGCAAAAAAAAAGGAAAAAACAATTGTGCAAAGCGCTCTACAACAATGCAACCATCGCTATTGATCATTGACATCTTGGGCCAAGACTGCCAAGTGCCTAAAAAGACAGCAATATCTGTGAAACAGTCCATAGCACTTCACACTTCGAAATCAAGCAGACACTGTACCTTATATTTGAGATTTCAGCAGTTTTTGGATAGAATGAATGATTATGATTGTGTTTTGTCCCATTCTTGGCAAACCTGTGGATAGTGTTATATTTTTTTCATTTTTTGCAGTTGGCCATTCAAGAGTGCGACCGTGCCATAAACCACGGCTATCCTAAGGCGCTGCTTCATAAAATACTGCAGAGGAAAGGACAGTGTCTCATCAAAATGGGTCAAAGCAAAACGGCAGCTACAGGTCAGAGGTGGTTGTTAGAAGAAGATTAAACTGGTGGCATTCATTAAATGTACAGTTATCTAGAAATGGAAGGACCAAATTTGTAGCAAAAAGATACAGAACTTGGTGTCAAGATAGTAAACAATCCAAGGTTTTTGTTGTAATTTTATATAAAATAACTATAATGAGAGATTTCCCTGACTGTAGATTTTTGAAGGATTTTTACTACTGGTTTGAATTAATTTCTTGGTTTTACGATTCATTTTCCTTTGTCCTTTTTATGTATTTATATATTTATTTATTTATTTATTTGTAGTTTTGAGACAAGCCCTGTTGACGTTGGATGAAGAAGCCAATATGAGAAAAGAGAAAAAAGGTCTGCATTCATTTTGTGTGTCGTTCAATCTAAGTGTTGGCCATCTGTTTTTCTGTCTATTGGCTCCATCCCTAAACAAGAGAGGGCGCTTTTTCACTTGTTTTGAGAGCTCCAGTGCGAGTAATGGTTCGCACGTGTATGGCGCAAAACTCCTACAACTAAGTTTATTCTGAGTTTTGCAAAAAGCCATAGCATCTTTGCTTGAGGGTTAGGCGTCATCAGCAATGCGGCTGAGTGTCCCAGTGGTCTCTCCCAACTCTCCTTTTTTTACCATTGAGGGCGTACTTGTGCACGGAGCCCATATCTGTCCTCCATCAGATACTCAACTTTTTGACATGTTGCCCTTCCTAATCCTACCAAGATATTGAATTTTTCTTATTCTCTTTCAGAATCTTTGAAGTCTGAGATAGAAAAACTCCTCAGTGACTGTTCACAGTCAAGGTAATGCAGATCCTCAAGGATCATGAACTTCAGTACTACATTTTGATTCTCAAATCTCTGTTCACCTTTCTGGCATTTCCCCCTTTTTTTCTCTGAAATTTCCCTAATTTTCAGGATTTTCTTTACTAGTTCATTAATAATAACTGGTATTTATAAGCTCATTTGCATAAGGATTCAAAGTGCTAATTATTACCTCTGTTCATCAGGCCATGAGTCCAATTTTGTGAAGCAGCTCGGAGTCGGCGCAATCGGGTCTAAACATTCACACATACCATAACCATTTATACTACTGGGTGCAGAGAGGCAGTTGTAGTAAAGTGTCTTGCCCAAGAACACAATCATCATATTCCTTGTCAGTGTTCAAACTTGTATACCATGGCACATGGGTCGAACACCGTACCTATTGGACCACAATGCTCCTCTATATATTTCTTTAAAAAAATGTTATATCGGGAAAAATCAGGTCTCAAAATTTATTGTTTCAAACAGTTTTTACCCCTGCTGCAACATTTTTGCTGTGGACAGGGAAACCTTGAAAACGAGTTTCCAATTTTCCAGTCAGGGAAAACTCTGGTAATTTTGGAAAAACAACCAAAAAGCATGGAAAACTCAGGGAATTTGACAGTTACCCAGAAGGAAAAGGTTTTCACCAGTTTGACGTATGTGCATCTTGTGCCATATGTCCAAGTTGTGTCCATTGACTGACTGAAGTCATGGTTATAAGGCGAGAAGGGAGACCATCGCTTGACAAGTTGCCTGTGTGTTATCAGTATCTCAGTTGCTTGGCTGCAACCACTCCTGAAAATAAGTGAAAATATTCTTCATGGAATTTCGGGCATTTCTCTGGGAAATATCAGGGAAAACTCAGGGATTTTTTTTTTTTATAAAGTGTTGGGGACCCTGGAAAGATTTTAGCAAGTCTCATACATAAGTCAGGTAATTGAAATCGAAGTATTACTCCACTCATTTTCAGTGTGGACGGGATTACAACTATCCCCAGCAAACCCAGCAAGCCAGAAGAGCTGTGTGAACCATCAGACGAACTAGCGAGTGCATCTTCCTCTGTAGGCCTACGAATCTGCAAAGACCGGGGCAGGCACCTTGTTGTAAGATTTTTCTTTTTTTTACAGCCAGGATCTCATTCCGAATCCAAGTTTGTAAAGTTACATGGGTTTTGCCCTTTCCCAACATATTGCGTAGACACTATTCACTCAGTGTTGTATGAGGGATTGCGAGAAAAAAGTCACAAGCTTAATTACTCGGGTGGGACTCGAACCCTCGACCTCCTGCTTACTAATGCAGACATCTTACCACTCGACCACCGAGCTTGCTGGTGTCGGCTGGCCGGTTCTGAAAAATACGCTGAGTCTGAAACACATGTTGGGAAAGGGCAAAGCCCATGTAAATTTACATCTCCCCAACGCAAACTGATAAAAAATCTGATAAAATGTCCAAGTTTATAATTATACAACTCTGACACCATACGTTACCCAGACCAGATAGAAATACATGCATTCTTGATGAACAATTGGTGTTTCCATAGGAACGTAAGTATTTTACAACGTATGGGTACAATTTAAATATTGTTCATTTTTAGATTTTGCAATTACGTTTTATTCAAATACTTTTTCATTTTAATTTTGTTCAAGATTCAATTCAATTCAATTCAATGTAACACGTCTTTCTATATTTGACCTCAATAAAATGAAATCAAGATACATATACATTGAGAGAAATTTAAGAAATATAATATTTAGTAAAATAACAGAAAATAAAACAAATGAAGAAAATGCAGTCAATTCATAACCCTAATAAGCCTAGGCTTGTCAGTGACAGGTATTGAAATGAGACATTAAATGAAAAGTAATCAGTAAAGGTCCATTTAAAACAATGTGAATTAAAGCAATTAAACAAAACAATACTCTGTACATGAAAGTAAACAACTTATAAATACACATTGCAGAAAAAAAACTTCATTACCAGAAATAGATATTAAAAACAGTATAGATAAAATGTAAAAGATTTTAACATGTATTTCAGTTTTTAAAAGTTGTGTTTTCCAAATGTGCAGTACAGATTTTAACTGGAAAACATTTAAAATGAAGCAGGCTTCTTAGAAATATCACAAGCTTTCCTTGATTCACCTTGACATTTTTTATCTCATGTCCTCGAAGAATCTGCAATCATGACAATATTTTGTTAATCTTTGTTTTTTTTCTGATCAGGCTGATTTGCCAGTGAGTGCAGGGGAACTGCTTATCAAGGAGATGCCATACGCAGTCGTTCTTTTACCAGAATACCATAGTACACATTGTCACCAATGCTGTAGAACAACGCTAAACCCTGTACCGTAAGTACTGTTCAATACATAGGAACGATTCACAATATAGTGCGCCACCTCAGTGAAGGATACGGATGGTTAATTGCAGAGTAGAGGGGTGTTAAAGACACATACTTACTGAATTCATTTGAAAAACGTTGCTCAAAGTGAAAACAGGTCTGGTCCAAAATACCCTGTGGAAGTTATTCCAACAGAAACGGTTTGGATTGAAAGAAAACCATCACTGAAGGTGGTTTTAAAAAGTGTCGGCACATTTTTGGTTTTTTTCTGTTTTCTCAAAATGTATGGTAGCCACTGTGCTGAAACTTGAACAGGTTAGATGTTGCTTCAGTCACTTCTATTTATTCAGCTATTGGAGTTTTATTTATTCCATTATTTGGGAACAGTCCAGAAAGGACGTGATGGCAAATAGCATAAATGTTGTTACATCTCTCTTCTTTGTAGAGCAAATTTCATTACAGCTTTTAGAAAAGTTCTTTTGAAGACTTGTTAAAGTACAATTTTGGTAATCTTGATTGAAGTTTAGCCAGATAGATCTGGGGTTTTTGGTCACAAAAAATACCATAGAATACAACAAGGCTGTATTTTCATTTTTTAGGTGTCCAGTGTGTACTGATGTCCAGTACTGTAGTGACCAGTGCATGCGGTCAGCCTGGGACTCCCACCACTGGCTGGAGTGCGGTCTGTGGGATGGTCTCATGATGGTGAGTATAGTAGTAATGCCAGTGGTCAGTCTACGTATGTCTGGCTGGACTGTTGTCTGTGGGATTGCTAGATTGTTAGTATAGTGATTAATGCAATTGGTCACTCAAATCAAGGGTCTTTTTCTTTCCTCTTCAGTTTGGTACCCAAGCCTGGCTGAGCCTGCGTCTTCTCCTTCAAGCCCAATCTTGGCAAAATGCCAAGCGTGTTGCAGACGAAGCTTGTTCACAGCAAACCTCATCATCAGCCTCGTCAAAACACCTCAGTGCAGACCCTCAAAAATCTGCAACGGAGATTGGAGGAGGGAAAGTAACACCTCAAGAAAGTGAGGTTAAGAGGGAAGAGGGAACCTCTCTAAATGGTCATGGAAAACAACACCATGTAATAGACCCCCAAACCTCACAAACAGAGAGTGTAAGGGAAGAGTCCGAACCTTGCAGTACAGAGAATACCTCACCACACAATTCTATGCAAGAGCACATCAGTGAGGAACCTCAGAACTCAACAGTGGACATTGTTAGAGACGGTGAGGATGAGGTTAAGAGGAACAACAGAACCTCACTCCCAGGATGTGATCAAGATGGCTGCTATCGGAGCGACTATCGAGCAGTATACCTCCTCATGCCTCACACAAAGAACCATTCTGACCAACAGCTCTTCAACATGACAATGGTATGTCAAAGACAACTTAATAGGTAGCAGGCTCCTTTAACCAAAGCAGTACCTTGGGCCAATAGAATTGTCTGAATAGTCCTTACCCAACAAATGAGCAATGAGGTTGCTATAGCGACGCTATTTTGGGTATAAACAGACGTTAACCCAAGGTTATGACATAAGTTTACTTATTTCAATTAATAAGTAAATGTACTAAACTGCTTAAATAAACTCTACCTCTCTTCTGGGTTGTTTGAAAAAAATTATTTAAAAATAAATTTTAAAGAGGGATAAAAGAAATTTATTGAATCCTAACTCCCCCCCCCCCCCAAGTCCTGAAAAATTTAACACCATGTTTTGCATTTTTTTATCCTTTGTACTCGGAGCTTTATTATTTTTTGGTTAGAGACACTCATCACAAGGCCCTTTTTAAGGGCCACTCAAGGTGAGGGCTACACAAATAAGGGATTTAGAAAAGCAAATCTAAGCAAAAGAGGAACAACACTTCTTGATGTCCTCGATGAAGGACATTTCTATTATTATTTTGCAAGACTTTGGAAGTTTCCTGATTCGATTTATGTGGGTGTTTTTTTTGGTCCAATTTGTTTAAGGTTGATTATGGAAGTTTGCATTCAAACATTTTGTTAAATTGACATTGATATTTTAAATCTGCCTTTCTCCAACTATCCACAGACGGCCCTCTTGCTTTCAAAATGTATCCAGAGAAAGCTGCTTAGCTCTACGCGGTGGATGCATCATATTCAAAAGGCCTCTGCCACTGCATTAAACTTGGGATGCCTCAAAGAGGGAAGCAAGGATAGGACAGAATGTAGCAAACAGTCAAACTGTACCAACAATTTTGAAAGTGAAAAGAAATATGATTGTCACAAACCCAGCCATAATCAACTTGATGAGAACTTCCCGTCAATTGTTAGTGAGACGGCTGCGTTGCTCCTGCGACATTTGCAACAGTTGACTTGTAACTCCCATGCCGTAACTACCATCCAGACATCAGAAGATTTGAACTCTCTCTCAAGCATGGACAAAAAGCTTGAACCAACGAACTCAAGACTTGGTGCAACTAACCAAACATTGAATGCTGACACACCAGTCGACACAACGGTGGACAAACAACATGATAAACAGCGTGAGGCAGTGGTAGATACAACCAAACAGGTTCGACTGGCTACTGCCATATATCCAACAGCAAGTCTGCTTAATCATTCCTGCCAACCAAATGTCATTGCAAGGTAAAGATTAATTTTTCTACTTATTAATTACAGGTATTTGTAGCTTTTTCAGTTAAAATAAGACTAGGCGAGCACAAAATACTATTTAATTGATTCACCATTGAACCAAAATATCGACAAAATTAGGAAAACCGCCAACATAGGGCTCTATTGCTCAGTTGGTAGAGCACTGGAACGGCAATCCGGAGGTTGCAAGTTCAAAACCCGCTCCATTCATTTCTTTGATCAACTTTAAAATTATTAATTCATTAATTTCTGTTAATCAAGTCTGTATGTTTTTAATCCTTTTTTTTTCTTCGATTCCATTTGTATAGCTTCTTATCTTGAGTAGCTTATGGACTGAACTGTGTGTGGGCTACTCACTGCAAGACCAAAGCAACGGCTTGGTGTATTTTGAATTGTCGTCTTTGTTGATTTTTATGATATCAGTTATTATTTTATTTTTTTTTTGTGTGAAAGCTTTGATGGTGCTGTCTTGACTATGAGAGCCACAAGAGACATCCAACCAGGACAAGAGATTCTACATTGCTATGGTAACAGAATTATCCAATTATATTTATTCTTATCCTCATATTAAAAGTAGTCTTTTGAACGGAAAATAAATTTGGAGATACATGTACATAGAATTAATGAGTACCAACTAACCAATATTTGCTGGTCTCATCAGAGGGCCAGTCTAAAGTCCTCTCTGTACCTATCTCACAGACTGACTGACTCTCTGTCACTTTGTGCCGGGCAGTGCTGTTGTATAGGATTACCTGATAATGCCATTGAAAAGGCTAAATTTAGGGTCAAAAGTGTGACATTTTTCCTGTGCCTGTTACGTCTGAATGTTGTAATTTACCATTCAAGTATTATTGAGAATGACTTCAAACGATTTTTTGTTTTGAGTAAGAAGTGTACTATTCAGAACTTGTATCAATTCCGTTTTAGGACCTCATGCCAAGCACATGAGCAGAGATGTGAGACAGAGAGCTTTACAGGAGCAATACTTCTTCACTTGCACCTGTCATGCATGCACCACGGCACCTGCTGATGAAATAGAGATGTGCGATTGGTCCAACTCATTTGCGTAAGTACAGATCTCCAACAATTGACTTTGTTTGTCTTAAAGTACTTGTTTCTGTGGAGTCCATGCACAAGTACACATGAGCAGTGATACAAACAGAGATTTAGACAGTCACTCTATTCCAGAAGCCCATGTGAAGATACTTGTGTTTGTACACAATCTGATGAAAAATTTCACGTTTCGCTTGTCATGCGCATGTTGAACAATACATGTATCAATCAATGCATTCATGCAGTGGTTCCCGCACATGGATCTGTTTTGAATGGTCATACTGACTGTGCACTGAGTTCCTATGAGGCCTACTCCAACAAAGCCCGGACAAAGTTGCAGATGTTGTTTTCATGCAAAGGCATGTGAAGTAATTTTGAAGTGGAACTGACCATTTTGAGGTTTTGAGGTTTCCTGAATCAGTAAATATAAATTTACAACCTCCCAAAAAATTAATATAATCCATCAAGCAGAAGTGTGTTTTTGGTTGATCTGTGAAAGAAAAAATGTATAGAATTTTTTTTAAAGAAAAGCATTTTAGTAAATGTATCTTTATCTCATAATTGGGTTGTCAGGCGTTTGTCACTTAATCCTTCTCCCAGGAGTGATAGGGTCACGGTACCTGTGAAAATCATTTTGAAGCTGAAAAAAAAATGTTTTTTAATTGTAAATTTTGTGGGATCAGGTCATATATGGACAACTTAATGATGTTATTCTCTTAGGAAAATTCTAAACTCCATAGGCCCTAGGTTGGGCGAAAAGTACATTTTCTTCCTCCGTGTGGAACTACTGCAGGCCCTTTGATTCTTGCTGCATGAGCTACGTTAATATTGTGAGGCATTTTTTGTTACAACAGGTGTTGCAAGTGCAGTCATCCGTTAGTGCAGAGAGAAGGCAAGAAGAAAGTTGGTGTGTGCGTTAATTCAAAATGCAGACATACACAGAGCCTGAGAGACATGTTAAAGGTACCAATATGATATTCTCCCATCTTCATTGCCATAGTTTATAGTGGTGTATGTAGAAGCATAGATTACCCTAAATTGTACATTTTTTGGACATACTCCTTTCCCCCCAAAAAGGAAGATAATCACACATAAAAATAATCAAATGGACAAACAAAAATCGTTAAGATTTGGTATTGTGCAGCTAGAAGTTAACAAAAAGAGCAGTGCCGTCATAATTGTAATTATTTTTTTATTAGTGGATTACATACACATGTGTTTGAGTGTCCCAAATTCCGGGGGAAAGTAGCATTGTTTAGATTTCATGGAGAATTTGTAAATATTTCTGTTTAAGCAGTTACTGTCATGAAATGGTCATTTTCGTTTCTTTTGTTGATGGACAGGAGAAAGAGAGAGCTAGCAATTTGTTCAAATTATCTCAACATTTCTTGGCATGCAAACATGTTGAAGGTGAGTAATATATGGAAAAATACATAGAACACTTGCAGATATTTTATTTACTGAAGTGATGTAGTACTTTGTTGTAGTTGTACGTGTATTTCATACAGCCGGTGCACAGCAAGACAAAGGGAGAACAATAGACTCTTTGTTGTCCTCGAACGTACATATTTGTTGAGAACGGTGAAAGTGTGTGTGTTTAGTCTATGGGAGAGTGTTATATTTTAGGGACATAGGCAAAAATACAATGCCTTGTCCTCGAGAGTATAGTAAAACACGACTGTGCGTGCATGTTTAATGTTTATGGTGTAAATCGAGAACACACACGTGCAACATCATCGAAGATTCGAGGTCAGAAACCGAATTGAGGACTCCTCGGTTGGAAAACGTGTACAAAACCAATGAGAGCTGTTGTGAAAAAGTTGAAACAAAGGAAAAGGGAAGAGGAACCAAAAAAAATCCTCGATTTACACCATAAACAAACGTGTATGTGCACTCAGATGAGTGTGAGGTTATGTACAAAAAACTCAATCTTATGAGAACAAGAATGAGCTTTGCAACGATAATGTCATGTGTTGAGAAGTATTTCATCATTTCATCTTTATTGAAAGTCTTTCCGTATCCATTTCTTTGTGTTTGACAGAATGTCTGGGAATCCTACATCAATGCTACAACATCCAGCGAGAGATATTGTACAAGCACCATAAAGCATTAGCTGAGACGCAGGACTGCCTGGCGCAATGCTATTCACACATGGGTAGGTAGATTAAACCACACCCCTCCCCAGGGTTGGTGTTTTTGGGGTGGGGGTGGGGGCTGTCACGCCATCCCCTGTTAATCTTTTTCGGCGGCAAAATCATTGTCCTGTCAGCAAAATTGTATGTAGTTGGCAAATATGCGTCAACAAATAGCGCCAGCAATTGTCCAATATTATCAAAGATCATCCACTTTGAACAGCGCCCGATGGTCAGATGATGTCCGAACACCACCCCCTCCCCCCCCCCACCCCACCCCTTCCTTCCAGCACATATGAGACGGTCTACCGGCAGACTTGTTGTCACACCCCCCCCCCCCCCTTATTCAAATTGGTCTGGCGACGCCCCTGAATGAAGCATTGATGTGGTTGTACTCAAACATGCAACTTTTCCTCAGATCAGCTGATTTCCCCTTTTTTAACTTCCCATGTGGTCATTGAAAATAGAAAAACACTGTACAAAGTCATGGGAAGATTTAAATTTCCTCTTTTTTGTGACTTCCCAGTTGCATGCCTGTGTACTAGATTGGATTTGAAGCATTGTTAATTTTGTAAAGTATTCATGTGTTACGCCAGAGGATGCACTGTCAAATGTTGATCTCAAAAAGTGGTCGGAGTTTAAGAGATAAATAAAAAGTGGGACGTTAAAGTATTGCACTGTTGTTTATTTAAACAATTTACAAAACCAAAACCAATTTTGAGATCACTTGGAATTTGTACAGATTGCTGTAAAAAAAATCAAATATTCTGTTCTGTGGTTAGTTAATAGCTCTGCATTATCATTGCAGAAATTTCCAGCTGAGAAGTTTGATTTTTTTTCAGTAAATTTCTGTTTTCCTCATAATGACAGCATGTCAGAAAATTAACCTTGCATAATCTTTGAACTGTGTAAGCTGTAAATTTGACGGACTATTTCTGGATTTTAACCAATTTGCTATGATGATCTAAGACATTAAAACAAATAGAAAATTACTGTGTCCTGCATTTTTGCCAGCAAAGAAAAGGCTCTATGTTTTTAAGGTGTTTCTATACAGCAATATTTATTTTTTCAAATGTAGTTAATATCATATTTTCAAGATGGGTACTTCTTTTGGAAATTCACAGGTGATTTTAAAACAGCCGGGAAGTATCTACAACTGAGCATCGAGACAGTAGAGAAGCAATATGGATCAGAAAGCATTGAATTGGCAAATGAGCTTCATAAACTTGCACAAGTTCTATTTAATGGGTATGTTTATATCATGGTTATTATGTTAACTAAGATATAGGCAAGATATTTCAATGTACTCTTTTGTGGTTTTGGGGTGTTTTTTTTTATAAGTAACACAATTGCTCACAATCTTGTCAAATTCTTTTTACGGAACTTAAATGCCAATTAAATTTTTTGGCTTGCCATACAAGAGTTTTTTTATTAATATCTGGTAACAAAACAAAGGATTCCTTAAAAGCGATTTTTGTACTGAAGCTCTTAAGCCTGAAGAATATTATTGAGTAAGAAAAAAATACTGTTTTAGAGATGGAACAAAACACATTTTGGGAAACCCAAAGACTCAGGTAGGGCTGCAAAACCAATCCATATTGCTGGAAGCTTGATATCAATTTGAGCTCAAAACAGCTTAAGTAAAAGCATTTGAGTTTAAATTGTGTTCAAACAGCTCAAATGAACCTTCTTAGTTCAATTTAAGCTTAAACAGGATCAATTAAATCCATTTAAATTCAATTTGAGCTCAAAACAGCCGAAAGAGGCAGAGGTCCAGACTAAATGACATTGATTTTATTGTTTTCTCCATTACAGAGGTGAGGTACAAGACGCCCTCGTCATCGTGGATCGTGCCAATCAGCTTCTGGGTTTACATTATGGACCAAACCACACCGATGTACAGGAGCTGACCGAAATGAAATCATGCTTAATGTCCCTATGAATATGAGTCTTCTATCGATTACTTCATTAACTCTTAAGCACTTGTATTACATTGTACTACACTGTAATTACTCTTGGATTAATCCATGAAACAATAGAGGGCTGGGGCAGTTTTGGGATAGTATAGAGAGTAACAGGCAGGGCGTTTTGGGACAGTACATGGTGAGGGACGATGTCGGGACCATTGTTTTAGTGAAGTTCTGCATGTAGCATATTCAATATGTGAGATATAAAAGCCCAATTCATTAGCCCTCTTTTAGTATAAGAAACATTCAAATCACACAAGTACTTTTCAAGTTACGGAGTTTTAAACACAACCACCGTTTGAAAGTTCTGTCCACGGATCACAAAAAAGGTGTGCGTTCTTTCAGCAAAGCAAAAACAATTCACACACATCCTTATGTGATTTGTTTTTGTTTTGCTGAAAGAACACGTTTTCGTGATCCTTGGACAGAACCTTAAAACAGCGGTTGTGTTTAAAACTCCGTAACCTGAAAAGTACATAAGTGATTTGAATGATTCCAGTACTAAAAGAAAGCTTATGAATTGGGCTTTTATATCTTAGATTTTGAAAGAGCTACATGCAGAACTTCACTGAAACAATGGTCCTGACATTTGGGTTTCGCTCTTTTTTTTTTTTACTTACCCTGTATAGGGACTGACGGGCATGGATCTCATGCACGAGTTGGCCATTTTTGTCGTGTTCCCTGAATGTATTTCATAAATTGTGAACTGTTGAATGGGATGGTGCCAGACTATTTATTCACTATAGCCTCACTTGCATTTTTTTTACATGTGGTTTAAAACATTGAGAGTTTGTTTAATCACAAATTTTAAGTTATTCATCTGAGCAGACTGGTATTAATTTGTAACGTCATTGCTTTCATTTCTCTACACAAGCTCCAAAAATGAAGATTTTACCTCACTCCTTAACTTTTTGTTCACTAGCCAGCCGGGCTACTGAAACAGACTCTTAACTGGCCCGGGAGGATTTTCACTAGCCCGCATGTTTTTTAGCTCAAATACAAAATGCCGTATTTTCAGGCTCAATTCTGAAGCAATTTTGTCTGTGTTTTAAATAAACAGATCTAATTTAACCCTTTAAAACAGTTGATAAAATTAGACGCAAATTGATGAGGTTTGCTTTCTGAATTTAATGGTTTACTTCTTCCTATCCTTTCATCTTTGCCGTAGCCCAATAATTTTTGACTCGCCAGCCGGGCTACATAAGGAATAGTTTGACTAGCCCGCTGCTGTTTTGACTAGCATTTGGCTAGCGAGCTACCGCTAATTTCGAACCCTGATTTCAGTCCCTGTAAGTCCATCACAAGTCCATCACAAGTCCATCACTAGTCCTTCAGTCTCAGGTCAACTCACTAGCTATTCAAATAAACTGTTACGAAAGCATTCCTTTGTCATTGTTCATCCAGTTACTTGTGACTGGACTTATGAAAGGACTTGTGGTGGACTTGAATATAACACTGCTGATGGGATCAAGGGGGTCAAAGAAATCATCCTCATCTCCACCCCCCCCCCCCCCCCCATTCTCTTCAAAAAATCAAATTGTATTTCTTCTAACAAGAATCCTTTGTTCATCCCGTTACTTGTATCGCGACTTTTGATTGAGTCAGTTACAGATCTTCTTGTAGATTCTGTGAGAATGAAACAGTCAACTGGATAAAAATCTCAACAATGGCAATTCAAACTTGTCCAAATTGTTTTTAGAGCAACAGTTTGGAAAACCAGAAAGAGCTCCAATGTAAACTCGGTTGGAAGGTGGAAATCTGTTTATAAATGTTGTTTGTGCCATTAACCCCATGCGCACGGGAAGCGGTCCTGACTGCGGCCGCTAATCCTCATTGGAATGCAGTTGCCAGCTGTGGTATGCCGTGGCACACAGCGAGTGGGTACCACAGCTGCTGCTTTTGTGCAGTCCCGCTACCACACAAAGGCTGTGCAGTCATGCGGGCCACTTGCTCTATGTGTGGAGGAATGTCCCCATCAGTTATAACCCGTCCTTAAGGGGTTAAGACGGAAAACAATTTTGTTGTTGTCCTTGCCAACCATGTTTTGAGTAATCAACGCCTGAAGTTCACTCACTCACTCATCCGCATAGACAGCATAGGTCCGTCGCGCCGATCTCCTGCGCCGGCATCCTACAGCCTCATTCCACATGCAGTCAATCTGGCTAGGCCGCCCGAGTTGTCCCAACCAAGATGAACTTGGACGTTCACGAGTTCTATTCCAGCCGGCCTGAAGTTGGGTACACTAAAAATAAATATTTCAAAATCAATATTGTTTTTTTCTTATTATTTTTTTTTGTGTAGCCAAGGTATCCAAGATTCACACTAAGTGCTTTTGTTGAGAAAAAAAATCTTCCCAAAAGTTGGAAACTGAAGAATGTTTTCCATGCGTATTTCTTTTTTTTCAAAGCCGTTTTTTCTCTAAATGGGGGTGGCGAAAATCGGCGGGACACTGTTGAAGTTCTCGTAGGTCGTAGCATATCTTTGGAATAAGTTAATTTACAGAAATAAATTTGGTATTATTGGAAAGCCAATGATTTGCGCTTTAACATGATGTTTGAACTTTCAAAGGTGGGGGTTATTCCTCATTATGATATGGCAGGTCACATATTTTCTTTCAATCGGCTAGGCCCTAAGTTATCTTGCACTCCTAGTTCTCTTGCTCAATCTTTCAAACTTGCAATTCAACCAATTCAATTTTTGTTTCTTATGATAAATGTTCAACTTGTATGCTTTATTCCAACCAGAAAACCTCCTTTCCCTGTGCTATTCAACCAATTCAATTTGTGTTTCTTTTAATAAATGTTCAACTTGTATGTTTTATTCCAACCAGAAAACCTCCTTGTTTCCCCTTTTTTTTGGGGGGGGGGGGGGCATCTACAACCCTAGGAAGTTTTTGTTCTTATTTTGGGCACAAAAATATCCGCATTGAGAGCAGACTGGCTTCCGGTCCATCCATTACCAATACTGATTGTGGGGCGGGAACCAGACTAACCCGCGAGAATGGAATTATTGTCTGGCACAGGGATAACAATTGGAAATTGTAAAGTAATAATTCAGTAACTAAACAATGGGCTCATTTTTGGGGCAGTGTCTCAACTTTTGTATTGCTAGAAATATTGCAGTTAGAAAAGGAATTTAATTTTCAGGATGAGACTTGAAAAATAGCACAGGGAATGCTATAACTTAGAGGACTATTCCACCGTATCGTTAAAAAAACTGTTGATGTTGAAACTTTAAATCAGAGTTAATAGGGCAAGTGATAACATATTTGTTTGTGCTGTTTACAGTCATATAAAACATAGCATTGTTAGATTGATATATTTTTCTATTGATGTGACTAAAATTATTTCATGATGAAAAAGAGACTGTAAAGGAATAAAATACCGAAGGATTACAAAGTTCAAATTAAGCCTACAAAGTTTTAACTTTTTGTGATCGTGTAGTTTTCTATAGAAATTTCCTGATATTTCACAAATATCTCCCCCCCCCAAAAAAAAAATCATAATTGATGGTAAAAACTAAATGTTTTCATTGATCTCAAAAGTTTTGAGCAAGTTAATACTCACAAACTATGCACCTGAAATTGAAATGTTTGTGATGGTGTTTGGGACATCACAGGTTACTTACGTAAGCCCTATATGGAATATTTTTTAGTGCTGTAATTTGAAAAAAAAAGATGAAGTGATAGAAATTATTTTGGAAAGAGTTCCATACTTGGACATCACTTGATACCCTGTGCAAAAACCCTATGAAACTGGTCTGAAAAATGTCCGAGTGTTTTCTCAGTAAATGCTTCAATATTTTCCTTCTAAATTTGACTTTGTAGGACATGTTATCGCTTTCTGATAGCTGATAGGTCACTAGCTGCCGGGAAAAAAATAGTGTATGGAATTCTTCCCTTTGAGTTATCACTTCATGATTATGTTCACTCATATCTATGGGGCAAAAAAAAAAATCTCACAACTGAGACATAATGTTAAAACTAATGACATAAGATAACAGAATTCCGCTACTTTGATTAGTTTGTTTTCAAGTTCGGCCAAGGACCTCTGCGTATTTGTGAATAGCGCCCCTTTTGCCCGAACCAAACACTTTTGTGTGTGGAGGTGTTGCATTCAACACCACAGACGCTTTCACTTTACACTACGCGCCGGTAGTCAGGGTCCTCCGGAATATAAACAGCCAATTTCAATTCTTGACTAGTTGTAGATAAAAAATGTTAATTGAAGTCATAACAATTGCTGATTTTGGACAAAGTTATCTGAGCGCTTGCAAGTAATGGAAGATTTTTCTCATTCTTGGCGAAATATTTGTTCATAGGAGGTTTTAAATTGAAAAAAGTTTTGCCGTTCCAGAGGGTGTGAGGCCAAACCACCAAAACGGGCTGTTCCATTCTGTGAGCAAAAATGGCGGCTGGTTTGACGCATTTGGGTAGGATTATACGGCGCGATTTCTGTGGATTTACCCTCATTTTGGTGCCCGCATGTGGATGCGACAAGTAAAAGCTGGAAGTGGTACTCTACTGGAAGAAGTACCATGGAAAAGTTGGTGGGAAAGGGGAAAGATAAGGTAGGTTTTGTGGTGGAGATTGTCATTAAGTCGAGGGCAAATTTTGACTTGACAACTGCATATCGTTTGATGCGTGTGTGTGGTAGCGGTAGCGTATTGTGTACACAGTGCGTGTTTTTATCTTGCAAAAGATACTGCTGACGGTGTGCGCAGTCAGATACGTGTGTTGTTCCCCATATTTACTTGCCCTAAATTTGCCTAAATATGAAAAACTTGTTTTTTAGCATTTGTTCTGAATTTAATAAAGTCTTGATTATAAATTTTAATTTTTAAAATTCACCTAGGGCTAGGCGCAGATGAATAGAAAAATATATGAACTGATTTGCATTTGGCACTGGTGTCAGACTTGAATTTTGAATTTGAAATTGATTTTGAATTGAAATAATATTATCTGGTGATTTATGGTTGTGTCAGTACATACAACATATGATTTTTGTCTTTAGACTCAAGACTCTTTTGAAATAAAAGATGGGCATTTAAAAGTCTGCGATTCAAACTTGTAAATCAACAATTTGATTTTGAACATGTTTTTTTGTTGGTAATTATAAAACGTGGGACTGGGAGTACTAAGAGTTAGGCGTAGGTCAGAGCATGTAGATAACATTTTGATGAAAAAAATTGACGTCAACCTTGTGTTAAAGTTTAAATATTATTAGGCCTAGTTTCCCGCCTAGAGGCATCTGGACAAGTGTACATTGTCGTTGTGTACATTTCTCCCCCAGAATTGAAAAATATATAACTGAGACAATAGCCCAGGAGTTAGATAGCCAAAAACAATCCTCTCTGTGCATAAAATCGTGTTTGATTAATTAGAAGATATTAATTACTAAAGATATCCGTCACTTCGTCGAAAACGGAAATCTACTTCTTCACAAAAATGATGCATATGTTTGTACACAGCACGTGTGCGTATATAAAATTTATACATTTTAGAACGCAGATGCGTCACTTCGTCAAAACGCAAATCGTGGAGGCTTCATATTTCTAAATATAGCACACGTGTGAAATCAGTGAGACTAAGTGACACATAGAGATCCGTCACTTCGTCAAAACGAAAAACTTAGTGTGTAGCACTTTCAACACTTTGTGCAATTAGCGTAATTAACGAACGATGGAATGTTGTGTCTCAAAATTTGGTAATCGTGAAGAGGACATCATAAAATGTTAGAATATCCAAAAATCTCAGATTCAGGAAATATCGGTTTTGGACGGATGTGTCACTTTGTCAATATGTGATAATACATATACCTTGGCTGTAGAGTTTTGCACGTTTCAGAGCACTCCAGGTCCCAGTCTGTGCTCTGAAACGTGCAAAACTGCGGTAAATCAGGCCAACTGTACTCACTCTTTAGCCAGCAAATTTCTCCAAAAATTCCATTGGGCAAAGAAAAGGTCCTCAGTATTTCACCAACCAAGTTTGCAGACTCAATTCAAGTTTTAAAGGAGACATTTCTTCAATATTTTGCACATGAGAGGGAAGTCAATTGATTTCAAAGTGAGGCCAAAGACTAGACTGGTACATGTCCAACCATGGTCCAACTATTTGAAATACTGACCTCTTTATTCAGTGCCATTAGTCTGGTGGCTGACTATGGAGAAATGTGTAGTAAATAGAGACTAGTTCCCGGTTCATGCCACATGTTTCTTTTGGCACAGTTGATTGATGCAGTACTGAAGCGGTGTTGTACTGGTTGTTTCAGGAGCCAGTCTACTTTCTTGTAAATTGCATGGTTTCAATACCTAAAGTTTTGGGTCTCTCACACACAGTATTAAGAGTCCCAAATTTTCGGACTAGTCTTAGACTAAAGTTGTGAAGAATATACCGAATATTCTAATATTCAATCATCTACAGAATATTCTCACAGCATTCTTCTGGTTAGATGTTCGAAAAACTTGAGTTGTCTTGAGAAGATGAAGAAAAGTGTTCATGATTTTATTTTAATCGCAAGTTTGTTTGTCAAATGCCACATGATTTCACTTCTTCTGTGAAGAGTTAGCCTCATTTGCATCTTGAAAATCTTTCAAAAGTCAGCTAGTCAGCTACTTCAAAAAATACAACGAAACGTGTCATGTTTTTTATATCAAGCTCAAACTTGATCGCTGCGTTACATTAGAAAATGCAAATATTCGATTGTGACTATTTCAAATACACAGCACTTTGTTAGACTAATGTGGGCTTCAGGCATCAATTTCTGGAGCCTAAATTGTCAATATGTTTTCTTTATGTTACAGAGCCACATATTGAGAACGGTACTCTATAAAAAAAAAATATGCAGGATTTTCAATGAAAATTACATGTACTTCTCGCAGTAGCAAGGAAGTTAAAGCTGAGAACATGTGCATGTTGCTTGAGTTTTGTTATTTCTTACGTTGAAATTCACCTTGAAACAAGCATCTATATTAACCCCCTCCAAGGGGCCCTCAAATATATTTTAACTTCATCGCGTACAGCATGAGACCCTTGCTTTACCCTTTATGAGCACATTTCAAAAGTGTGCGTCTTCTTGCAGATCTATACTTTTAAACCATAGATGGTACCACTGTGTACACAGCAATGGTCAAATTGGGCCTAGAAAGAGGCAATGCTTTTGATGGCTTGGCTGGCGCTTAACCTTTGGGGCACACAAATGTCTATATCACGGTTCATTAAAAAGAACCAGTCAACGTTCAGAATCATTTACTATAAATGTTTGTGATGTCTTACCCTGTTTTAATACCCAAAGTTAACAGAAGCAGACGCCGCTTAAAAGCCGTTCCTCTCTGGAACAATAAAAACTGTCCATTACCAAAACCACTCCAAACGCAGCTTCACAAGCTACTTTTTAGAACTCCTCAAAATTTAAAAAAAATCAATGATTCCTAATTCCTATTGACTACAACCACCTCATACCCCCAACAAGACCTTCCAAATCTCCCCAATATCCTTGTTTCAACCCCAAACATTCCTTCACATTTCCAAATTCCCTTTTAAACCCGTTCCTTTTTTTTTTCCTCTCGATGCACAAAAGACTCTTAACCGGCCAAGTCTTAGCCGTATTTATTTCCTGACATTCGTCATTGTGTTTGGCCACAAGGTTTTCAGTGTAGGGATAATAGGATGGTTTAGTGCCAATATTTCGTCTTGGCTGCAGCCGTTGGGACCTATTGTTTGGGTCCAAGCGGCTTTTTGTTGTTGGGGGCAGTAATCCTTCTTCAACCCAGGCACAGCGGTACCAGTTTGTGTTGTGTCAATATTTCACAAGTGAATGGAAATTCTGAGGATTGGACATGCGGTTGGTAGACAACCTTGGCCAGTTTAAACTGGGGAAAGTCTGGCTTGTGAGATGTGTCCACATCAAAATTATTTGTTTTAGGTGTTTGAAAAGATGTACAGGTACACATGAAAGACTAGTCTATAGGTTTGAAGGAAAAAAAATACAAATGTTCATTTGACTGCAGTTAAACTACATTTTTGTAAAATATTCCTTGAACCTAGTTAACAAAACCACAGATTTGACAAATTTTGCTTAGTAAATCTCATTTGTGTGTGTGTGTGTGTGTGTTTTTAATATTATTAATAAGACAAGGACGGTTGGTCAACAGTAAACTATTACAATTGTTTCATATTTATTTCCCTGATAAAAAAAATGAAATTATGTTATAATTTGTGCTAATACAAATCATTTCATTATGCAGAAAACAGATCAGCATTTTGTTTTACTATGAAATGTCCATATTTTGAGATTGTGGGCATTTTGGTCCATTTTGAAAAAGAATGATAGATGTAAATGTCCCTTAAAGGGAATATACATCATTTGCTTTTGCTGTAATTTTCAGAAATGGATGGAATTGGGGGGTTGGAAATATATAGCAAATATAGTTACACTGACTTTTTTTAGGTTTTGGGTTCGAAAATGCTATAAAAACCAAGAAAAACAATCATTTTCCTGTAGTCTGGTTCCCTGACTCCATTTAAGAAGAAACAGCAGTTTACATATATTGGGGAATTGTAAGGTCAGGGAACCAGTCTAGCTGGCTTGTACCCGTTCATAGGTGTGTAATCGATTGCAAACAAGTGCGATGGTCAACTGGGGCCAGTATTTGAAAAAAAGCCAGTTTTTTCCAACGCTGATCGGCCGATCAGCGTTGGAAATTGATACAAAAATACCACTTTTCTTGAAAATGACAGTATACCAGGTGCCATGATTTTACAGGATGCTTTACACTGTCATTCACTAACAGTCCAGCAAGGTATTTCAAAATGATTTGGTAGTTTTATTTTTTGATGTTTGCAAATGTTGTATTTTCCCTTTAACTTTGTATGTCAAAAGAAATTCTGAGCAGAAAGTCTACATCAAATTCCTTATTTTTTCACCTGTGTTTGATAGCTTTATTTCCCTTTGTGGGTTCCCCAAATGTCCCAAAACCCATTTAAAGTGGGAAAGAGAATTTTCTTTCACTGTCCATCTTGAATGCATGGTGCATTTTCACTCCAAATTTAAGTCACTTTTGATTCCTCTGTTGTTTGCGATCACAAAAGCATTCTCAACCAAAGCCCCTGTGTGCATTGTGAAACAGTGAATAGCTACCCCCCCCCCCCGACAAAAAATTACAGACATGTTTCCGTGTCAGTTCGTACTGACCAGAGAAATCCAGTTTTTATTTAGAATTGTAACCATTATGACAAGTAAAGAGTGAATGAACGTAGCCGCCCCTCTTGTTAATGCGGTTTAGTTGCGGTACTCGACTACACAAATTGATGTCCAGGCCTATATCCCCCAAAATGCACAACTTGCACGACCAAAGAATCTTGTCCAACCGTGCAGTATAATACCCTGACATGGGTTCCAGAACGCTAACCATCTTTGCAAAAGCTGCAAAGTGAAAGAATTCTTGCATTCTTCAGGTGTTTTCAATGAAAGCCTGTTCCACTTGGAAAGAGAAAGAAAAAGAAATTGTCGGTAATGGAGTTTTAAGAGCAAAGAGTACCGGTAATTTGCCTTGGGGCAGTGTATTCCTTT